ATATTTTCATCAAGGTAGTCGCTCATTATATATCTTGTTGAAGTAAATCAGTTTTTGAGAAGAAAAGCTCAAAACTACCATAAATCGCACCCTCAATACTTGCTGAATTAACGGCTTTATCGAAATTTACCGAGAGTACTTTTCCAAAGGTAATTAATCAAGTAGGAAGAATCTCGTGTAAGGTAACTCGATTTCGTCCATCGGAATTCGACAGCCAGTACCACAAAAATTTTGATCCTACGCTAGTGGCTTTTCACAAAACGGCGATTGTAGATAAGTAACAAAGGTAACACCCGGTTTATTAGCCCGGGTTTGAACAAGAAATCCCCTTTCATGTAGGAGTTGTTAAGAGCGAACAATGTTTTAATAACATGCATCTTTGAAGTGAGATTGCATGTTTGTATAGACTTTTTTTTCACAAAATGACCTCAGAAATCAACGCCTAAAATATCAGAGAGCACTCTGGGGATACCCTGAAGATTAACCAGACGCGCTTTACGCGAGATACCAATATGGCAGTGTACGTATCCAAGTTCTCCGGTAGATTGCTTATCAATAAATATGTCAGATAAATATATCCGCGTATATCTTGAAGAAGAAACGTGAAAGATGACCCGCCCTGTCGATGTTTGTTTGCACAAGTCTCGAAATCCACGGAAACACTTCGAGATATCGGGAGTCCATCGAGAGTGCGTAGGGTCTCGCTTGTATCGATTCGAGCATTATTCAATCATTATAATCGACACATTGACCGTGGTTAATTTTTATTGATCACACAAGAAAGTCTCTAATCTCGGCGGTTACGTGATCGAGGATGAATATAATCCGCGTGCATCCTCGGGTACAGCCGATGTTTTAGACGCAGATTATCATTAACGTATCATCAATGTTTATCGCACATGCCATCTCGGAAGTTTTACAAATCCGGAATTGCGAAAGTCGAAGGGAGAGAAAGGAGGAGCTCGCGCCTCATCAGTTCACCTACTCTTTAAAATATCGTCCAGTCGCCGCAATTGATGCGTAAACACTTGCTCGTTATCCTGACTAGTTTGACAAACCTGAAAATTGAACGCTGGTCTCCGCGAGGAGGAAGGACACGCTTTACTTACTCGCGGCCGATTTGCGAGGAAAAAACTTGCGCTTGTTATGCGACGCCCCGTCGCTGTTATTATTACTCTTGTTATTATTAGTGCTTTTTCTACTCGCTCCTTATCCGGTATGTGATTCTTTTTTCCTCGCCGACCTTGTAATAATTTATTTTTATCATATGGGTCAGTATTCGCGCGCGCGCGACACGAATGCACGGAGGCGGAACGGAAGCAGAAGGGAGGTCGGGCAATTTTCTAAATATTCGCCTTATGGCCCGATTCGTCGTCGATTTATAAAGGTACGCGCGCCTTATCGAGGCGCGCTTAAACGTATCTTGACGTTCGCGTGGGACCAGCGTGGGCGCCAAGCGCGACTTTAATTAATCGTAATGAGGCTCTCGCGACTCGGGAATACGATCATCATGTGAGTAGTTTTTCAATCGACCTCGACTTCAGTACCTCGCGATTCTTCCGCGAAAAAATATCACGCCCGAATATACTCGTAAATTTTTTAACTACTCTTATCAACTTTGAATTGATAGAGACTCAATATACAGGATGTCCGGGATCTTTTGCGAACGAAAAATTGTGAAGATTAATCAGATCAAACTGAAAAGAAATGTCCAATGTCATTTTGCAAAAATTTCGCAATAGTCATTAAGTTATTAATTTTAAAATTTAAAATTAAGTTATTAATTGAAAATGACCACATCTAGAGGCTCTTTTAATTGATAACTCGAAAATTTGCGTTATTTGCAAAATGATAAACGACTTTTTGTTATTGAAAAATCATACACCATTTTGCAAAAATTGCAATAATTAGTTATGATTGATGTTTAATTCTTAATGAATGGAAATGAACCTCTCTTTTAATTGATAACTCGAAAATTTGCGTACTTATTTGCAAAATGATAAAGGACTTTTTTTTCCAGAATGACCTAAGCTACAATTATATGACGGCTATTGTGTGTAGCAATAGAGTATATTGAACTTTGAATTCTGAACCTCGAACCTGTTGCTAGGCACAATAACCGTCATATAATTATATGTTAGATCATTCTGAACAAAAAAATCCTTTATCATTTTGCATATGTGGTCATTTTTAATTATTGTAATCAAGATGTGATCATTTTTAATTATTAATTACTATCTTTTAATAACTATCGCAATTTCTGCAAAATGATATATGACTTTTCTTCTCAGTTTGATCTAATTAATCTTCACAATTTTCATTTCCAAAAGAACACCCTGTATATTGAATAAAATATCGCATAACTTTTATTTTTAATAAGATCTTTAAAATCTTCATTACAGCACTTTTGATTTAGCACCTTGAAGAATATTTTAATATTGTACTAAAATTTTGAAATTTAAGGGGTGGTAATATCGATTTATTAATGTTATACATATATCGCACTAAACATACATACGCACACATTAAAAATTTAGACCAAGAAATAAATTAAAAATTAACAAAGAGTTATATTTCGTTGCATAATGAAAATTTAATACAGTTAATGTTATATACAGGGTGGGGGGTTATAAGTTTGCAATCCGAAGTGTGAAGATAGATTGGGTTAAGACAAACATAAAAGTCCCATATCGTTTTGCGAGATTCGCAATAATTATGGAGTTATTAATGACAGAAATCTGAGGAGTGGGAGTGCGCCGGCATAGATGATTGGAGAAGCGTTGGCAGCTGCTTAAGCCGTAGCGCGGCCCAGTTGATCCAGCAACTGTTGCCGGTGTGCGGCGAGGGGAAAGACAATGCGCTGCTATTCGTTGTTTTATCTCGCCGGACCTACGTCTCGCCGCACGCCGCCAACAGTTGCTATGTCGAGTAGGCCGCGCTGTGGCCTGAGTAGCTGCAACGCTTCTCCAATCATCTATGTCGGCGCGTTCCCATTCCTCAGATTTCTGTCATTAATAACTCGATAATTATTGCAAATCTCGCAAAACGGTATGGGACTTTTATGTTTATCTTAACCTAATCTACCTTCACATTTCGGGTTGTAAACTTATAACACCCCACCCTGTATACTATAGATTTGTAGGTGTCTGTGAAGTTAGCACGACATTCTTTAAATTTAAAAAAAACAATGATAGTTCTAGTAGCACTTTTCATAGTTTCTGATAGAAAATGAAAAGAGTTCCGCATTTTTAATACCAATAGATAGCAAATGGAAAATTGTCATGTCAACTTCGTGAATCTAGCATGACATTTCCTCCTCTAATCTATAAGAAATCAATAAATATCACTGCTTTTAGCAAGAGTTCCCGTTAGTTCTAATCGAGTTTTATCTTTGTATGCAATTAAAATAAAACAAATTTCAATAATTACGTTATTTACATAAACAACGTATTATATTGCACCTAGCACGACACTCGGAGAAAAAATGTTGTGCTGATCATTTCTAGCGCATTTTTCGATATATATCGACAGTTCTACATGAGTTCTAACAACTACGATAATTTTTAGGCAGAATTTTAGTAGCTGGTTATTTTTAAATAATTTTTTAATTTTCGGACTTAGCACGCGCGACACTATATACATCATAATTAACCAAAACAGAGGCAGATATAAGGATACAATTTTGAAAATTTTCATCATAGTGAATCAAAGTAGATATCAAAGTTAATGATTTTCTACAATATATCTTCTTGCTCCATCAATACAAGAAAAAATCATTCTATCAAATCAGTCTCGAAAGAATTTGACATAAAAATAATCATAGTTGTTAGAACTCATGTAGAACTGTCGATATGTATCGAAAAATGCGCTAGAAATGATCAGCATGACACTTTTTCTCCGAGTGTCATGCTAGGTACAATACACGTTGTTTATGTAAATAACGTAATCTCTAAAATTTTTTATTTTAATTACATACAGAGATGGAACTCGATTAGAACTAACGGGAACTCTTGCTAAAAGTAGTGATATTTATCGATTTCTTATAGATTAGAAGAGGAAGTGTCGTGCTAGATTCGCGAAGTTAACACGACAATTTTCCATTTGCTATCTTTTAATATTTATATATATTAAAAATACGGAACTCTTTTCATTTTCTAGGAAACTCTAGAACTATGAAAAGTGCTAGAACTATCATTGTTTTTTTAAATTTAAAGAATGTCGTGCCTTCACAGACACGATTTCTAGTACATATCGGAATGCGGCAATAATAAAAATATATTAGCGCTTTTATTCTGAGATTTACATTTTTATGTGAAGTATTCTCCAGTTAAAAAATATTTATTTGATTTTCTATCTATATTTTTTCCGTTCGATATTTTTACCGCTCGAAATTAAAATAATACAAAATGTTCGCGATAGCTTCAAATATCGGTAGATACCTTCACTGACGATTACAGTTATGCGGATCAGGCGTGCGTGTATGTATGTATGTGTACGTGGTTTTATCGCTATCGCCCGTGAAATTTCAAGTAACACGAGCGGAGGAAGAAGAATAAAAGAGTAACTCGCCGAGTACGTCGAGAAAGAGAGGCGGACGTGGGACGGCACGGTCTCATCGCGAGGAAGTCGAGGGAATATTAAAATGCCCTTATCGCAATTATTATTTGATCATTCAAGCCATATTATCTATCTATACCCGGTATTATCATGGGACTCGTTACACACAGATAAATGTTTCCTGCTGCGCGCTCACAGTTGAGCAGCAAACAGCGCGAAGCCAGTCAGTCAGTCAATCAGTTGAGTCGCAAGTGCGGTCGCCAAACTGCAACGCATCAACTCCAGGAAGGGGGAGAGAGCAAAAAAGAGAGAGAGCGAGAGAGAGAGAGAGAGAGAGACACACTCGCGATCGCGATTTCAAAACGCGAGCTGGAGCCGGGCTGGTCGCGCGAGTAGAAAATGCTCACGCCGCGCATTCTTAGAAGCCTGTGTTCCACTTTCAGGAGACTCTTCATCATGTCGCACCACATCGTCACTGTCTGCGTGGTGTGCGTGTTGTGCGCCGCACACGTCCCCTGCTCGGCGCACACGGATCTGTCGGCGCCGGTGCCCAGGGTGCCGGGCAACTCGACGAACCCTGGGAAGCCGGTGAGCCTGGATGCGCAAGGTTACAACATGCTGCGGACGCTGGAGAGGAGGTACAAAGAGCAGCAGCAGGAGGAGGCGACGTCCTCGGCTAGCTTCAGCAGCAGCAGCAGTAGCAAGCGTGACGCCGTGCAGTACAACGAGAAGCGGCGTGTTGTTGAGGGAAACGACGACATCGTCGCGAGCGGCGAGACCTACGTGAAGAAGAAGATTACGAAGGACTTGAAGGGCGGCGGGAGTGCACAGGACGTGAGAACATTGACGGGCGAGAGCGCGTCCGCCGGTGACTCGAGGGAGCTCTCGGAGCGACTCGCGCGGATGAGTCGCGAGCCCGCGGGGATCAGTGAAGACTCACGTGGCGTTCATAGTTTTAGACTGAAGAGGGACGTAGCCGTGGACGAGGGCTACTTCATGAGGAAGATCTTCGAGGCCTACGGAGACGGGACGAGCATAACTATGAGTGGCTTCGAGAAGCTCGTCCGCAAGCTAGGTCTACTAAGGTTGTTGAACGATGTGTCCACGTCGGAGGATGGTGGTAGTGTCGATAGAAGTACGCGTAAGGACCAATTAGGTAATGAACGACGATCGTGCGGAAGAGGAGATTCCTGCGCTTGTCGGCGATCTCGAGAGAGAATCGACAACGAGTCCGTCGGCTCGACACGATCGCCACTACGACGTGCCCGTCTTCTTCTGCCATTTCCATTTCTTTATGTAACGGAGAACTTGTTGATGTATTTACCTAGACGTGGCATGAGAAATGGTCGCTGTCACACACACGACGTCGATCCTTCACGAGGATCGGCGCGTCGCACGTGTGTGATGCGCAGTGGCGAGCGTGTTAATTTGTCTTTTACTTCGTTATCTCTGTGCTTCCTCGATGGAAAGAAGTATGAAATATGCAATAGCCTAGTGGAAAAGTACTTGCTTAATCGACTACGCATAACTCATTTTTACACGTTGCAGGTAGTAATAAGAATTTTGCGAGTAAAGGCCTACAGAATGCAGACGGCACGAGCGGGAAGGAAAAGGTAAGAGAAGAAGTCCCGAGACGGGCTCATCGGGACAGGATTTTTGTCTCCGCGTGTATTCTCTCTAAATCTCCCGGAGTGAAATCTCGCTGAGGATGAGCGAACATTGATCTGAGAGGCAACGGTGAACATACCGCCGCTCGGGACCACAAAGGTGAACGTTTGCGACTCGGACTTGTGGAGTGGATTCCTGATTCGCACAACTGAATGTTTCAGTCGATTACAGTGAATTCATGTCAGTAACGGTAGAACGCATAGACCGCCTTGATGCAACAGCCTGAACATTACTGGGCCCAGGGTTGTCTGAATATTTCGGCGGCACGTGCTGCGTCCACATATTCATGCATCATTCGTGTTCATTATTCAAACAAATGGCGGTGTGATATGTTTTTTTATATGTGATTTCACATTTTGTGTTAGAAAGTTCTCTGTCCAAGTAACATCCGTGATGACGCTGATGTCTGCTCAAATAATGCTGGTCTGTGTATGTCAGACGTACTCTCTTCGATTTTGAATAAGATTGATCGCTCGTAATGAGGATATTCACTTCGCGACTCAGATTGGAAGCGACGACATTAATGAAACAATCGTTGGGAAGCGAATTGTGAAGTTTAGTGTGTCGGGTCTCGGTAAAAACATTTCGGAAGCACAAAGGATTTTGGAGGAAAACGATCCAGCAGGCCCAAGTGTGCAAAGGATTGCCTGCCACGCGGCGCGCGAGCGGGAATTTCTCCAGCTTGTAGAGTGGAAACGCGATGATCTCGAATATGGGTTCTTGATAAAAACCTGATAGCTATCTACTCTAAAAATTGGCAATGGGTATCCACATTTCATCATTTTGTTTATTACATCATCTTTTTCTACCAGTTAATTTTAACAATTTTTGTCTGGAACAGTTTATTAATTGTCTAATATTTATTGCCTAATATAAGGAAAACTTGGCAACTTTTTTGATATTTCGTTATTTGTCGGAAGAAAAAATGGTACTAAACACTTTTGCTCTATTTGGTCTCAAAAATATATTGTTGTATAATAGCGCTTTGACTTTTCTTAATTTGATGATTTTTAAATTTCCAAAGGTCGATAAGTTAACAGAAGTTAGGGCACTATTGTAACAATATATTCTTGAGACCAAATAGAGCAAAAGAGTCTAGTACATTTTTTCTTCCGATAAATGGTTAGCGAGATATCGTAAGTTAGCACGATCATTGCCGTTCACGCGATATCGCGTTATCATTAACAAGTCGCTAACGAGTTTCTATGTGGGATAGCAGCCACAGCGAAACTGCGCGTGATGTTTACATAGGCCACTAGGGAAGGGATCGAACTCTCATGGAGGGGGGATGGCCTCTAGCCATCGTCTGTTGAAAAAAAAAAGAAAAAATAACTTTGGCCACCACACGAAATTCAAATTTTCAGTTTGGCAATGAACGTGTTAAATATCGAAAAGGTTACCAAATTTTCCGTAAATATCTAAAAAAATATTAGTCAAATAAAAAAATGTTTCAGACAAAAGTTGTTCAAATTAATTGGTAGGAAGAGATTGGGGTTCCCATTTAAGAAAAGTTCCTTGCGAATGGATGCATGGGATATGAATATGTTTTTATTCCAAAAAATCCAAAACAGACCAATGAGAATGTCTCGTCATTTCCACAGTACAAAATTTACTCACTTGAAATCTTGAAGACATCACCCATTCAGGAGGAAGGGCAAGTTTTCACGTAATTCTCGGGACATCAAGTTCTTACTCGACCGTGCTGGCAAGCGAAATTTTACTCGGAGAAATTTAGAGAGAATCCTTTATAAAATACTCTTTATAATGGAAGTGATGATAGATGATCACAAGGAGTCGATACTTGACGATAATGACGTGTTTGCAATTTTAGTGTTTAAATAGCCAGGAATTGTTGCGTACTGTTGCTCAAAACACACACTACTCCGCCGCCGGTGATAACAGCACGACATTGCCCGGCTGGCTTTTCGAGCGTGTGTGCCCGGCTCTCGTGTATCAATTGACGGCCGAGTCCAGCTCGGAGAGGAACGGCTGCATACGAGTGCCCGAGAATTACAAATTCGAGGATCACGATCGAGGGGCGGCCGATAAGTTTTACACCGCAGAGGACTTGGCGCGCAACACCATGCAAGGTACACGCGTGATGCGACGTGATCCCAGTAACGAGCAAAGAACGTTGGATCGTCACTTCGAAATGCTGAGACTTGCCCTTTCGATGTCGAAGGAACGTTCCCGGGCTGATTATTTTGAGCTTCGAAAATATCACCGGATGATACGATCTCTTCGAGTACTGCAAACATTGCAGCGACATTTTTGGAAATTTTCCAAGCGCTCGAATGCTGAAGTCATTCGTGATGATGTATCAGGTCGAGTGCGAAAGTTTTGACGGCCTCCTCGAAGATGCGACTGACCTCTCGCGGCGGCACTTGCGAATTCGTAAGTGTATAATCCGTTGGCTGGCGGGAGACAACGGCGATCATTTGCCCAAACAGCGGACATTTTTTAACGTTTTTCAAATATTTATTTTACATTTCTTTTTACATTTTTTCCATTCATTGTACAAGGAATATTTATTTGACGTTATATTTTACATTAATTTTTTATTTAAAATGTTTAAAAAAAAATATTTATTTAACGTTCATTTATTTTATATTAATTCTTCATTTAAAATAATGATTAAGAAAAAATATTTATTTAACGTTTATTTAATACTTATTTTACATTAATAATTCGTTTAAAATTAATGTCAACGTTTTAAAAATATTTTTTTAATGTTTCTTTAATATTCTTAAAAATATTTTTTAAATATTTTTTTTTCGATTGAGTGGTAGAATGAACAACTCGCTTCCGGTCAAGTGACCAGCACCTTTCCATCACGAGATCCGTCAAAGCTGCCGCACTCATCCAACAGCACTCATGCAACATACTGCACGTTAGAAAGCGTTGCTGAATGTCCTTGCAACGACAACGTCCTGTCGAAACGATCTTTCGCTCTGACTGGAATTAGTAGGCTCGTCTCGAGCATAACGATATTCTTATTTTAAAAGAAGGAGGAGGATCTTCACCAATCGTCTTTTCTCACTGATTTCAGTCTGGCTCTATTCGACAATTAGTATTGTTATAATTAGCCTTAGCGGACTACTCGGCGTAGCGGTAATTCCGATTATGGGAAAGACCTATTACAATCATGTGCTGCAGTTTCTAGTCGCCCTGGCCGTAGGTACATTAACCGGCGATGCCTTCATCCACCTATTGCCACATGCAAGTTGTTTTTTCTTTTCTTACTTGAAGCCTCGCGTCTTCACGAAGCGGAGTGACATTTTAACGGTGCGATCATTTTTCTTCTCGCCCAGGCGATGATGTCGCCTCATCATCACGAGCACGACGAGCATCACGAGCACGAGGATGAGCACGAGCATCATCACGGTAGCGGCGCGTTGTCATTCGATCACGAGGCGCTGCACAACCTGAACATGTGGAAAGGGCTGGTAGCGATGATGGGCTTCGTGTTATTCTTCTTCACCGAGAAGGCGCTGACCATGATCGCGGAATGGCGGAAACACCGGCAGCGTCGTAACAAGGTGAGCAAAGAGGCGAGGTAATACGCGGCGTGATGATGCCTTTTGATTGACAAGAAAAAAATAAAAACACACGCTGCAGCTGCCTACACGCGTGCGAGTGATGAGGGAGAGCGATGGCCCGAACAGCAATGTCGTTGGCGAGAAGCTGTGCAAACACAAATATTCGTCGTATCCGTACTGCTACGGTGAGATCGCCAATGACACTCAAGGTAACACCACCAGTTAACCGTCAGTCAACGGCCTTGCCGATTGATCGGCTAATTACATGCTTAATTTTTCTACTTAAATAATGCGTAAACGATGGTGCATTGAACTGTCACGCCATGTGGGCGGCACAACAGTCTGTTGCGCCGCCATTTGTATCCATCTGAAAGAAATTAATGTATTAGGTCAATCGGAAAGTTCCGTCCGTTTTTTGCAAAACGTATAGCTTTATTTAAGAAACAAAATGAAAAAGTACATCAATCAAAATATTGTCCATCGTTAGCGATTACTTTTTTCCATCTTTCGGTCAGCAAACGAATTTCACGGCGAAAGAATGACTCATCTTTGGAGGCTATCCAGTCAGAGATCCATTTTTCGACGTCTTCATAAGAATTGAAGCATTCGTCGAAGCAAGTGCGTGTACCATCGGCCGAAACAAGTAGTGGTCGGAAGGGGCTTAGTCTGTGACTAAGCCGCATGGGGTAAAATTTCCCAGCGAAGTGCTTCTAACGTGCTTCCTTGACAGATTTTGTGACGTGAGGCCGAGCGTTGTCATGAAGCAAAATCACTTTATGCTGTCTCGTTTCATATTCTAGTTGTTTTTCGTGCAATGCTCGGCTCAAACGGATATCATTTGTTCTCTGTAGATATCCCCTGTGACTGTTTGACCACTTTTCAACAGTTCATGGTACAGCACACCCTTCTGATCTCACCAAATACAGAACATTGCCCTCTTTCCGTGGATATTCCGCTTTGGCGTTGATGTTAAGGGTTGGCCGGGATCGCAAATAGTTTCTCGACGTTTGGGATTGTCAAAATAAATTCATTTTTCATCCCCAGTGATGATACGATGTAAAAACCCCTTTCTTTGTTGCCTAGTAAGTAAAATTTCGCAGGTGGTTTTTCACCTTTCAATGTCTCTTGGCTTCAGTTCATATGGGACCCATTTTCCTTCTTTGTAAACCTTTCCTAAGGCTTTCAAACGATCGGAAATGACAGATTGAGCACAATTTAATGCTTCTGCAAGTTACTTTTGCGTTTGGGTCTTCGTCCACCAATGCCTGCAATTCTTCGTCTTCGAATAGTCTTAGCCGTCCAGAACGCTCTTTGCCTTCTACATCAAAATCACCACTTTTAAAGCGTCGAAACCATTCTCTGCATATTTTATCGGAAGGAGTGTTATCACCATAAACTTCTACAAGCATTCGATGAGCTTCAGCAGCTTTGCAGTTTTCTTCCAATTGAAATAAAAGATTAACACTTCGCGCAAGTGACGCTTATTTGGCTAAAATTTCGACATTTTCGATGCAGTAAAAAACAATGTTATTGGTGCAAACGTATATTTTTATGTACTGAATGTTATTGACAGAATGTCAAAACAAACCATTAAGCTTCGTTTAGACATTAAAGGTTAACGACAGTTCTAGCTATAGCTACTTGCCGCTAAATGAACGAAACTTTCCGATTTACCTAATACTTTTGTAGAGACTTGCTACGTGAAACGGCCGGTGCAGACCAGTACAATATATACACCAGGGTTGGAAAGTAACTCGTTACTTTTGACGAAATCAGTTGTTTACTTTCTTTTTTGCACCTGTAACTTAATTTGGTTACATTTCTTTTCTTTTTGGTAATTAATAGCTAATTTGACACACACAGTTACTTTAACAATCACTTTATACAGCTGTGTTTGAGGAACACGCTTGATTTAGAGGGAGCATATGATGTAATTCTTTTTTTAGGGGAAGGAGAGATTGTCATTCATTGAGTATCAAATAATGTAGCAGATAATTGAGCATGTATATAACAAATTAGTAAAACGTGAAATATAAGATTCTTCCTTCTTCTTCTTACATTCAAAATAGAGTGGTGCACAATCGTTGCGAGCAAGAAACTGAAAAGCAACGACTCATTACTTTTTGTGCAATCACAACTGTAATGGGTTATTCTTCAGAATCGACGATTTGTAACTGTAACTAGTTACCTTTTTAGTGGAAAAAACTGTAACTGCAAGTAGACACTTTTACAAAGTAACTTTCCCAACCCTGGGAAATACACACTCGGCTACAGAACAGTTTCTTTCCAATGAAGTCGCAGCGCTCCAGGTTGTCACAGTTGAAAGACATTGTTGACACGCTTGGGTGGTAATCAGTTATGACTAGGCCTTTATTACGCTTTCATTTGATGGATAAGAATGTAATATACAGCGTGTTCGGGATCTTTTGGAAATGAAGAATTGTGAAGATCGATCTGAGAAAAAAAGTCAAGTACCATTTTGGAAAAATCGCAATAGTTATTAGATTATTAGAAAATGATCTAGAGGCTCTTTTAATCGATAACTTGAAAAAATTTGCAAAATCGTAAAGGACTTTCTTGTTCAGAATGATCTAATCTACAATTATAAATTTACGTACTTGCAAAATGGTAAAGGACTTTTTGTTCAAAATGACCTACAATCTACAATCTACAATTATATGATGGCTATTGTGCCTAGCAACAGGTTCAAAGTTCAGGGTTCAAAATTCAATAGCCACATTTATCACTAGTCACAATAGCCGTCATATAATTGTAGACTAGGTCATTTTGAACCAAAAAAATCTCTTACCACTTTGCAAGTACGCAAATTTTCAAGTTATCAATTAAAAGGGCCTCTAGATGTGGTCATTTTCGACCACTAATAACTTAATAACTACTTCGATTTTTGCAAAATGACCTTTCATGTCAGTTTGATCTGATTGATCTTCGTAATTGTTCGTTTCCAAAAGATCCCGGACATCCTGTATATTGCTACTTCGACTCATGTCACAATCGATTACCGCGCAAACACGTCAGCAATAGACAGCAGGTTTGTTCCTTCTCGAACTGAACTTTTAATTGATAATTACAAGTTGAAGTGAGACAAGCTCTTCTATCTTGTCTTAATGTGCACCAGTTTGAGAAGGTTCTTCGAAAAAGAACAGACTGAATGTCTCTCAATTGTGACACAACTTACTCTTGTAAAAAAGCATTACTGGCTGTAACAAATTGGTCAGTGATAAATTATTGCTGCTTAGTAAATTTGGTATTCGTGTGAGCAACAGAATTACTAAACAACAATAATTTCTCGCTGGCCAATTTATTACAGTTGGTTGAGTTGGTAATACTTTTCTACGAAGGCGGAATCTAGGAAAAAAAAGAAAACTGCGAACCGCTTAAATGGCCGATTGTACCTGTCCACACTGACTGTTTAATACGCGTACCAACCAGTACTTTTATACCAAATTACCCTCATTTAACTTCAAACGACAGTCCGTTAAATTAATAATGAGGACGATAATTTGGTAGAAAATTATCAACTAGTCGGCACGCGTATTTTGTTCTAAATCATCTTCACTTCGTTGATGCTTACCGCACCAGGTTAGTACGCCATTGTTTATATTGTCGAAATGAAGATGATTGTGTATTGAACGGCCGGTGTGAGCGAGCAAAACTATGTCATTCCAGAGGATAATTTTAATTTATACAAAGGATCGTTCATCAACTCTCATTAACATCGCCGTAGATTAACACCTACAGATTGTCACAATGAAAATTCAATCCCCCGTTAGAGCGTTCCTTCTTCTCTTACGGATGGCGTGCGGTAAACATTCAAGCAAAATCACAGGAATGTGTTTAGATAATCATCACAATCGCCAAATCAATCACCATGAGAGGCCTCCCGTTATCGAGGAGGAGAAGCCGTTGACGTCCAACTGTAATTCCGTGACTAAGATCGTGACGAGCGATCGTGACGAGATGGAGAAGAAGCCGAAGGAGGATTGGAGACTGGACGACTCGATTGTGAACAACTCCAAGAAGAACGCGGACGGTGCCGACGTGTCGCTAAACGAGTCGGAAAGCTACACGGTCATCATACGCGAGCACGAAACCAAGCATCACGGACACAGTCACTCGCATGGTTCGTCTCGCAGACGTTTCTCTCCTCCGACAAGTCGTCATTTAGATTTATCCTCGTTAGATAGCACGGCAGGGTTGAGGAGTAGACAGCGCTGCGTGTAACTTGCCGCCGCTGCGGCAAGTTACTCTTTCTTCTCTGGACAACGACGTTATTTCTCGTCTCGGTAGTAATGACAACGATAACACGATTACATTCGTCGATCAAGGCTCCTCATCTCGTCGGCATCTTAGGTGGTGACGTCAGGAGCGAAGAAATCCACGCGAAAATTTCTACTGGAGCTTTTCGCTCTTTAGAGTGCTGGTGTTATATTTTACGGATGTGTCTTCTTACTTCGACGTGAGATCCGTAGAGATTTTTGATCTTCAGTCCTTTCAGTCATCGGTTTCTTCCTCGCTCCTGACGATGTAATCGTTACTTCGAGCATGCAGAACGCAAAAGATGGACGACTGCCCGTCTGAAGACTTGGCGGGAAGAGCAATGAACCAAGTCTCGCAACTCGTCACTTCCACAGTGACAATAGTGAGTTAGCTTTCAAAGAGAGGACCTGTGATGGTATAACAACCTGTCACCTTTTCAAACGTGTAACGCATGTCGGTGGGACGAGTTGCCTCGAGGAAGTAATTTGCTCAATCCTGGTCCCAACGACTCGATTAGAGTCGTCTTTGTTAGATAAATGAAACGGCGAACTGGAAGTGTAACCTTTGCCATTTCAGGGCATGTACATTCCGCGCCCGAGTCCATGTCTAGCGTGGCCTGGATGGTGGTGATGGGCGACGGTTTGCACAACTTCACGGACGGCATGGCGATCGGTGCTGCTTTCTCGGCCAACATTGCGGGTGGTTTCTCAACCGCTATTGCAGTCTTTTGTCACGAATTGCCTCACGAGCTTGGTAATGTCCTGTGAACCGTCAGGGTATTTTTATTGCAAAGAAAAGAAAGGTAGTACAAACACGAGCGATGGAGAGATTTAACGTGAATGACGTTGCGCAGGCGATTTTGCGGTGCTGCTAAAAGCGGGAATGAGTGCCAAACAGGCAGTTTTTTATAACTTATTATCTTCGGTGCTCTGTTTTTTTGGCATGGTAGCCGGAGTCCTGCTGGGGAGTACTCCTGCTGCGACCAGCTGGGTATTTGCAGCTGCTGCTGGAATATTTATATACATAGCGTTGGTAGATATGGTTAGTTCCTGGTGTTTCATGGCGACAGAAGCTCGAGAAGCTTCTTCGAGCAGGGAGAAGAGAGAAAATGTACTAATGGATGTGTCTTTCCAGATACCGGAATTATCATCGAGCCATTCCGCGGAACACGGCTCGCGGTGGCAAAGTATCCTGCAAGGTTTAGGACTGATAACAGGCCTTGGAATTATGTTACTTATCGCACTCTATGAGCACGACCTTAAGCACATTTTCAGTGACTAGTATTTTGTAAGTAAACACCGTGTAATCGTGCTGTTGTGGTGCCGTTACTGCAGAATAATATATTGGGTTGTTCGGAAAGTAATTTCGGTTCTTTCAAATAGATAGATGTGATAGTTGCCTTCTTAAGCAGTTAACCTTATTCTACGAACCTCATTCCAGAAAATCATTATACATATTTACAACGCATATTTGAAGCTTCATTTGAAAAAAAAGTTGTCTTGGAATCTGTCAAGTTGTTTTTGTTTGGCGTCGCATCAAAAATGGAAAATCAACGTGAGCATTTTCGTCACTTTTTGCTTTTTTATTACTGTAAAGGCAAAAATACAGCGTAAGCAAGAATTGTGTAAGCACAAATTGTGTGCCCTGTATGGAGAGGATGTGTTGACTGAACGCCAGTGTCAGAATTAGTTTTCGAAATTTCGTTCTGGGAATTTCGATCTCAAAGATGCACCACGTTCTGGAAGGCCAGTTGAGGCTGATGAAGACCAAATAAAGACATTGATGGACGCAAATCGTCATTTAACAACACGAGAAATTGCTGAGAGATTGAATTTATCGAATTCGACCGTGCATGAGCATTTGAAATAACTTGGTTTCGTTTCAAAGCTCGATATTTGAGTTCCATTGAGTGTTTCGATATTTACGTTCTCGAAGGAAGAGAGATTTGGTTCGTCGCATTAGCATCTGTGATTTGCTGTTGAAACGTGAGGAAAACGATCCATTTCTGAAGCGACTCCTAACTGAAGATGAAAAATGTCTTGTGTATAACAATATTAAACGTAGAAGATCATGGAGTAGATGTGATGAACCAGCTCAAAGCACATCGAAAACTGATATCCATCGAAAGAAGGTGACGCTCTCTGTTTGGTGGGATTCGAAAGGAATGGTTTCTTTTGAGCTACTATCACATAACCAAACGATTGATTCGAATGTGTAATCAATTGAACAAATTGAATGATTCCATCAAGCAGAAAAGATCAGAATTAGCGAACAGAAAAGGTGGCATGTTTCATCATGACAACGCCAGACCTCACGCAAGTTTAATGACTCGCTAGAAGCTGTTAGCGCTTGGATGGGATTTGCTACTGCATCTACCATATTCACCTGATTTGGCACCATCCGATTGTCACTTGTTTCGGTCGCTACAAAATTTGGGGGAATAAAAATTTCGTTTGAAATGAAAGTGTCAAAAACCACTTGATTCAGTTTTTTGTCAACAAGGACCAGAAGTTCTACAAGCGTGGAATCACATTATTACCTCAGAGATGGCAAAAGGTGTTAGAACAAAATGGTCAATACTTAATAGAACAAAACTTCTCTTTCTAAAAATATCATCCTTCATTTTCATGCAAAAGACCGAAATTACTTTCCGAACAACCCAATATCAGAATATATCTCTTTGTGTTATGTGCTCGAGTGAGAGAGAGAGAGAGAGAGAGAGAGAGAGAGAGGGGGGGGGAAGAGGAGGATCACTGCATCTTCTATCTGATTTCAGTGCCTAGCCGCTGTTTTGTATACTTAAGATTAGTAGCCGAAGCAAGTCGTTCCCCTGAGGTGATTACCGTTTCACGTATCCGCCAGAAAGAGCGCGGTGAGGTCACAAGCTGATCGAGTGGTGATTTAAACGCTGCGACAATATCCGGTGTAGAATCGTCGAGATGAGAATACTTCAAGTATTACTACGAAGGTATTATGGGTATTAGGTTCCAATGGAGACACCTCGATTTTTGCCAATCGGACGTAATACCTGTAATCGAGTCGACCGTCTTGTTCTTTATACAATTTCTTTGCAATGTCTTTCTCCAAGGCTCCTGGTCCCTCGCTGCAGAATTCTCCTTCATCGATGACGTTCAAAGTAAAGTACTACTTGAAATTTCTACAAAATATGGATGAGATAAAAAGACATCTTCATGAGACGACACTGTCGATCTGACTAGTTCTGTAAAACAGTTCGAACGCTTTCCTTTCGCTCCAATAGTCAATAAATTATCGTGATGTTAAGGTGATATGCAAGTCCGATTAATTACCTACAACCTACTCTTGTTGTTTTTCACGATTATGCGTCATTTCGTGAACATTCTTTTTTTTTTCTTAATTTCAGAACATATTTTGCAGAAATTTGGAGTATACGTTTTCTCTCCTTTAGAGTCCGAAAATCTAAATGGCCATGGCGAACAGCCAGGAGCCCCCTGATCGCTTAGAAATGTCGGTTTAGTTTGTCGAGTTGAAATAAAACTACATCTGTTGCCCATTTGTATTAATAATTCGTATTGAAAATACTTCACGTGCTTTTCGAAATCGACGCGGATACCGTAAGCCACGATGAGAAGATGGCGCCTATCGTTAAGAAAGATCTTAGAATTATCCGGTGCCTACTAGAGAAACTTAGAAAGGCTGGATAATTCCGAAATATTTCCTTCTTCGTGTTATGTTGGTGATCTAATTTCGGTTATCCTAAATTATCGTGAGATACATAACATTTTTCACTGGTCTTATATTGAACCGATCAACTTGAGTCACGCGGATTTAACGGTATCTAATCCGATAGTTCTCGCTTATCACTTGTCCAGTATGAATAATGAGACACGAATACGTTTTAAATATTATTTGTTTGCAGCAATCTCTTGTGATTCATTTTCTGCGAGACAATGTTTATTTATATATTAATGTATGTATTATCATAGACACACACACACACATACACACACACACACACACACACATACACACACACACACACACACACACATACATCCACGTAATGACTTTAGCATTGTCAATAACTTTCTCGCAGATTTAGATTTATTACTAAAACTGAATTATTTCGGAAGATGGATATATTTAGAAAAAACGACAATTCTTTACACAGGATAACGGAATAGATGCCCGCTATAAACACGCTTCGATCGCTGAGAAATTCTTAACGTTCATGCGATCATTTTCTGATTGTCGCCGTATCTTCGCATCATATATATATTTTTTTTAATAAAATACATGTATTTTTTATTAAAAAAAAAAGTGCGTGCATGTAGTCAATCGTTTGCATCTGAAAAGTGTCTGAAAATTTTTTTCTCAGTATTGCTTAGACGGAAGTATCGTACATGACAATATTTGATATATTTATGTAATTTTCACACAACATGAGTGCTTATTTTTTCGCCAAATATTAATAATAACGATAATACTAGTGATAACGATGATAATAATGATGATCACGATAGTGATAATATAATTTTACGATTTTATACATTATTTTGTATTGAACTATTAGGAAATTAAATTTTTCTCTCGTATCATTATTCATATTTTACTATTATGAATATAACGTACGTATATTGGATCCGGATGCGTACATCTGAAGCAGCCGAAACTGTGGCGTGATTCTCATATTTATCCGCTTTTAGCGATTCTGTACACTCGGGTTCAAATTTTGTAAAGAATATTTTAATTTCTACGAAAAATGTCTCTGTCATTTATTTGTCTTTTTTTTTTTAATGATGTATATCACGCTGTAGTACAGAATTTTTGACCTAACACATTTGAAGTATATCTATAATACATTGATTTTTGAAAAAATAGCTTTATTTTGCCAACTTTAACGTATCTCTACTTATACGATAAATTACAAGTTCCTTACGTCGCTTTATGTTCCGCTCCTGCGTGTTTTAGTATTAATACAGCCAATAATAGCATATTATTTTCTACAGAATGTGTAAGGATGTAAAGAAGCGTTACATTCTTGTGAAACGATCAGTTCTGTTCGGACATAACATAACCGTAGCTAATCCTGCGCTGCGCTATTATTGTTAATAGAATAAGTCACTTTCTGTTGGATCGAAAGGCTTGGGTGATTTTTTAATGTTAAAAATAAACGGATTATTTTTATCGTGAAGATAGCGCACTCTCTCTCTCTCTCTCTCTCTCTCTCTCTCTCTCTCTCTCTCTCTCTCTTTCTCGCTTGGTGAGAATAATGAAGAACTCGTCGATACATGGAAGACCTATGGCTCTTTTATTTAAATAAATAATGATAAAATTATAAATCCTTTCATTCTTTTAAATTAAATCACTAAGGACCTTATTTTCCTCGTACCTCATGGCCTATGTGTCTCTGCGCGTAAAAGAAACGTCGAGAAGTTACGTGCAACCTGTTCTCCAGATTATATTCGAATGTTGAAAGTTGCGTCAACGTTAAGGCCCCTGCTTCCTCACAGCAGTCATCTCGAATGAGGACCGCAGAAGCGAGAAATTCGAGGCATTTGAAAGATGCATTCAATCGATCGCAAGCGTCAGTTTATGTGGATGATACATCCTTTTACTTCGATGTAATCCGTTTAGGAATTTTTACTACAGATTTTCTCGCTTCTGATGTCGTCAACCAAGGATCCTGTGACCAGAAGTTCTGACTAAACAATTTCACATTATGTGCAATGTTACATGATAATTAACTTTACCGCTTACGCACGTAAAGTGTGTGTGTGTATGTGTAATTACAGTAGAATCATCGTACCTGCAGTTATTTTATTTTATCATCTAATGTCTTATTGCGCGCAATTTAACAATTTATCATGTACTTGAGAGAAAATAATTATATATAAATATACGTGAATTTTGTTTCCAGATAGTCACGTATAAATAATTATACATGTCTATACTGAGAGAAATACTGCCGTATAAGTACAATCAACCTCTTATATTTATAACAGCCGATGAAGCAGACGCAGAATCGAATGAAAAAATTTTCCTTTTCTTTCTTTCATTCTCATTCATTCATTATTTAAATTATATCACGTCTCTATTTTCTTTCTTTCTTTCTTAGACATAATTTTATATACATTATTACAAATTACCATATAGGAGCAAAATTCATGCACGGATCACACGCGGTGATATATAATTTATAATTATATGATTTTATATGAATAATAATTTTTCTTTTATCAAGTATGCAAATGAGAAGCGACTTTTGTACAGGATTTGCCACGAATTAACTGCGGATACGACGGGCTACTGCACCTTCATTTGATATTAACGTCAAGAGCAAATGGTCCTTTCATTTCCTTTCGCTTGATGCCTCGATCAACTAAGTGTAATCACATAATAACAAAAAAAAAACTACTCCGAAAATCACATCAGGACATTTTGTCATACGGTGACAAACTCGTCTCGATCGCTCATTTGCGCCGACAAACTGAATGCCGTGTCCGTACTAGTTTCACTGTTCAAGCTCTCGTTGAACGTTGGTTTATGAGCGGAGTCATTCATCTCTCTCATGAGACCCGCCATATCATCGTCGGGGTCAATCTCGTGGGCCTCACCCACCACGTCAATCTCCATGGACTGGCTGTCAGTCAGTGACGTCTCTTGTGCCATGGGTTTTTGCTCTTCGAACTGTAATGAGAGAGTTATGACATAATGATCACAAGTTGGATAAATTAATACTTTTTTTTTTTGATAGATCAGGCCACCTTGAACGGGTTAAAATCAATCTTTAGGATTTCTTTTTAAAGACTTTTTAAAGAACGTAAAAGTACAAAATTAAACGTAAGGAACTTATCAAACAACTCTTTGAGAAAAAAAAATTTTGATTTTCTAAATAAAATGGTGGCGCTATAGTCGAGGTACTGGAAGCTCTTCTTGATCGACACGGTGTTTAGTTTCACGATTACAGCATTGGACCTGAAATAAAAAATAAAAAATGTTTATTTTATCCAGAATTCAGAAACGGAGGAACGTTTTTCTCGTCTTCTCGTCTAAAAGCTTCTTGCAAGAATGTAAAATGCAAAAAGGATCTTTAATATATTCCAAAATCCATATTCTCTACGTTATTTATAAAACAAAATTTCCTGAAAGTTTCAAGTGAATTTGTTAAAAATTGTAGGTGCTGTGCTCAACACCGATTTCAAGAAAGCCGTTTTGAGAAAATTGTGCTTAAAGTTTTGTGTACTATTATATTTCATAAATAAAACGAAGAAAGAAGACAAGTTTACTTTTACTCAGAGATTCCTATGCCGTGCAGCTGCCCGTCCAAAATTGTGATCAGCTTCGTCATAGTCTTCGCGTAAGCTTCTAGTGGACTCAGGAGGGTGATTTTAGTACGCGTAAGCTTCTTTCGAGCTTCTTTAGCTTCAGAGCTCGCGTAGTCTTTGCTCACATGCCTACTTCCATACAAAAATTATAACACAATAGGCCAATTTATAGATACGGAAGCTGCATAATGTGCATGGGATTGCTGAGGCCATCGTTGAATATGCATGCAGCGATATCAGCTGCAACATTCACTGGCATGTCGTGGCCAAAAGATGCTTTTGACGCTATCGACCACGTGACTGAATTGAAGGATTCATTATTCTTTTGAGTGTAGCCTCCTAAGCAACGACTTAATAGATCATTCCCACTCAAGTCTTCATGCGTAGGCTTGATAGCGTCGAAAACAGTTTGATTTATCGGTGCTATATTTGCAATCATTGACATTTTATGAAACGGCGTCGCCCAGATATCTTCTTTCATCTTTTCCACACAGTCGTGATTTTGGCGTGTGGCAAGATCGTAATAAATTGTTGACTTATCGATCAACTTGCCGGTTAGTTTCAGCAGCTGTGTGTTGAAATGCATCATTTACAGGTAATTATGAACGAATTATAGCTATCTATATAATCATGTCCTAAACCCTTTTTTAGGGCAGGTCCGATGCATTCTGGTGCGCTCCACTAAATGAATCCAAAATTTAAGAAAAAGAACTGATTCGACATTCGAACCAGCTCATTCTTATATATCATTCTTAAGACTAAAAACTATCGATCAAGCGAATGTAAAACAAAAAAAAAATGATCAAAAACTTACAAGGTGGCCTAAACCCTTAACTAGATTAAACTTAAAGTTAATGGTCTATTTAAGTGATTTATAATAAAATTAATTTATAAAGAGAAATGTTGCAACTTGCGATATCAAGTTTCCTATATTCAAAATTTTCAGAGTATTTAAATTTCAAATATAGAAATATATTAGGTGCGCAACTAAGTTCCCGCTGTTTTTCAAGAGATGGCTCCAGTAGTAAGTGCTGGTCGATTGTGACATAACCAAAACGTCATGAACCAAGCTTAGACATATGGTAAATAAACCGCTTTGACACATTAGTGATTTTGTTTTTGCGTCATATACTTTTGGTTGTGTGAAAATGTCCGATTTTGTGCCAAATAATCGTCATTTGCGGGAAGTGTTGCTTTTCTTCTTTCATTCGAAGAAAACGGCGGCTGAAGCGCATCGAGAACTCCAAAAAGTTTACGGAGATGCTGCTCTAAGTGAAACAACGTGCCGTGATTGGTTCCGTCGCTTCAAAGACGGTGATTTCGGTGTTGACGACCGTTCGCGTGAAGGAAGGCCAAAAACCTTCGAAGACGCTGAATTGGAGGCATTGCTCGATGAGGATCCGTGCCAAACGCAAAAAGAGTTTGCTTCAGCATTAGGAGTTACCCGTCAAGCCATTTCCAAGCGATTGCATGCGTTGGGAATGATTCAAAAACAAGGAACTTGGGTTCCTTATGATTTGAAGCCAAGAGACGTTGAGCGTCGTTTTTTCGCCTGTGAACAACTGTTCCAGCGGCAAAAAAGGAAGGGTTTTCTTCATCGCATCGTTACGGGTGATGAAAAATGGATTCATTACAGCAACCCAAAGAGAACAAAATCATGGGAACTGCCCGGTCATGCTTCTACGTCGTCGGCTCAGCCGAATATTCACGCTGCGAAGGTTTTGCTGTGTATTTGGTGGGACCAGGGCGGTGTTATTTATTATGAACTGTTGAAACCGAACGAAACCATCACTGGGGAACGGTATCGAACTCAATTGATGCGATTGAGCCGAGCACTGCGCGAAAAGAGGCCACAATACGAGCAGAGGCACGACAAAGTGATTCTACAGCATGACAACGCTCGGCCTCACGTTGCCAAACCCGTTAAAACCTACTTAGAAACGCTCAAAGGGAAGTCCTACCCCACCCGCCATATTTCCCAGATATTGCGCCGTCTGATTATTACTTGTTCCGTTCGATGGCACATGGTCTGGCTAATCAGCAGTTCCGCTCATATGAAGACATCTCAAAATGGCTTGATTCGTGGATAGCCTCAAAAGACGAATACTTCTACCGTGACGGTATTCGAGCTCTGCCAGAAAGATGGGAAAAAGTTGTCGCTAGCGATGGGCAATATTTTGAATGATTCATTTGTAACCATTTTTTCACAATAAAGTTGCATTTTCATCAAAAAAACAGCGAGAACTTAGTTGCGCACCTAATAATTCGCAATGACTTCAGCAGAACATATTTTTCACGGATCTCATTAATTTCATGAATCTGACAAATCAAGGACATATCTTTCATAAGTAATTATTTGCAAAAATCTATAAAATTATTTATCGAGATTTATAAAAATATGTATAAATTTGTCAGCGTTGCAATGTTGTGGATGAAAATCTTTAAGAAAAAATTCAATGACACAAACATTCACCGTACTATGAACATTTAATAAAAGTTTTCCACAAACGCACCCTGTGTGGTGAATATTTCTCGAGAAGCATAACTGACTGACATTGCAAAAGAATTTCTCGATAGAGCGTAACAATAAACGTTTCAAATATTTTGTTTATTACGAATAGTTTCGGAAAGAACCTTCTACGTCTACGCACCTTCATAGGTTCCAATTTGCACGGCGGTGGCAAATTCATGTGAAACACACAGTTAGAATCGAAGATTACAGGTACCGGCTCGTGGCATTCGATATCCGCTCGTACTGCTCCGCATGCTTTGAACAGAACCTGATGTTGATCCTGTAATTAAGGGGTAACATCAGTGTAGAGACCTGTTTTCAAGGGTCATTTTTGGGAATTTTTTTGGAGAACAGGGAATATTAAGGTAAAAACAGATTACATAGGCTTATTGTAGACATCTTAAGGTATATCCCTGAATTTTGCGGAACGTTTTTATTAAAAAATGGCGGTCGTACTACAGATTAAAGCCAGGTGGGTTTTTTTCGCCGCGCTCCACTGCGCGACAAATAGAAGACGTAAATCATAACCTAGAATAAAAAACGAAAGTTTTTTTCAAAATTTAGCTCAAAAGCTAAAGAAAAACGTAGGGGTTTTTTGAAAAATTAATTTTTGTAGAAATGGCACGCATTTGAAAATTATGTAGTAATTTTCACGAAAAAATTTGGCCGAAAATTGTTTATAAAAAAAGAAATAATCAATATTTCGAAAAATCCCTACGCTTTTCTTTAGATAATCTATTTTTAAAGATGCTGTTAAAATCTGAAATTATTCTACCAAAAATTGTAAAAGTTATTTGTCGCGCAAGATTGAAAAATGTAGTTTCGAGAAAAAACGCTTTAAAGTTTTAGAACGTTATAGTTCTCATATAAATTCAAAAAAATTGAGTTTGTGTATGATCTTACCATTAGTCAGTTATTCCAGAACCATAAAGTTGACCCTCTATGTTGCTATTTTCTTCTTCTCCTTGTTTTCTGGCCGCCGTTAAAGATTGGCGCGCCTCTTTCGCTTTATCAGTGAGCGAGCGCTCGGAGTATTGAATTCGCTTCGCATCGGCTTCGAGGCAGAAGTTGTAGCAATTATTGCCAATTGTTATTTCCATGGTGTCCATTATTCTTAAAACTGCCTGCAGTCCATCGTTAAAAATACTAACAGCAATATCTGCACTCAAGTCCAATATTTTTTTGCCGCTTGATCTTATTTTCGGAGCGATAGACCAAACTATTGAATTGAAACTTTCATTGCTATTTTGAGTGTATCCTCCTGTGCAACGCTCAAGCAAATCATCTCTACTTAAATCTTTGTAGATAGGTTGAATCGCTTCAAAAACTTCGAGGTTCATTGGCGGTGGATGTTTATAATCATCTAAGGTTCCTTCAGCATAAGCTACTTGCCACGCACACCACGAATCTTCTCCCGGCGGGCATTTTTCATGTTGAGGCTTCTCGTCTGTTGACAATTTATGAAATAAAGTTGCCCAAATATCATTTTTCATACCTTCTATTGAGTTAGGATTGCGTCGAATTGCCAAACCATAATATTTACTTAAATCGTCAATAAGTTTACCAGTCAATTTACCCTTTCCACTTAGGCCTTTTTTTGATTTTTTAACGTTACGCAATCGAGTTCCCATGCGTTTTTGCACGTGATCGATGCATTCTTTTTTCTGCACAACAGTATTTTCATAAGGCTGAGCATCTATAAGTCCTTTAAAAGTTTTACTGTCACCGTCGCCGATGTAAGAAATGTATTTCAACGTTTAAACATCTCGATTACTGAATCTATTTCCATTTTTCCTGCAGAGCCTTCATGGTTTGACTGGCAAACTGTCTTATGCGTTTCAAGCCATTCCGCATACTCTTCGGTATCTTTTTTCTTTTCCCAAGTTTTACAAATTTTGCAGTACTTAGATTTGACGATGATGTCGACAACTTTTCCGGTATGCCAGCCAATTAAAGAAACTAAGCCGAAAAGCGACGTGAATCCTCGTTTCCTCCAAGATCCATCGCCAGATACAGTCAGTTCATTATCATCTCGTCCTTCTGCAGAAGTCATTTCCTTCTCTTCTTTCACTGCTCTCTCCATACTAATCTGACACACCGAGCGAGCGGCGACCGAAATTATATCCACAGCAGCTGTATAAACGGTTTGAAATATCGGCCGAGGCAGATCCATGAAGGCACAGAACTTGATCAATCCATTCATACCGATTCCTAATAAACGCATTGCTAGTACTATTCGTCTATTCAGTTCGTACGCATTTCTAATAAATGGACTGTTCGGAACACTATTAATATTGTCACACATTTCGCATGTAACATTTATTTTTAAGCCCAAGCCGCGCATTGAAGTATAACTAAAAGTCACTCTAGAATGGCACTTATGGCACACTACAACATTCGAGATAGCAGTAAAAACGGCAATAAAATTAACGAAGCAGTAGCCAAATGATTGATTAACATTAATGTCACTTTCACTTGCAGTCTTCAATTTCTTGGCAGACGTGCTCACTCCTTCAACGTCTCTCTCCGCTTCATAACGATTTTTCGGTCGATGTTTTCCCATACCTCTTCGATGAGAATGCCAACTAGGCTCTCTGGTACCTTTTCTTCCAGAATACACAACATTTTTGTCACTCATGGTTGAAATTTCGGCAAATATTCACTTAGAAGAGAGGAATTTCTAACCGTAACGTCTTTTCAACTCTACAGGTAGCGTCCTTCTAACGGTCGTACTGTTGCTAGGTTAACATATACGTAGTCAAAAATACTTCTAATGCCATTTACGTATATACTAGCAAAGCTTAAAAATGAATAGTCTGAGACAGATATATACCTAAGACCAGTAAACGCTTTGAAGCGTCGAGCGCATGCTGAGCGCGCAACGGGCGGGTTTTTTTTAGGTTTGGTCGCTATATGTCGGTAAAAAAAAATTTTTCGGCCAAAAGCCTTGGGGATATTATTTTTGAAGGTCAAAACTATCGTTTAAGCAAAAAGAAAAAAATCGATTTTTTCAAAATTCTACACTGATGTTATCCTTTAAATAGCAATTAATATTCAGCTTCTAATCATGTCTAAGGTTCTTATTTTTTCTCGTTGTGGTTTTCACATTAAAGGGCTTTCCAACCGGGTTGACTATCTGATAGCATTCATTTTCTAAGAAATAATACAAGCTTAAACTGTATTTTTCATCTCGGTATTCAATATACCGGGTGTTTCAGACTACACGGGTCACTCGATTTTTTCGTTTAAATGAATTTGTGAATCTATATTCTTTTGTAAAGATTGCTTATCTTGATATTAACAGTTTTTATCACTCATTAGCGCACCTTCGTTCCCGTAAGATTAACGAGTTTTATTTTTAACTTTACCTGCCACGAGAAGAAAGGAATGTTCATAACTCGCGATCAAATCGGACGTAAAATTGAAAATAAAACTCGTCAATCTTACGAAGGGAATGAAGGTGCGCTAATAAATGCTAATAAGTGCACTGATAAAAACTGTTAATCTCAAGATAAGCAATCTTTACAAAAGAATATAAATTCGTACACTGAGAAAAAATTATATTAAAATTAAACAAATATTTGTCCAAATACAACTGTGAACACTATATTTATTCAAATTAAGCGACTAATTTCTAAAATGAAATACAGAGGTTCTGAATGCAAACTTTTTTCTTGAATTTTAAAAAATAATTATTTAATTTAAATAAATAAATGTATTCACAATCGTATTCGAACAAATATTTGTTTAATTTTAATACAATTTCTTCTCAGTGTAGATTTGCTTAAAAATAAGAATATATCTTATGTTTTCTAAATATAATTAACATCTTAACAGTTAAGAAACGCTCACGTAATATCGAATATTTTACTTCGAAACATTACGTTATGATATTGTATATTCTACTAATTTATAATACTATATTTGTTATTACACCTGCGATCATTAAAATTTTTGAGTTTTAAAAATAATATGTATGAATGTTATCACATGTGTCGATCATCATACCAAACGCCCTATGTCAGGGCCAATGCGGCGTGCACACGCGAACAGTTAATTATTCCGCCCCTGCTTGCATTCTGTATTCTGCCCATAATAGGCGAGTTACACTGAGAATATTACACTGAGAAAAAATTGTATTAAAATCAAACAAATATTTGTTCGAATACGACTATGAATACTGTGAATTTATTTAAATTAAGTAATTATTTTCTAAAATTGAAGAAAAAAGTTTACATTCAGAGAACCTCTATATTTCATTTTAGAAATTAGTCGATTAATTTGAATAAATGTATTCACAGTCGTATTCGAACAAATATTTGTTTAATTTTAATGCAATTTTTTCTCAGCGTAAGGACAAGAGAAGATTCCGGACCACTTTGTATATATTTATGACACACATCAGATTTTATGAGAAATTAGAAATTGGTAGAATATGGTTGGTGCAACACGAAAGTGCTGCACATTTTTTTCGTTGCGAGGTCAACCTTCTACATAACGGAAAAACGTCAAGTTTTTAAATTTTTAGAAATGCTCGAGCTATATGCTCACAATTTCACAAAATAGTTTCATTATGAGACATAGATGATTAATGTTGCTTCTTGGTCACGAATATTTCCAATGAAGGATTTCTTCTCTACTAAAAGTACCGAAACATAAGGAAGTAGAAATTGATGTGCAGTCGAAAAAGTCTTGCGTCGACTGTCATAATATAACAAATGTAAAGGCGGAGAAATGATGCTCATTGGCCACATGCGGCAAAATATTAAATAATGAAGAAGATCTGTTTTGCTAGATTTCGCTATGGAAAAATGATAATTTCAAGTAGTTTCGATGAAAACGATTTACTGGTTCTACCAAGCAATCGTCATTGTTTTCCATTATTTAACAGTATTTTATACATTTGCATATCCGTATATACTGCCGTAAAACCAACTTAATCCCATCGTTGAGAAATTCACCAAAACTCTTGCACCATGTAATATGAGTATGCGCTGCTAAGTGCTCCAGGATATATCGTTTAAGAACCAAATTTGTCAAGTTACATTTTTCTATCAAAGAACCTCCGCAAAAAGGGTCAATTTTTTTGCCCGTTTTTCGGTCGTTTTTCGATTTTGGAATCGAATTTTATACCAAAAGATAGTTCACGATGAGACATTAATTACAGAAAAGTTTTACGTTGAGCATACGATTGATTTCAAAGATGTAGAGGGTCAAAGTGGTCACTACCTACTAAGAAAGTATGACACTAATAACACTTTATCGCACGAATTTTTGCAAAATTCGGTATCTATGGGTTCTTTGAGTTGCTGATTATGAATTTGATGTCAGATTTTAAAAATTCAAGATGACAGGTGGAACATGGCGGACACACATAGTGAAATCATTTACTTTTATTGGAACTATTATGTTGTGGTTTTTTGAGGATTTTGTCTGGGGTTCAAAGAAATCACCGAATGCGAGCAGGCTGCAAGCCGTGCGAGAATGAATGGTTCTTGTAAGGCATCTCAGAATGTTCCATATCTGTCGGAGGTAGATTTCGGTCGACCTTTTTTTGTCACGCGTGACTCGACAAAGAAATGGCAAAAATACGTTGAATCTTCCAGACAGATGGTTGCCAATGAAACGCATCGAAATATCGTACGAGACATGCGAACATCTGCTGATGGATGGATCAACTCATATTTTATTCAAGGTGGTGACTCAACTGGCGACGAATATTAGAATCGTGAAAATTTTCCACAGGTATGGTAGCACGAAATGAAATAGCAACTTTTGTCCATGAATGGCCGTTCGCGGCCGAAATATGTCGAATCGCAGGTCAATGCTATCTTGGCAACCAAAAATTTGTGCATGAGAGGTTCGTTTCGCCTGGCCAGGATTAAAGAGCGCTCAGCGCGCCTTCTTGGCACAGCGGGAGGAAACGTGACATGAATGGCCCAAGTTATGGAAGAACAAGGACCGAGTCCGGCGCCATGACAATGAGCTTTCAAACAATGCCTGCCTGATTGTTAGGCATTTCTGATCTTCTTTTCCTATTCGGAAACGCATCCGTTAAACATTCGACGAAGAAAAATGCTATTCTCTGACTCTCTATATTTAAATGAAATATAATTATTTAATTCTTCTTCGAGAGGAAATAGATACCGTCCGCTACAAAGTTCTTGAGAAAAACGCATTTGACGTCCTAAATAAATACGAAGGTCTGTCGGAAAGATCTATGTGCTTGCAAAGGTTTGGGTTCTTCCACTAGAATTCAGCGCGCTACTGCCTTTTCAAAGAACAAATTTGATTTTAATGAAAAAAAGGATGTTACAAGAGGCAAGATCGGGAAAAGGAAAAGGAATAGTCGTTAGTTAGCTGAAATCTGCCTTCAGTTATTCAAAACTATCTTTTTTCTCTACTAGTTTTGCCAGGCGGAACAAATGACGGCTTTTCTCTTTTATCTCCGTTTCGTCTCCTATCCTCGATTCTTGCGATTCTACCTGTTCAACCTGAGTTTTTATTTAGGACTTTAAAGGCGTTTTCCTCGAAAACTTTGTAGCGGCCGGTATCTGTTTCCTCGAAAAATAATTAAATGATATTATGATTAAATTATAAATTAAGTTGAATTAAATGATAAAATTGAATTAAATGAAAATTGACTTAAATGATAAATGATTTAATTCAAATATAAAGAGTCAGTATTTATGTATTTTTTCTTCGTCCAAAGAGCGAAAAGTCTTCAGGGGATATTTTAGCTTAACGGGTCGGAAAAATCTATGTTTTTTTGCATATTTTGCAAGTATTTGGTATGGAATATATGTCTGCAAAAAGATTTAGCCCGATTCGCAAAATGAACAAAATTACATCTGGTAAGGAGCGGCCTCCGGCGCGCACAAAAAAAATTATTGAAAGGCTGTACATTTAGATGAGGCTCTTTCTAGAGATATGCAAACTATTCAAATTCGGATCGAATCGAACCGAATCTAATGTAATTCGATTAAATTTAAATCCAAATGATTCGAATAGGAATCAACTACATTATCGTTTGCGTGCATCAGCTACAAAACGGACCATCTGGGCCTGTATGTTTGAACCCTTAACTTATAATTAACTTAACTTATAATTAATAACTTAATTATAAATTACTTTAAATATTTAAATATATATTTTACTTTAAGATGATATTACAATGTCAATATTCCCTTTCATATTAAAATCTTCCATCATTATTTGCATGTTTAATAGTCATGTTAAATTTTTTAATGATTCGATTCGATTTCATTCGATTCAATTCGAATTCAAGTGAAATTTCATAGATTCGATTGGATTCGAATTTAAAATATGAAATTCGATTCGATTCGATTCGACATAAAAATTCTTGATTCGCATCTCTAGCTCTTTCTAAAGTATGATCAATTTTGACTTTCCTGTAAGAGAGCATTTGCTTTCTCAGCTCACAAATAACTTTTACCAAGTGTTATACAGGGTGTCTTAAAAATACCGGAACCCCCGAATAACTTTGCAGGATCAAGTTTTCATGAAAAACTTTAAATACAAAAGTTGTAGAAAATCGAATAACGGACTTGATGGTGACCTTGAATTTGACTTTGGTCATGAACTTCAAGGTTATTTGGAGGTCAACTTGCATTTTTTAAATGGGAACCTTATTGTTTATTATACTGTTTCTTCTACCAATTAATTTGAACAACTTTTATCTAAAACATTTTTTTATTTGCCTAATATTTGTTTAGATATTTGAGTAAAACTTGATAACTTTTTCAATATTTAACTTACGATATCTCGCTAACTATTTGTCGAAAGAAAAAGTGGCACTAGACTTCCTTGCTTTATACAGGGTGTTTGATAGCTGATCATGCAGATGAAAGTTGGAGATAGATTGGGTGTAGCCGAGAAGAAAAGTCATATACCATAATGTCAAATTGGCAATAGTTACCGAGTTATTAATTAAAACATGTGAGCCAACGAGCGCGTAGAGAGCGGAGGGCGGTCGCAGTAAGCACGTAGACATTTGATACAGGCGGAGTCAGTGAGTGGCGGTAGACAAGCGCGCGTGGCGAGGGGCAACGTAAGCGACAAGAGGCGATCGCGCGCGACGAGGAGCGAGCGAGCTTTTTTTTTATAGCTTTTTTCTTATAGCTCGCTCGCTCCTCGTCGTTCACGCTCGCTCGCTCGCCTCTTGTCGCTTGCGCTCGCTCGCCCCTCGTCGTTCGCGCTCGCTCGTTCCTCGTCGCGCGTGTTCGCCTCTTGTTGTTTACGTTGCCTCTCGCCGCGCACGCTCGCCTACCGCCACTCGCTGGCTCCGCCTGTATCAAATGTCTATGTGCTTACTGCGGTCGCCCTCCGCTCTCTACGCGCTCATTGGCTCACATGTTTTAATTAATAACTCGATAACTATTGGCAATTTGACATTGTGGTACATGACTTTTCTTCTCGGCTACACCCAATCTATCTCCAACTTTCGTCTGCATGATCAGCTATCAAACACCCTGTATAGTCTCAAGAATATATTGTTACAATAGTGCCCTGATTTTTGTTAATTTGATGATTTTGAAATTTCCAAAAGTCAGTAAGTTAACTCGCGCGTTCAGTCAGACATTTTGCGCTTAAAATCCTGAAATTATTTCTTAACGTTTTACGTACCTTTAGAATATGTTTGCGGCAATATTTAGCCGATGGAAGAGTCCTCTCGCCGCACTTCACACCACCTTCGGTGAATATGCACTTGGACACATTTGGTGGCTTCTGAGCGGGTCCTTCCGTTACCTGAGAAAAAATGTAATTCCTTCAGTTCTGCAGATCGTTAAGATATCAACGGTGCATTAACATTCGCACATTTACAATTTTACTCTTACTTGCGCACGACGTTCCAACGATTTCCTATAAAGTATAGCCTCGACGCCACTTCGTCTGTGATAACGATTTAAAGCTTTCAGCTTTTCATAAATCTTTTTCTCCTTCGCAGTTTCTTTGGTCTGATCATGTATGCTACCTGTAATGTGTATAATGTATAATTTATTTATATCACAGGCAAGTTTACTGACAGACACTCTGCCTAAATTATTTTAATTACACGGTGAATGAACATGCTTACACAATGTCTCCTTTTCCTTCTTGAGAGCGACCAGGTACTTTCGTCTCTTTTCCTTCAATATATATTGCAATCTTCTAAACTGATCAATGTAAAGGGACTGAAGCTTAATTAGTTTCTCCCTCGCGATATAAACTACCTCCTCTGCAGTAAATATCCCAGCGTGCCTTAAAAAATTTATACTAATCATTTAGGGAGTAAGCACCGTTCTATCTCTGCGCAAAGCAACTACTATAACGTAACTAGATGAAATAAACAAACATGCGTACTTCTCAGTCGCGAAGTAACGGAAAATAGCAAAGGTACGTATCAAATTTGTAATACAAATCAGCGGTCCAAACATCAAAGAAGCGGGGAAAGAAAAGAAAACTCAGGCGCATGAATTTACAAGCTGTGATGCGAGATGAGTAACAACGGTAAACAAGAATTATCATCACACAAGGGAGGAGCAGCACAAGCCGAAGCATGCTAGCAGATGTTCTAACGCAACGTGGTGTATTCAACATGCATTCAAAAGAAATGTATCGATATTCAAGAGAACGCTTACTTTAAGGGATCTTCCTGCGGACTGTGCAAGCTCTCGTTATCGCTGTCATCGAGATAAACCCCCCTGTGTGTGTCGCTAACGACTGTGGGTTCAACGTCGCTCTCTGAGGAACTGGCATAATCTAAGATGTCGCATCCACTTGCATTTACTCTGTAAGCATCAACTTCCGCTGAAAACAATAACTTGTTGACGATCTCGTATGTCTGTTTGAGCTTGTTGACAATTAGGGCCGGTTTTTCAATAATGGTTTAAACTTAGATCGAAGTTTCAACACTGTTCAAAAACATTAGAATGTTTTTCAATGGATAGATCAGAATAAAAACGTAGTTTGAGATATAGGTATATTTAACTAAACTGTGAATAATGACCGTTTAAATGTCGTTTAGTGGATTAATAAACATAATAATGTCTCTATTATTATATTATTTTATTTAAAATCATATTGTTAAATATTTGTAAAAGTATAAAATATTTATTATGATATTTGAAGAATATTATGAAGAGAGTAGTAAAAATGAAGATATTTTAGGATATATAAAACATATCAACATGAGAAAAAATCGTGTTGTAAGGCAAAGACCAAATCATTTTGAAATTTGGGATGGAAAAGAATTTCTTCAAAGATTTCGCTTATCCAAAATTACAGTTAATATGTTGATAGAAAAAATTCACGATACTGTTCAATCACCAACTAAACGGTATTAATACATGTCATGTAAATTAAATGACATATATAGAATATTTTTCAATTATATTGGTCTTAACTAATTAACTAGTTACAAAATGCGGTGTTTACTGATAATGAATATTATACGAATAGTGTAAAATTTATTTATATTGTATTTTTTTATTTTTCTCAGAAACCAGGCTCTTTCAGTAAGTATGAAACGATATTGCTAACATTAAGATTTTATGCTAGTGCATCTTTTTTGATAAGCGTAGGTGATTTTGTTGGCGTTCATAAAAGTACAGCAAGTAATTAATAAAATTTCAAGGGCAATTGCTCAACGTAGACCTGCATATATAAAATTTCCGAATACAGAAGAAGATATTCAAAGACTTCATGAAAAGTTTTACAACATTGCAAGATACCCATGTTATGTGGGTGCCCTAAACTGCACTCATTAGAATTAAATCTCCACGTGTCTAAAAGTGGCCCACACAGCGACGACTTTTTGTTGCCAATTTAAGAATAACAAAGATTTATCTAAACAATCTTCGGCGTATGCTTGAAATATATGCAAGATTTAAAACCAGGTTTATGGATCAAGGAAGAATCGGATAATCTTTAGTTTAAACTACGATTGAAAAATTGGCCCTTAATGTCAATGCGCAAGGACAATTACAAAAGAGAGACATGTACTTTCTAAGAGGAATTTACCCTTGAGATTTCAAATCTTACGCTACACGAACGGACTCAAGGACAAGAGAATACAGTTTTCTATACGAATACCGATCACGCTGCTCTCTTTTCGTAATGCAACATCAGTGTTACAACTTGAAGAGATCTTATTAACAAGAGGAGGCTAAGACCTGTTAATAACGGATTTGGATGCCTGTGAAATATAGGTATTGTAGAGGGACCTCTCCTGTGCATGAGGATAAAAGGATTTTATCTGTCACGAGAAGAAAGGAATGTTCATAACTCGCGATGAAATCGGACATAAAATTGAAAATAAAACTCGCCAATTTTACGGGAACGCAAAATACGGGTGCGCTAATAAGTGATAAAAATTGTTAACTTCGAAATAAGTAGTCTTTACAAAAGAATATAAATTCTTAGATTTGCACCTAAAAGTAAGAATATCTTGTACTTTCTAAACATAATTAACACTCCCTTCTTCTTCGTGTTCCCCTTCTTCTTGTTCGTATTTTTATAGTTAGTCTTATAGTTAAGAAAAGCTCGCGTAAGATCGAATATTTTACTCTCACAAACGTTATGATATTGCACATCATACTAATTTATAATACTATGTTTATTATTATAGTTGCAATTATTAAAATTTTTAAGTATATGTAAATTCCTCTTAGCACTTTGTTCTGATTACAGATGAATTCCAATGCAATCTCAGTCTTAAGGTGCGCACACAATCAGTCGAGAGACGTTGGTGTGTGTCGTACATATGCGCGCAATCTTGATTTTTATGTGTCGGCTGTCAGTTGTGAGGTTGTGACTGGTATGTATGACATATGTGCGACGTACGATAATGTCTTCCGACTTATTGTAAACTAGACCTGATGCCGCCCGATACGTTCAGTACTAACGCAAACATGTACATGACGCACAAACAAATATCTCAATATTTTTCACATTTATAAGTCATTTGTGACATCTTCGATAATTTTGTAAAGACAACGCTTTTGTCAATTTACAGCTTGATTGCTTACAAGTAACTTTTTACCAAATGTTACACGCCGATTGTTTTTATCTTTTGAATTTTGATATAGGAGCTCAGAAGGAGAAATGTAAAATGTAAAAAAAAAATTTGCTCAATATTGTTTAGAACATCTGTACAAAGAGCGCGAGTTAATAAAAAAATTGCTATTGAGTATTCTATTATCCACTTTTATTTCAAGATGCGTGTATATGTATGTTTACTTATTTTTTCATACAGAATTATGACATAAATCAGTTATTATTATAAAATTTTACAATTTTGTTGAAGAATTTTTATGGTGACTTTTTGAGAGACTCTGAAAATCAAATAAAAATTATCATCTATTATTCGTTTTATTATCCGTCTATATTTCAAGATGTATGTGTGTGTGTTTATTTTTTTTCATACAGAATTATGGCATAATTCAGTTATTATTATAAAATCTCACAAAACTTTGTCAAAACATTTTTATGCTGACTGTGTGAGGTTCTCAAAATCGAAGGCCATCGTCTTTTGAAACCAAGCAATTTTTGTTTCTAAAGTTTCTCCTAAAAATTTCTCCTAAAAAATACAATATCTTTGTTTGCGAGATATATTGTATTATACTTTCCTTTTCAATTTGCGTTTTTTATATAAATGTTTTGAGCAAATTTTTTTTTCACATTTTATCTCCTTTTGAGCTCCTATATCAGATTTCAAAAGATGAAAAAATCGTGTGCAACATTTGACAAAAGTTACTTGTTAGCCGCGGAACTCTTACTTGATGACGTCAGAAGTGAGAAAATTCGTACTAAAAATTCCTACGAATTACATGTCAGAATAAAACGATATATCTTAACATAACCGTAAAATTAATATGATATAATGCAATTTTCCTCTTAGATTTTTTCTCGTGATTTTGTCACATCGGTTTTTCGCCCATTTATTGATTGCTTCGGTAAAAGAGAAGTTTTAGGGGCACTTTAGAAATCTGCTCAATCGGTTGCAAGTATCGTTTTATAGATATTTGTGTTTCGGTACAATTCACAGGAATTTCTAGCATAGTTTTCTCGCTTTTAACATTACCATTCAGATTGCGGCAAAGAAATAATAGATAGTCTAAGAGATTAGATAATATATATTTATATTATCTAAATAAGGAGAGAGATAAATTCGAGTGCCAGAATTATCTCTGTATACCTGAATTATCAAATATAATTTTATTTAGATGGGAGCGGTCGCGCTGAGATACAGACTAGCCTTTTCAAATTTCGTTTCGGAGTTTCTATGAAGTCTGTACAAAAAGTCTGTTGATATTTTTTCGAAGACAACCGTCCGTGACTGTCCACTAGCAAATTCAGGCGGAACGATTAGACCGCCCGTGCAGTTTTTGCCGTCGAACAGTATCCCTTACTAACAATACAGTATCCTTCTTTGTATCTTTTCCTCTGATCGGATAAAGGCATACCTTTCGATGGGAAATCCCCGTTTTTCTAATCGCTTCGAAGAGAGACATTCGTATTTATCGCCCTCGTTACGCTTATTAACCTTGTATTTTCTTATTACGTGCCGGGAAAGGTTTCGTAGGTCTTACTCGTAAGACAAAATTTATAAAAGAGCGGCTCCTGAATGAGTTCCTGAGCGGCACCCTCCGAAGCAGCTACCTGCTAGGGTCGAAGCTGGGTTCGTCGTTCAAGCGCACGGTCTGATGTAATTAGGGAAACGACGTGAGTCGTTAAGCAAAAAAGACACGGTACGTACTGAAAGGATCCAGAGCTTTCACTTTGCCGGTCTCCTCTTCTGTGTCCTCGGCGCTCGAGTCCGCAGGCTTCACGTAGTGACTCAGATTGAGCAGCAGCATTTCTGGCGTTTGCGGCAGAGAACGTCGTGACGTCGACTTAACGCGTGAGATCTGAGCCTTCCTAGAATGTTCGCTGCAGTACCTACAAGTATGCAAATGTACCTGCTTAAGGTGATAGATAGAAAATGATAAGACTACACTAGGTTCAGCCTGAACTTCAATGTAAATCGATGTAAATCGATACGGTCTACTTTCGTGCTGGAGATATTTTAACGCACAGGCTTCTCGCAACACGTGCTAATATTTTGTCGCAACTTCGCCACTTATTGCAATCGTGCGTGGAAATTCACACGAGGCACGTGTCGCATGAAGCCGTTGGAGAATGTTTCGTACATCTTATTATCTTCTCGTGATTACTGATTTATGATTTATTCATCGCGAAGAGAAATGCGCATGCAATTCTACCGAATAATATTGAATAATAGTTCTTAACGTCCAACGTTTACTGCAGTTCACCAGAACTCGTCATTCAATACTTCAAAATTTCTATTTACACTTCAATATTTCTATTGAAATGAATACGTGAGCTCGTATAAATTGAAGTAAACTGCAACGTATACGATATCTCATTATTAAGACGAGTACTATGTTGTTTCACACAATGAGAATTGTTAAGATGTTTGTAACATTTTCTGACGGAAACCGTCCAAATTGATGAACGGTGAAACATTTCTGTTGGATGAAATCGGCTACGCTTTCTAATCGCGATGTCACAATAGTGTCTTGAAAAGTATTCCACGAGTCCTTATCATAATTTATCCAAGAATATTCAAGAAGTATTTATTTCTGTCATGGAAAAGCACGAGAATAACAAAAATAAAAATAACAAAAATAAACGCTTACTACAGTCACAGATTTTGATATACTCTTTCGTGGTTTATCAGAATCGATAAGAACGCATTCGAACGGAACGTGTAATTTTGTCTAAAAACCAGGATTGGATAGTGACTAGTTAGCCAGTTGAAAATTAAATTGAAAGATTAACAATTTTTAACTTAATTCGATTAATTTCAAGCGCGTTAACCTTTAATTCAAACCGATTATTTTTAAACGCATTGACGCTAACTTATTAGCTTTTTTCGAGTCACGAATTAAAATAATTGATCAATATCAAAGTCGTGTGAAAATAGCCCACAACACTATTAAGGATTTAATTAAACAGTACATTAGTGAGTACGTGCGGTGATCTCCGCAAACAGATAGCGTGCAACTGTTACGACTATTGTCTTTTTCAAACAACGTATATCATTAAAAAAAAGAAAAATAAATTATCTCCTTTATAAAATACTACCTTTTTCTTATTTCACCTAAATTTAACATACAACTGAAAGGTTAATCATGTAAAAAAATATATAGCGTAGCATAATTAATTTTTAACTTTAATAAATTAATCTAATTTTTTAATTTCAACTTTTTATCCTTAACTCTTAATCGAGTCAGTTGTTTAAGCAACTTTTGAGGTAAACTCAGTTAATTTACGAGTCATTAATTTCAAAATTAACCTACCTAACCCTGAGAAAAACTGCGAGAATATATATTTCGTTCTATCGCAGAAATTTTTTACACAGGCGCTATATCAAATCAAAATCAATAATAAAAATCTTTTTATAATTTATAAAAATTAGTTTGCCTCAATACAAAAGATACTTTCTACTTTAATGACAGCGATGAAAATAACAGAAATTCACGATACGAACAGTTTTAAAAATATGTACTTTTGTATATTTTATGAAATGTAGTAAAACGTTTTGAATCTTTTACGCAGGAAGTTTGTTACACTAAATTACAAAGTAAGAATTTTTACACGCGCTAAAGATAAAAAAATATATATTTTACGTTACTGTCTAAAATATAATTTTTTACAAAATGTAACGTATTGAAGCGCAATGAACAGAACAAAAATAATCTTTTTCGCTGCGTCATTATTAATATCATTTCTTCAATCGTTTGTATAGGAGACAACCCGTACAGCGTCAATTAATTCCACTTAAATTCTTGTCCTCTTTAGTCACGTGGTGTGACTCATGTAGTTGTATTTCTTGTAGTACATGCCATAAAATAGGACAATACGGAATATTATGAAATGTCATAAAATAAAAGAATAAAAGAATAGATCATTATGGAACAGACACGAGAGAGTATTACAGAATACTATAATTTAATTGTAGAATAATTATAGAACATTGTAGAATGATTATAGAGTATTATAATTCAATTCAAAAGTGTAGAGAGAAAAGTATCGTGCAGGACTGCATAGTAGATTATTCTATTATGAACATGACTGTTATAGAAATTCAATTATAGAAATACATTAGAAAGTAATACGAAACGTGACTATGAAGGAGTCATTAATTTCGCATTATTGGTCTATTGAAACGCGTGGAAACTCACGCGTGATTCGGAAAGAAGCGTGTTTCTACCGCTTTCTATCCATTATTTTAAGAATTTCGGCTGAGATATTTAGGAATATCTGTTTGCCCTTATAAAGTACACAAATACATACGAGATGTCTCTCCTGTCCAGTTTCGGAGCCGGATTTTGACATTTTCTTCCATTATTATTATAGATAAAAGCGCACTGTTTGTAAGGCGCGCTAGGATCCTCGAGGATGTGCTTGACACAATAAGAATAATCTTCCAGGCACGGCTGCGTGCACTCGTAGGACGTGTACTGACAACCTTGAGCTTGTTTAGACCGTTTTGCCATTGTCGTAGCAGTGGTGCAAGGCATTGTAGATTTAGGTATCCGGAACATACCTTGCCTAGCACACAAGTTTAATGTTCAGCTTGAGTAAAAATTCGAGTAATTATTCGTCTCAACGGACGCAGCTCCAACGACCATCATCCTGAGATATGTTGTTGAGAACATTCTCCCCTGAGCAATCTGCAGGAGGTTTCAATCGTCGGCCTTTATTCATTAAAGTTAACAAGAATTCAGATGCGAAAGTAACAACATTCAATAAATTTAAACACGATACAAATGTAGTTTTTTGGACAAATATTTAGGGAAATATCTATTCATAAATATATTCATAAATATATTCATAAATATATTCATAAATATATTCAGGGCTCAAATCTTTAAATGGCGTTTAAATGACTCATCACTGAGAACTGCTTTTTACATATTTTTTATTACACATCTAAACTCAGACCTTGCCCCTGCTAATCTTTTAAAGATTTATCACTTTAGTACACGACAGATTTATCAATGTAGTAAAGCAAAAAATTTAAACATCAACAATCAAAGGCCTTCAAAATAGTGATCCTCTAAAGTAGAAAAAGTTATTCTTTCGGAGAAATTGCGGCGAAAGAAAATCTTGGAATTTCACGCTGCATTTTCGACAGATCATACCGCACTGTTTTATTATATAAAAAAAGGAAGAAAATTTCGAGGCATTAACATGCGTCAGGATCAAAATCATCGTAGCTGTGCCCATTAAAACGAATAACGACCGAGGAGACCATTTGTACAAAACTTTTCACTCTTCACGTTTCTGCTCTTAAGGAGCTGCAATTGCCTAATAAGACGACCTAATGATGATTTAATAAGTTCACTTAACTTCGCGATGTTAAATTCCTATTTAATACGAATTAACTTATCAAACCGAATATCGCTTTTGGCAAGTTTACGACCGATCGATTGTAATGTCATCTGACAACTTAACGATTGCACCGAACGATTATTAATCTTTCTCTCTCTGCCGATGATAAGCCGTAAATTCACAGGCTATGAATAATCGTCTGTGTAGATAATCTAAACATATATTTGATAAGAGACTCGTTCTCCTTCCGGTTGTATTAATATTGCACTGAAACTTTGTTCCTTTTGCCTTTAATGCTCAATTATACAAGGTGTTTAGACTTAATTATCGGAACACTCGTACAGACACAACTCATTAAACTGACGAAGATAAGACGAGAATTTGTACCCTCCAATTTCAACAAATTTGACATATGTTGTTAATTAAAGTTGAAGTCATTCGATACAATTCAAGCGAAGAAAACGCATTTAGTTTTCTGTGTTTTTACTTGTGATCGAAGAATAATCAATGTAACTGATAAATTTTCTTATGACCTTATGACTTTACGATTTATATTGTAGATCTTACTTTATCCAAATGTTGCTTTCTCAATTTTCTCTTTTAATTTGTATTCAAATTATTGTTTCTTTGACAAAAACATTATTTTTGTAGATTTATTTGCTAAATGTTTTTATTAAAACAAATATAGGTGGACACTAATATAATTTTATCATATTAGTATAGTATTTTCCTACATTTATTATTAAAGAAAACTGGTGAATAAATGTGCAACAGTGAGACTGAAGAAATTCTTTAGGCAAAATCTCACCCAAGATACCTGCGTCTATTGAAAATCTGTTGGCAACAGCAAGTAGTGAGACAGCAGGTAGCAAGGTAGTTTCCTTTGTGTGTTTTTCCACTAAAAGAGCAAAATACAAGTCTGAAATTTCTCCAGCCTGCTTATAGAATTTCCAACATCACGTACTCATTCATGTTAGTCTCTCTTCTAATATCCCAATAATTATTAATATAGTCTGCAAAATGATAGGACCTTTTTACTGAGTTTAACAAGTTGTACCTGTACATGAGCGTTCCAATACAAATTCAGATATCCTGTATACTTGGTTCACCTTTTAAAGGTAAAAAGTACAATCTAGTTTGACCAAAAGGGACAGACTTGAGAGTAACATTTACAAAAGAACGACACGTAATACCCGCCATATTTTTAGACGAAGGCTATTTACAATGTAAATATATCGTATGTATATATACATAAGAATTTATTATAGAAACTCGAGTAAACGTTTGTTTTCTCTTTAGAGTTTTCCTTATCGTTCCAAAGATAGGATACCGAGATAAGGATTAGTCATCGCATTCGTTTGATTACGAGTATAACAATGTGGACACAAATAACACTTACCTGAGCTACGATGCGCAGGAATGCTTCGTCCGCGGTAGGGAACTCGGAGAAATCGTTAAGCACGCTGCGGGTGTGGCGAGCAGTTGTAAATCACGTTAATGTTATCATAGTTGTGACAACGCTCGACAAAACTACGTCCTTAGAATATTCAAAGGAGATCAGGAATATCGGAAAGCTAATGATAAAATAATCTCCCGATAAATACTACAATGGATGAAGAACGATAGTCACGTTATCCAATAAACCTCACCGACAATGTACGTGGCCATTTCCACATTTCAGATCACGTGACTCATCCTGAGAGAGACAGAAGAATATTCCACTGGTACGAAACAAGGATGATAGGAAGTATCGCACAGTTGCACAATGTAAGAAATCGCGTTCTCACTTATATCAGGTTGTACTTTTTGTCATTAGAGCGAACGTAAATTCGCGTTAAAGAAAGAAAGAACAAAGTTCACACAACGCACACATGCGCACATGCACACACACACACACAACGCTGCAGACTAACGGCTACGCATCGTCTCGGAGTGCGGTTCGGCAACCGCTACAAATGTTTTGAAGCGTTTCTTTTTCTCGTTCTATTTCTCGGATGCAAACGAAGAAAGAGAGAGAAGTAAAAACGCTTCGAAGCATTTGTAGCGATTGATGGACGGCACCCTTCGAGGGACAAACGCTCCAATCAGAGAATCTGTTCTTTTGCTCTGCACTTTCTGCACTCGCTCTCCTCCATTAAGGGCCAGTTGTTTCAACTTCTCGGTAAGTCAACTGATAGTTAAATCATATGTTGATCTCTGCTTTTTCTTCAGTTTAGATAAAGACAGACAAATGATTTAACTATCAGTTAACTTATCGAGGAGTTGGAACAACCTGCCCTAAGTGCTGAAGTTGTGCTCAAAAAAACGCGAATAGACAAAAGCTTGAAAAGTGGTTTACAGCCAATCAGAAGGTTTACAAGCCACTTTTTTAGTAACTTTTAATAATAAAAGAAAGTTCAGAATATGAGCCAAAGAAACTTCGAGTTCACAATAAGTATTTGTATTTGGAAATTCCACCCTGCGGATAAAAATGAATGAGTTGTAGGACGCCGGTAATGCAATTAGAGCCGACATTTAGGGTGCGTTCCGTTTCACGCATATGCGCGCATTTTTTATAGTATACGTGACATAAACTATAGATAAATGCGCACATATGCGTGAAACGGAACGCACTCTAAAGGCCATTACACGTAAAAAAATTTTAGTCGTAACCGTAAGACCGTAAGCAAATTGACCAATCACAACCCAGCATTTCGAAATATACGAATTGTGATTGGTCAATTTGCTTACGGACTTACGGTTATGACTAAAACTTTTGTACGTGCAATGGCCTTTACTGTCGGTATCAAAAATACATAGTTTGTGTCACGTATATTACAGATTTTCAGTGCTGAGGCCTGATTCTCGAAAATGTGTGAAAAATATCGTATGCGATATTTCATTAATGGGCGATTTGATTGACTGAGAATTATGATATCTAGTGACATTCATGAAACATCGTATGCGACATTTTTAATATACCTAGATTGCATGTTCGAGGAGTGGGGGTATAGCTCACGTAGAAAAGGATGCACTCTGTTTTTATTGTGTGTATTCTCTATTGCACACTCTTGATGGAAGGGGAATAGGGGAGGCAATTACTAACCTATACGACGATACAATCGCTGTTTTTTTATTTTTTCCGATATAGTGATCAACTTATTGTTAGATCACCGTGCCTTCAATTCACCCCGAGATTTATACAGGTATAGCCGCTGTACTGTCGTACAAGTTAGCAACTATCTCTTTTTATTCCCCTTCCGTCCGCGGTACGCGAGAGAGAACGCACAGTAAAAATAGAGTGCATTCTTTTCTACGTGAGCTATACTATCACTCTTGAAGTTTGCAAGAACGCACAGCCTAGGTATAATCATGTCTATAGTTCCGATATTCACTGCCAGCATTGGAAATTTAACATTATATAAACTTTATAACATTATTTAAAAATATTTTTAAAAAGATGTAATGCTTGTATATCTCTATAAGGCGAAATAGATATTTAGAAAAATAATGTTTTGACCAATTACTGACAATCGGATTTATCGTTATCATCTCAACATCAACAGATTTTTTTGAGATAGCATGTACGATATAAGAATAAAGGAAAGGGAGATAAATAAAATATATATAACCTTGCAAATAAATAAAATTGTGGCTAAAACAGATATTTTATTAGACAGAAATCTCATAAGATACGAATATTTGTTGTATAGGTTAGGAAAACTGCCAAAAACCTTATCAGTATCCATACAACAAAAATATTACACATTTGTTACAATAAAAAGGGGATCAAGCAATTATTACATGTCAGATGTCTCAGACCATCTGACTTTCTCGTGAAAACGTAGATACCCCTTCCCCTTGGAGAGGGGCGGGGATTATGTCGGACCACGGTTGTCGCCCTGACTGCACCATACATGGCCAGCACGTCACTACAACTGACGTCATAGTGACGTGCTTGCCACGTTCTGCTACGTCTGTGCAGACGGGGCGCCTCTCCCCCCTCCGGTTTTTCCCCGGAGTCTCCGGGCGAAACACAAAATCTCCGGCTCTCTGCCTCAGGAGAAAAAATCTCCGGGCCATATGACATGAGAAGAAGAGAGATTATATTTTCCCTATTTTTTATAATCGGACAAAGAGAAAGAAAGAGAGAGAGAGAGAGAGAGAGAGAGAAAGAGAGAAAAAGTAATAGTTTTAAGTCTTAACACTTTAAGAATTTTTATAAATTTTTATCAAATTTTAATCAAATAATAGTTATGTATTTATTTTTACTAACATATAAAATTATATGTTTAATTTAAACATAATATTATGTTAATATATACATATTATATATATATATTCAATATACATATTAAAATATTGAGTAGTGCGTATTTTTTCATAACATTTTTTTATAACGATGTGATAATAATGCAATGTGCGTATGTTCGTAAAAATATAAATAATGTTTAATTTTATAATGATTATTAGTATCGCACGATGTTTAATTTGAACTTAATATGTTAATGTATTCGAAGATTTAATATTTGATACGTATTTTTATTTGTTCGTGCCTTCCCCTCCCCCCCGTTTTTTTAGACCTCCGGGCAAAGCCTGGCATAGAGGTGGCAACCGTGTGTTGGACTCGTACCGACTAAAACTCCCTCCGGAGTGCTTACCAGTTGGGCCGGAGTGTGAGAGTTAGAGGGATTGACACTTCATTCTCTCCCCAGCGATAACCTTGATAACTATTGCAAATTTCGCAAAATGGTACGGGGGACTTTTGGGTTCGCTTTGACCCGCTCTATATCTCCACGAGAGATTATTCAGGTAGTTCGAGATATATATTCAGATTAAGAAATAAATAAAATAAATAACTTAAGAAATCAATACTTCCGCTATATAATATTAAAATTCAGTTTTAAAAGTAGAATATCTATTGTAACTAACACATTGCATTAATATCTTTAGAAAGCTATCTATTGTAACTAACATGTTGCATTAATATCTTTAGGAAGCTATCTATTGTAACTAATATGTTGTATTAATATCTTTAGAAAGCTATCTATTGTAACTAACATGTTGCATTAATATCTTTAGGAAGCTATCTATTGTAACTAACATGTTGCATTAATATCTTTAGGAACCTATTTATTGTAACTAACATGTTGCATTAATATCTTTAGGAAGTCATAACTATCCTATAAATATATCTTCCTCTAGCTATGATGTCTGGAATTTTATAACTTTCTTTTTTCTTTGTCTCAACAGTTCTCTTTTTGCCGATCTACGTAATACTCGTAAGTTCCACATTCTCGCAGCTGTAACAGTTTCATATTTCTACTGATACATATAGTAATGTACTAATATAATATATATAATATACAGAGTATATAATGTACTAAAGGGTATATAATATACTAATATATATAATATATTGGAACAATTTCTTATCCTTAATATACCATATATTCTTGAACAAGTTCTAAGACTATTTTTCCTCTTGCAAAATATTATTCGATGTTTACAAAATTATTGAGATAAATAGTTTCGCTTATTAACGCACCTTCATTAAGATTAACCCGATAAGATTAATGAATTTTATTTTTAATTTTACGATTTGATCATGAGTTACGAACATTCCTTTCTTCTCGTGACCGGTTAAGTGATAAAAACTGTCCAGGAAGAAAATCATAACGACATCAAAATGACGAGAAAATGGTCATAATGAGAAAAGAGTTTTTCTCATTATTCTGATGTCATTTTAATGTCATGATTTTCTGTTCTGCCTGAGTATTAATCTCAAGATAAGCAATCTTTACGAAAGAATACAAATTCGTCGATTCGCTTAAAAGTAAGAATATTTTATGCTTTCCAATCATAATTAACACTTCGTTTTTATAGTTTATTTTATAGTTAGAAAAAACTCGTGTAATATCAAATATTTTACTCTCAAACGTTACATTGTAATATCGTGTCCTAATTATATTATAATTACTAATTGATAATCCTCTCCTGCTCGCCTTCTGTCCTTTCGGCCCGTAATAAATGAACTATTTATCTTAATTACTCAGTAACTAAGCATCAGATAACATTTTGTAAGAGGAAAAATAGTCTTAGAATTTGCTTATTGCTCATTTGCTTAGAGAAGAATATGGTGTATTAAGGACGAGAGATTCCGGATCATCCTTATCACACATATTAATGACACACATGTCAGATTTTATAAGAAATTAGAAATTAGTAGAATAACGTCGGTGCAACGCGAAAGTGCATTTTTCTCGTTGCGAAATCAATCTTCCATATAACGAAATAACGTCAATAACGTTTTAAATTTCTAGAAATGCCCGAGCTGTATGCTTACGATTTCACAAAACGGTTTCATCATGAGTCATAGATGATTAACACGTTGACTGCCAACTACGAGATATCTCGTAGGTTGTTTACTTGCCCAGGACGCCTAACTGCGAGTTATCTCGTCCCTTCATTACTTGCCATATTTGTACAGCTACGAGGAAACTCGTAACAGTGTAAATATGAATAGATGGCCTCAGGAAAGAGAAAAAAAAATGTTTTTTTAAAGAAAAACATTTTTTAAGCTTTATGATTATTACTATGTACTATTATTAAAGTTTTTAATAATATAACATGATTAAATCAAATTGGCTCTTTAGAGCCGTGAAAAATTCCGTGGCAGTCAACGTGTTAATGTTGCTTCTTACTTGGTTACGAATATTTCCAATTGAAGGATTCCCTCTCTACGAAAGGTATCGAAACTTAAGGAAATAGAAATTTATCTACAGTGACAGTCGAAAACTTTTGTCAACTTCCATAATAGAATAAATGTAATTGCGGGGAAACGATGCTTACTGGCCACGTGTGACGAAATATTAAATAGCGAAAACAATCTGATTTGGTAGATTTCGCGATAGAAAAATGTAATTTCAAGTAATTTCAAGGAAAATGGTTTTATAATTTGTTCAAGGATATGATGTATTGAGGAGAAGAAATTGTTCCGGATCGTCCTGTACATAATATTTTAATACACTTAATATCTATTTCCCCGTTGTTTATCTGTCGGTCGTATCTCGGCAAAATTGCCACTCACATGTATATTTTCTGGAGCTTCCGATATTCGCTGTTGATACTAAAAATACATAGTTTTTGTCATATCATAAATTTTCAAATTTCTAGTGGTAATACATGTTGGAGCCTGGATTCCCTTCAAATTCGTCACGCATGCGTGTGAAATTCACCATACCTACGCTGCGACCATAATATTTAAAAACGTTAATTCTAGGATGTATCTGCTGTATCTGAGCGAGAAAGAAAGAAATAAGGGCGATTAAAGAGGGAGGGTACCCGAGTGACGTTCCCGAACACAACGCATAGAGAAATTTATAATTTGCTACCGCTAAAAACAAAATACGATGCACATCTAATGATCCACAAGATTCGCAGTATAACTCCGTTTACTTCATCCTTGTTATTTGCAGTTGTATAAAAAACAGCCAAGCCAGGGATCTGTTCCCTTTTTTAGATAAGCTTCAACTCCGTTTCTTTTCTCTTCAACACATACATAAATTTATTTAGTAGTAATTCGAAATGAAACGTCTAATGTTGACTCATGAAGATGAAGAGGCATGCATGACGTCTACTAGGAACCCAGGGTGCATTCCGTTTCACGCATATGCGCGCATTTATCTAGTTTATTTCACGTATACTATAAAAAATGCGCGCATATGCGTGAAACGGAACGTACCCCTAGTCAGGCTAGGTTGGAGCCAATCAGCATTCTGATTCTGCGCAAGCGTATTCTATGTGCCTATAAGACTCGCCATACAGTAAATTCGCTAAAATGTTTCAAAGCCTGACTAGACGTTAAAAGTGAACAAAGTAAAGAAGTTGTTTAGAAGGAAAAGGAAAGTTGTTACTGAAGTTCTTAGTTTCCTTTTGCATTTCATTTGGATTGGTTGGCCAGTGCTTCTCCTCTTCCGACTAGCGTTCAGCGACATTTAATACTAATTTGGGATATATGAGGCAGAGCCGACTTGGCTTTACTCTTCCTCGAACATCGTTCGTGTAAAGTCGTCTTCTGCTGAGAATCAGTTCGCGAGACAGTGTAGAGTCGACGTGTCGTTGGAAGTCGGTTCGAGAACGCGGCCTCCAGTTGCTCTTCCATTCGTCGACGTGAAGCGAAGAGGATCACACGCCTTTTGCGTTAGTCTTGCTCGAACATCGTTCACATGAAGTTGTGCTGAGAATCAGTTCGTAAATACAAGGCATTTAGAATACTGCAACACGGACGCTCACATCGCTAGAAATTACACAGTTTTCGGTTGCTCTTCCATTCGCCAACGTGAAGCGAAGACGATCGCACGCTTTTTGCGTTAGTCTTGCTCGACCATCGTTCGCGTAAAGTTGCGCGCTGAGAATCAGTTCGCGAGACAGAGTAGAGTCGACGTGTCGTTGGAAGTCGGTTAAAAAACGCGGCCTCCGGTTGTTCTTCCATTCGCCGATGTGAAGTGAAGAGGATCACACGCCTTTTGCGTTAGTCTTACTCGAGCATCGTTCACATGAAGTTGTGCTGAGAATCAGTTCGTAAGTACAAAGCATTTAGAATACTGCAACGCGGACGCTCACATCGCTAGAAATTACACAGTTTTCGGTTGCTATTCCGTTCGCCAACGTGAAGCGAAGACGATCGCACGCTTTTTGCGTTAGTCTTCCTCGAACATCGTTCGCGTAAAGTTGCGCGCTGAGAATCAGTTCGCGAGACGGAGTAAAGTCGACGTGTCGTTGGAAGTCAGTTAAGAAACGCGGCCTCCGGTTGTTCTTCCATTCGTCGACGTGAAGTGAAAACGACCACATGCCTTTTGCGTTAGTCTTGCTCGAGCATCGTTCACATGAAGTTGTGCTGAGAATCAGTTCGAAAGTACAAAGCATTTAGAATACTGCAACACGGACGCTCACATCGCTGGAAATTACACAGTTTTCGGTTGCTGTTCCATTCGCCAACGTGAAGCGAAGACGATCGCACACTTTTTGCGTTAGTCTTCCTCGAACATCGTTCACGTAAAGTTGCGCGCTGAGAATCAGTTCGCGAGACAGAGTAGAGTCGATGTGTCGTTGGAAGTCAGTTAAAAAACGCGGCCTCCGGTTGTTCTTCCATTCGCCGACGTGAAGTGAAGAGGACCACATGCCTTTTGCGTTAGTCTTGCTCGAGCATCGTTCACATGAAGTTGTGCTGAGAATCAGTTCGTAAGCACAAAGCATTTAGAATACTGCAACGCGGACGCCCACATCGCTGGAAATTACACAGTTTTCGGTTGCTGTTCCATTCGCCAACGTGAAGTGAAGACGATTGCACGCTTTTTGCGTTAGTCTTCCTCGAACATCGTTCGCGTAAAGTTGCACGCTGAGAATCAGTTCGCGAGACGGAGTAAAGTCGACGTGTCGTTGGAAGTCAGTTAAAAAACGCGGCTTCCGGTTGTTCTTCCATTCGCCGACGTGAAGTGAAGAGGACCACACGCCTTTTGCGTTAGTCTTGCTCGAGCATCATTCACATGAAGTTGTGCTGAGAATCAGTTCGTAAGTACAAGGCATTTAGAATACTGCAACGCGGACGCTCACGTCGCTGGAAATTACACAGTTTTTGGTTGCTCTTCCATTCGCCGATGTGAAGTGAAGAGGATCACACGCCTTTTGCGTTAGTCTTGCTCGAGCATCGTTCACATGAAGTTGTGCTGAGAATCAGTTCGAAAGTACAAAGCATTTAGAATACTGCAACGCGGACGCTCACGTCGCTGGAAATTACACAGTTTTCGGTTGCTCTTCCATTCGCCAACGTGAAGCGAAGACGATCGCACGCTTTTTGCGTTAGTCTTGCTCGAGCATCGTTCGCGAAAAGGTGCGCGCTGAGAATCAGTTCGCGAGACAGAGTAGAGTCGATGTGTCATTGGAAGTCGGTTAGAGTAACAACTGCGGTTAGGTAACAAAGTTGCGCAAGTGCAATTCATTTTTGGAAACATTAATGTGAAAAGTGCCAACAGAGAGTGTCGCTCTATTGTGGTTCCAATTTACCGGGCAATTTTCGCGCGTCTGAGACTGACTTATTTGTTGTGTAGGTGGCGCTGCCTATACTCTCGACGCAGCGTGTGACTATTGCGCCGGCGGACAGTCTGCGCGCACGTCGTGCGAGCGTTCTCACGACGCGGCCGCGCTGTAGAGAGGCGAGCGTGAAACGTCGGCGGAGGATCCCTCGGGGCCAACATCCCGACGAGCGTGAGAAGAACGGGAGGCCTTGCGCGCGGACACGAGGCTCGTCGACGAGGGACCACGACGACGACGGGCCGCCTATTACCATGAGTTACGCAACGAGTAATGTCTATTAGCATTACGTTACATCGAGGTGTAGGTGCAGCTTCGGGCCGATGACGATACACCGCGTCTGCGAGACGCAACGACGTTCATGAGACTGTCGCACGCAACCCTGAAAATCACGCAAACGTGGCCGACGCACACGTTTCCTTATGATATCGGACCGCGGTCCCTTGGAGGAGTCATCCTGCTAACGGTGTTGGTTATCCGGAGGATACGCGAGAAGTTGGCAGCGAGTGGAGGAAGGCACTTTTCGAGGTTCCGTTATTCAAAGTGACTACCTCTCGAGCGCGCGTGTGCTGTCCTCGAAAGAGAGAGAGAGAGAGAAAGAAAGAAAGAAAGAAAGAGAAAGAAAGAGGAATTGATCAGATCTCCGGAGGAGGATTAGCCGGCCTCACAATCGAAACGCGTGTCTCTCGCCCAGGCGGTGAGCAAGATTCTCACCCTTAATCGCGACGCCGCGCCGGCTCGCCATTCTACACGTAAGCGAGAGAGCCGAGGTGCAGCACGGTGTACACTCTCGGTGTAGGACACGCCATTTTCGATCGCTCGGGCCGAACGGCGTGAAGTAGACAGCGAGCGACGCCGCGCTCGCTGTGGTGGTGCCTATATCGAGTGTTACCCTCCGCCTCCGCAGCCCGCTTACCTAGTCTCCACGGTCCTAGTGCCGTGAAGTGTGCATTTAGTGAGCGAGCGAGAGCTGTGTACATATAAATGGCGACCGACGAAAAATGGTACTTCACGAAGGAACAGCTCGCAAACACGCCGAGTCGGAGATGCGGCATCGATGCAGACAAGGAGCTGAGCTACCGCCAGCAGGCGGCCAATTTCATTCAGGACATGGGACAGCGCCTCATGGTGTATCCTTTCTCGTAAACACACACGCTCGCGAGTGTCTCATGTCCTCTCGCATCGTAGAACGCTCTCTGCGCTACGGATGTCTCTTCTATGCCCTCCCCCTGTTTTGCGCGCGAGCGGCCGCGCGCTCCCGCGGTCCTTCGGCCGTTTCGCGGATCCTCTCAGACCACCTTCGTCGCTCTCTCAGGTGCGATCTGATCGGCTGCGTCGCGATAGTGCGACATAGGGAACGCGTATTCCGCTGTCCGCGCTTTTCCACGTGCCTGCCCGAGGGGATCCGCGCGACTGTCCCTTTATCCCGCATGGCGTAAACGTGGCCAATATCGCGGGAACGCAGGACACGCAGCATATTGAGAGGTCCCGTGCATTTGCAGGTATCATAAATGGTCGTTCTCGTCGATATACGCCGCGCGCCAGGGAACGCTGCTTTTTTTCGCGCTAATGGCGTGCTCTTGGGCGTGTGCGTGTGTCGTTCTCAGTGGAGATCAGAGAATAGGGTCATACTTGTGAGAAGAGAGAGAGAGAGAGAGAGAGAGTGAGAGTGTGTGAAAGGGGAGGAGGGAGGGAGGGAAAGAAAGAGAGAGAATAGTTATGCATTGTTCATCGAGCCAAGTTCCTGATCACGCAGGGATCTGTGGCAATTACAGATTTTTCGTACATTCTTTTGGTATTCTCCTTACTTAAGCATTGTTTGTTTCTGTTTCATGTATCGCTGTGATGGGATGGGAGACAGAATCTAAGTTTCAGTTCCCTAGGTGTTTTCTAGGTGCTCTGATAGGTTCGCAGGTTCCTAGGTTTCTCTTCTAGCTTCTGAAAGCATCGTTAAGTTTCTAGGAGAGACTGTATTTTGCAATTTATTGCATAGTAGGACTTTGGAATATTCAGAATGTAATGCTGGTCATGCTTGTTTGTACTGTGTTGAAGGATCTTTGAAACTTGCAGACAGCTCTCATGCTTGCTCGCATGGTAGCTCTCATAGTGGAATCTATTGTCTAATTGTTTTTATTGAAATCGGTGAAAAAATTGTTATGATTTATTAATGTTGTTTCTGTTACTTTGTATCTTTTACCACTTATATTAATAAGCTTCATCAAGCTTTAGAACTAAAGAAGAAAACTTTGTTATCAGTAGTTACATGTTTGTTACACAAATGTCGTTCTTATAATATTAAAATTAGATTATTGGTGGGGATGGAGAAAGAAGAATTGACGGTATATAATTCGTCACATCAACTTTCTCATATTGATGTAAAATCTGAAAATAAAATAAATTATTTTATATATAAACTATTGTACCTTCTATTTTCTAATCTTACCATTTAATCTCTAATTGTTTAAAGTTCCAATAACAGTGATGCTCTTTGCACATATCTGTTTTTATCGTTGCTCTCTTTACCTGTCCCTTGAAGGTGAGGATTGTAAGAGCGAAATTCTTTTCTTTTTTTTTTCCTTTGTTTCCTTTTATTGTTATGTGAGTTGGAGACATTGTAAACAGGAGAGAGACTTCTTCATTGTGCCTCTCTGTATGTGTGAATTTTATCAAAAATAGTATCATGAATAGAGGATTCGCAAAAGGATTTCATGGCCGTTTATGATATCTGCTGATGCAGGATACTTGTACATTCTCATCAGAGTATTTTGGTTATTTTGGAGATTAGTGCAGATGTTACCATATTCCTAATTTGATTAAAATAATGCAGCTATTGAGGCATAGATAACTCGATAACAAAAGACCCTTTTCTTATACTGAATCCACTCTTACAGAGATTCTTTACAAGCTGTTATTTGTATCTTATGACAAGAATTATACATATGTTATTTTAGGAGATATATGTCTCAAGAATTTTCCTTAACACAATAAATATATCAGATCTCAATTATGCATCAACACAGCCATTGTCTACATGCACAGGTTTTATGTGTTCCATTCATTGACACATTTCCATCGAAACTCCATTGCTGTGGCTTCGCTCTTTTTAGCAGCAAAGGTAGAGGAGCAGCCACGGAAATTGGAACATGTCATCAAAATGGCTCATATGTGTCTTCACAGAGACCAAGTTCCACCTGACTGTAGGTCTGAGGTAAGTGTGAGTACAGAATTGAGTTATTATTAAGATATATGCTTATAAGATATGCTAAATAAAATATATACCATACCCATACAGGTAGTTAATTATTTGTAGCTAACAAACCACTGTTATTTGGGTAGCCATGTTTTATATTACAGCAATTTCTTGAACAAGCGCAGGATTTGGTATTCAACGAAAATGTCCTGCTGCAAACGTTAGGCTTCGATGTTGCCATTGATCACCCTCACACACACGTCGTTAGATGTTGTCAACTAGTAAAAGGTATAGTTAATACCAAAGTAAATCGTTACACGTCTCTATTTATACAATATTTTATATTCGATTACAATAAACATTGTTATTCTTCCAGCGAGCAAAGATTTGGCCCAGACTTCATATTTCATGGCTTCTAACAGGTATAATATGCTATTTGTTATATGAGTCGTCTATTTTGAAAGTGGTGTAAATCTGCTTTTTCTCCCAACAATCATTTCTTTCAGATGGTTATATATTATTACTGATGGTAGTGTATATAGTGAGTAGGTAATAGAGAGTATAACCTTGTGTTTACAAAATTATAAATAGTTGGATACATCATTTTCAAGATCCATATAGTTCAAGATGCATATGGGAACCCATGTCATAAAAGTTAATTTCAGATTTTGATTTTGTTCAAACAAAAATATTTTTATAATGACAATATAATAATAATATATAACAATATCATTTATTTCAAATTTTTAATATGTATATGACTTTTATTATATACTTTTTATATATTAATGATTCAATATCCATATTTATGTTGTATAAAGAAAATTTCTAAACTAATCTTGATGTTCAAATGTGTTAAAAATATATTATAGAATTGTATATTTATTTATATTGCTCTTTGAGGCATTAAAAAATATTCCATTATTTAAATTACTATATATTTTATCTTGTTTTGCGAATATTTTTTTTTATTTCTTTTTGTAATTAAATCTATTTGTAACAGTTATTTTTTTCTGATTGATTACCAATTTATCTTAAAAGATAGGTTTATATTTATTTATAAGCAGACCGACACCAAGTTATTTTTCTTAAAATTGGATTTGCATCACTTTCAAAACAAACGGTTACCTCTCTGTATTGTGTTAAGACTATGTGTAGATACCAATAGGAATGAATTTCAAAATTAATCATCAAATATATATATGAGGATACAATAGAAGCACACAATATGATGGATGGAAAGTATAAATTCAGTATATTTTACATATCATATACATGTTATAAGTTTCAAACTTTATAAAACTACTCTTATACTTACTTTACTTTATAAAACTACTCTTATACTTACTTTACTTTATAAAACTTTATAATACTTTATAATACTTTATAAAACAACTTTCTCTTATAATTATAATTTTGTAAATTATAATTCAGCAGTCATTTTAATTTCGTAGATTTATCTATTTACATACATCTAATCGATACATGTCTTGTTCCATCTTGTATTTTATAAAAGGGTCATGGACAATTTTACAAATATTAAATAATCGAGTATTTATTTACAGGTTATACACAGATCTTCATACTCAATATCGTATTGATATTTTTTCAGTTTGCATTTGACGACAATGTGTTTGCAATATAAACCCACAGTTGTCGCCTGCTTTTGCATTCACCTGGCATGCAAGTGGTCAAACTGGGAGGTAATAAAAATTTTCATATTCACAACTTATATATTTGCGAGAAAAAATCAGTAACATCTATAAAATTTACAAGTTTCAAGTATGAAAAGTAGAACGAGTATCGACTTGGAAAATGTGTTTCTTTGCCAACGAGTTTGTTGGAGACCACTGTGAGGAGTGGTTCGACCCTAACCTTAAAATTTTTTGTCTTCAGATGGTGTGAATTGCCATCGCATGTGTTAAGAGAGTTTTTAAGAGCTAAAAAAGTAACATAAAATGAGTAACACAAGAAATATATTGTATCAGGAAGACTGAGAAAGGAAATTTGTTAAAATTATATAATTGCATTGATTAGAAACATGATAAATTTGTAATCAAAGAGAAGAAAATTATTTTTTAACATGATTTTCTGTTGCAGCAGAAAATCCTGTTAACTTAAATTAATCAGTCCCTCCAGTTTTCCTTCTTGCTTAATCAGTTTTTTAATACCAAGACATATTTCTATTGATACATATATTTCGAGCTTGTTTGTAATTTGTTGATTTTTCCTCGCATAGTTTATGTATGTATAAAATTCTAAAGACTCGAAGCAGAATATTTTGTAATTTTGACATGTAACAAATTATAGGAAACAAGTTTTCTTGTTTTGTATAATTTGTGTGGATAAATAACAAGATATATATACAAAACTATCTGTTATCTCGAGCGAGTGACAAATTGCTGAAAATTATTTTTATCAAAAGATCAAGCTTATATATTTTGAATCTCTGTAACAGGATATTTTTAATCACACCATATTTTTATTGCAAGATATATTATAAGATGAACTTAACGAATATTGGGATATTCGTTTAATAGGAAAACTACTCTCTTTATCTATTTTTAACTACTAAGTATATTTAATATTATCTAAATTGGCAGTGATATATACTTAATATACCTAGTAATATACCCAAGTTAAGTTCTATCCAAAAAAGTTCTATGTGCCTCCCAAGCTCCAATTAGAAATATAAACATAAACCGTGAACGCTTTCTTTTTAAATGTATTTCACATTATCGCTTTCTAATATCCATCGGCATTGATTTTTGTCATTTAACTCTCACAAATATTTTTTAAATCTATCGTGAATAATTATTGTTCTGAGATTAAGCAGCAATGAATATTTCCATTTTACTATGTTTCTAGTTGTAGCTTACACAACAGAATTATCGTCTCTTATAATGTATAGCAAGAGGATGGTACAATCTTACATAGAATCTTTCACATCTTGATCTTTTGATCCAAGCAAAGTGTGCTATCGACAGCTGGGTTTTCCTTCTCTGCAATCTTTTTATTCTTGCTATTCAAGCTTTTGCCGCAACTACGGCAAGTTTGTCGCTCGCTCGATATGTTTGTACATGAGAATTTCGGAGGTTGCCCCGCGAGAACTGCAACGTGCGCGAACGTGTGCATGTGTGGAAGCTGCTCAATTAATGATAATACTTTTAAGATTACCTGAACGGGATTTGTTGAAGTAATATAAATGGCGTCGGAGCCAGAAAGAGAGAGAGAGAAAGAGATCGTCTCGACTTTTGTACATAAGAGTGGATCCTTCTTACGTAGATCGTTACCATGATACCGTGCATTGTATTTTTCTGCGCGCGCGTGCGTTCGCCAATCGAAACTTTTCTTCAATACGATAAATATATCAGATCTCAATTGTGCATCAACACAGCCATCGTCTACATTTTAGTCTACACAGGTCTTATGTGTTCCACTCGTTGACACGTTTCCACCGAAACTCCATTGCTGTGGCTTCGCTCTTTTTAGTAGCAAAGGTAAAGGAGCAGCCACGGAAATTGGAACATGTCATCAAAATGGCTCATATGTGTCTTCACAGAGACCAAGTTCCGCCTGATATGAGAGTCTTTATACATAAGAGCTTTTTTACGTGGTTCGTTACCGTGAATACCGCGCATTGTTGTATTTTTCCGCGCGCGTCGAACCGATAAAAATGTTAGAGTGAAAGTCGTGATAAAAAATACGGAAACAATCGGTGGGAAATAGCTGTATCCGTCGCGCCGTTGCAGACTCACGCAGAATCATCGCGTTAACATACATCAACATGCTTCTAACGATCGCTTGCTTTTGTTGTCACACCCGCAGATACCGCAGAGCAACGAGGGCAAACACTGGTTTTGGTACGTAGATAAGAGCGTAACATCGGAACTTCTGCAACAGCTGACGGCGGAATTCCTTCATATATTCGACAAGTGTCCGTCAAGACTGAAGAAGAAGATCATGAGTATATCTGCGAGCCAAAGCCCGAGCATGCACTCGAGCATGTCGAATTCCCCATTTGTAAGTGACTTGGCGATGTCCGCTGAGCAGCGTCTCTTACGAGTTGAAGTGGGAATGTGCATGTTTTTTTATCCTTTCATAGGATGCCGAGCCGCACAAGGTACAGTCTCCGGCGACGACCTCGGAGGCCAGCTGTTCTGGCATTTCTCACTCGAGTCGGCCGCATCACTCGCAGGAGAAGCAGGACAAGTCCGAGGACAAGAAAGCGGCCGTGGCCTCGACGTCATCGTCGTCGACGTCTTCATCATCGAGGCCGATTGACTATCGCGAATACCGGGAGAAGAAAGAACGTGAGCGTCTCGAGAGGGAGAAAGCTACGCCATCGACGAGCACGCAGGGTCACATGACCGACCCGAGCAAGCACCACTCGCATCACCACAAACCTGTGGCGAATGCGAGCGTGCCGAACAAACACCAGCTGCCGTCGGTGCAGAAGTCGGGCCTCCACCACAACCACCATCATAGGCCCGACATGAAGATGAGTCAACCGGTCTCGCAAAGACACTCGACCGGCACGCAAGCCAGAGATGGCGGCCGCGACCCCAACCGACAGAGGTTGCCGCGGGACTACAACGTCGGCAGCAGCGCGACGAATAGCGCGGTCGCACATTCGTCCCGAGATGGCCTGGACACGACTCTTGACGGCGCATCTCACCGGGACATGGGAGCCGCGCAAGACGCGAGCCACGGCGGTCTGCAGGAGAAGCCGTCGAGCAATAACAACTACAACCTGCATAGGTTGAACACGCTCGACGGCAAGCAACAGCCCTACGACAAGAGGATGCACGACCCGAGGCACGGCAAGCCCGCCGAACACAAGAAGGAGCAGGGCGAGCCGAAGAGCGGCGCGTACGGCGGCGGCAAATACCCGGACCTCGCGACCAGGGTGGACCGACAACAACGCAAGTCGGACACGTTGGAGCAGAGATGCGAGGAGGTGCGGAAACTTATCGAGAAGCCGCTGCCGCCTCCACCAAAACCGACGGAGGTGTCGTACATGCTGAACGCACCGAAACAGCCGCATCACAGCAAGTACGACAAGTCGCTGAGCGCGTCGCACGCAGCAGCCGACACGAAGCACTCGACGGCGGCGTTGGGTCAGGCTGCGTTGTCGCAGCAGCAGCAGGACAAATCACCCAGCGCGCCAGCGGTGTCGGCGGCCTCCCAGGTCGCATCCCAGGCCTCGCAGAAGACCACACCGGCCAGGGGTGTACAACAGCAGCAACACAACCAGCACTCGGCTTACGGGGTGTCCCAGATCCTCAAGGATACCATGAAGAACGGCAGCTCCCAGGCGTGCCTGTCCACACTGAACAACGTGGACGACTCGAAGCCGGATAAACGAGCGAGGATGCACGACGACTCGGACAAGTCCATCACCGTCGACGTGCAGCAGCAGCAGCAGCAGCAGACGCCACCCAGCAGCCGGCACAGATCGCTGTTTAGTCCGGATACACCGACCACAAGGGAGCCACACGCGCAGAGGCCCAAGTCGAAGCAGAAGACACCACCTTCTGCGGCGAGGGCGCTGAAGCAGGAGCGCGCGTCGCCGTTCGCGAGCCCATCAGCGACGAGTTCGCAGCAGCTGGACTCTTTGCTGATGAAGCGGCCGGCCAGTGACAGCGTGGCACCACCGACACACAAGAGGCCACGCACCAGCAGCACCGGTGAGAACGCCAACGAACACCTGGCGAAAATAAAGACCGAAGATCCGGCCAGCCTGGAGGCTATGAGGATGCTCGGTCGCGTACCTGAGCTGATCCAGCCGATCCGCGACACTCCGCTGTTGACGAGCGGCGGTCGAGCTGGCTCCTCGGCGGTCCTCGGCGCCGACATCAAGCCAGAGCAGTTCGTTAAGTACGACCTGGACGCGATGGTGCCCCGCCTGAACGCGACGATGGCGCAGCACAAGATGTCGTCGATGAGCGTGCAGGAATTGACGAACGGTCTGGAGCCGAGCGTGCTGGTGAAGCAGGAGCCATCCGCCGAGTATCACGTAAAGAAGGAGCAACCGCACAGGATCATCCAGCAGGCGGTTACCGTGAAGCTCGAGCACCAGCCGCATCCTCACTCCCAGCAGCCGAAGCTGGAGTACTCGCCGATGAAGTCCGCGCAGAGCATCAGCGCGTTGTTGCAAGAGCCCTTGGCCCCGATGCCATCACTGCTGCAGGCGGCGATGCAGCAGCACAGCCAGACGCATCACAACCAACAGATGCACACGGACCTTCTGCAACAACAACAGCAGGCCGCTCTTCATCTGCTGGCGAACCAACAGCAACTCCCGATCAGCAACTCCGGCAATTTGTCCGTGTCGACCGCGAGCGAAAGCACGTCATCGATGATGTCGATGGTCGACATGATGAATGCTTTTGTGGTTATACCGCCGCTCACACACCACCAACCACCGAGCGTCACCGAATCTACGTCCGTCTCACTCTCGGTCGTTCCTCCTGCACCACCTCCGCCACCTCCACCAGCCGCGGCGACGGCGACGACAACAACGACGACAACGGCGACAACAACGTCGTCGTCGGCGGCGGCGGCGGCGGCGGCAACAACGACGACAACGACGGTGGCTGCACTCGAGGAGAAACGACCATCGGACCACCACAAGAGTGAGAAGAAGAAGAAAGAGAAGAAACACAAACACAAAGACAAGGACAAGACCCGAGAGAAGCACAAGCACAAGCACAAGGACAAAGACAAGGAGAAGCACCGGGAGAAGGACAAGGAGCGGATCGAGGAGTCTCCGGCAACGGCGGCGCCCATCAAGATCACTATCCCCAAGGATAAACTGAACTTGAGCAGCACAGAGGCGCCGACGAGCGTGAACATCGCGGGCGCTGGAAGTGGTGCGGCATCGCTACCGGACAAGAACAAGTCGCCGCAGAGCACGGGCCTGAAGATCAAGATCCCGAAGGAGCGGCTAAAGGGGGCAGCCGACAGCATGGCCAGTTCAGCCGCGCAGCCGGTGGTGCACGGAATGGTGCCCCTGAAGATCAAGATCCGGACCGACACTATTTCCAGGAGTTCCACAGGGCCGACGTCGGTGTCACCGCAGGCCCCGTTACCGGTCCAGCAGCCGCCGGCGACAGCGGGCGGCTCGAGCGGCTCGCATGCAACCTCCGAGTCGGCGAACGAAAGTGCGAGTCGGAAGCGCGAGCGGCCCGAGCAGACGGACAGCGGGGCGGCCAGCAGCAGCCAGCTGCCAAGCACGAAGAAGTCGCAGTTAGCCGCGGCGGGCTACAGCCAGGCCCACCGACCTGGGGAGCGGCAGAACGGGAGGCATTATAACTCCGGGAACAGTAATAAGGTACGTGGAGGTGGTAGAGGCGCCCGTCATTACAGCGGCCGCGCCCCCCCACCACTAGCCACTGGTCCTTACGCAGCAACTGGCCAGCGCAGCGGCGATGGTTACTATCAGCGAGATAATAACTACGGCCTTAGCAACCGTGGCCGCGGTGGTCAAGCTCCCTACCCGCATCAGTCCCTCCCGACACTCCCAGCCGCCGTCCGCGGCGACCTAGGCTACGCGAGGGGCGGTCACGCCGCCGGCGGCCAAGCGCGCGCGGACCAGTACTTCTTCGCGAACTATCCGCCGCACGCGGCGATGTACAATCCCGCCGGGTACATGTTCGAGCCTGCCTTCTACCAGCAATCGTACCAACAACAACAGTATCAAGCGCAGCAGCAGCAGCAGCAACAACAGCAGCAGCAGCAACAGCAGGCGGCTTTTCCGTCGATGTACCCGGCGGGAGGTGTCATCATGACGTCGGACGGCGCGATCGACACGTCGGTGCCGCCGCCGTCGATGCTGCACTCGAGTCTTCGCAGCCGGGGCCAGAACATCCTGCGGCAGCAGCCTGCGTCGTTGTCCGTCCAGCAGGACGCGGCGTCTTCGTCGTCGTCGTCGTTGCCACCCCCGCCGCCGCCGCCGCCGCCTCCTCCGCCGTTACCGTTCGGTCCGCCACCTCGTGCCACGCCCCCCCCTCCCCCGCCGCCTTCGCCGTAGCTAGGCGTCCCTGGAAGAGGACGCTGCCACGTCGTCCGTGGTTGTCGTACAAACCCGCGGTAGATCCAGTACTCTGGCTGCTCCGGTTCCCGCAGATGATCTCCCAGGCAAAAGCGTGGTCTCCCTCACCCCTCCCGCGCGATGAGTCAATGTATAGTGCCGCTCTTGTCCTTTCTCTCTTCCTCATCTTCCTCATCTTCCTCCTCTTCCTCCTCTTTCGCTTCTTCGGCCGGGAGAAGTCTCCGCTCGCGGAGCCTCGTCTCTTCTTCAACGAGACGCCGAGCCCTGCCAAGCTCATGCTGGGCCTCCCGCTCTCCGTCAGCGACGGTGCTGTCTCTTTTATTATCCTTGTACTTTTCTTCTTTCTTCCTCTCCCCTTTCCGCCCGCCCCACTCTCCTCGTCGTCCTTCTGTCGAGTCTTCTGCGAATGGTAGAGTTGGCTGCAGCATGACGTTGTCTTACCATGTCGCTTACTTTGCTCTCTCTCTCTTTCTCTTTCTCTCCCTCTCCCTTCTCTCCCCTCTCTTCCTTCCCTTCCCTTTCTATGACTGCTTCTTCAGTCTCTATCTCTTCCCTGTGTACGTGTATGGTAGCGTTTGATACTTCTCATCACCGTAGCGTACCCTCTTTAGTTGGACACGGCATTCTTTGATTCTTCGGCAACACTCCGATGGCGACGCGTGAGTTCGAGGTTACCAATCCTCGGTTACGGCGGGCTTGGGGGTTTGAGTTTTCACGATTTCGGAGGTTGCCCTTCGAGAACTGCAACGTGCGCGAACACATGCATGCGTGGAAGCTGCTCAATCGATGATATTACCTATAAGATTACCTGACGTTCGAGCTAAGATATTTCGTGCAATTTAAACTCTATTCTGACTAATATTTATACTTAATTATGGCTCATAGAAACGACAACGGGATTTGTTGAAGTAATATAAATGGCACACGTAGGAGTCAGAGAGAGAGAGAGAGAGAAAGAGAGAGAGAGAGAGAGAGAGAAAGAGAGACAGATCGCCTCGTCTTGCAAAACGAAAGTGCAACGGCTCTGGAACGATTTCTTTTTTTATTCCCTTTTTCTTTGGATGAACTGTTTATATATACGAGATATTTTGCTATATTATTTATTTATTTGTTAATTTCTTGTTTTGTACATATAAATATCACACGACACACACGCACACATATACCTCACACGCGCACACACACACACACACACACACATACGCACCACACACACACACACATACACGCACACACACACATACACGCACACACACACACACACATACACGCACACGTACAGATTTGTATATGTATTTAATGTATATAAATATTATATTATTTTGAAATTTGAATTCCTATGAGCGTTTCCTTCCATAAAATGTACGAGTAGCGGAAGGATAACGAGCACTTAGGCGATTTGGAGGCAATTTTCACGCGGAAAATGGCAAAGCTTCGTGGCAGCGGTCGCGTCATGAACTTGATGAACGTTCGAAGTTGCGTCGCCGCGAAAACGCGAGCGCACGCGCGCGAGAGAGAGAGAGAGAGAGGAGGGGGGAGGGAGGAAGGGGGGGAGAAATGACACTGCCAAGCGATAAACGAGAAGCCATTGTGATTTTCTTTTTTGCTTTACCCCGTAGTGGTGTGCGTATCGCGAGAGCTCAATTTAGTTTCAGCGAGAAGATTCGCGTAGGCGGTTATAATTTTCCATGAACGTAAACGTCGTTATTACGAGACCGCAAATGTAGATAGCATAGTTTAATGGCGAATCAGATGAGTACCGTCTCTTTGTGTCGCCCGAACGAACGGTTATATCGACAGAGTATATTATCACGCAAATACGTGAACGTTAACCATTTAATCGGAAGTTTAATTAGAATGTACAATAGAGAGTAATATGTTGCGCAAAGCGACAGCGCGTGCGAGCGGACGCGTGAAATCGTGATCGACATCGTGATAACTTTCACCGGTAAACGTGAATATATCGCGTTTATGCGTGTCCGTGACATCGAAGTACAGAGGGGCCAATTTTCTTTTTTTTTTTGTTTTTTTTAACTAGGAGCAAACGTAGAGCTTTGATAGATTGATGTATCCCCATGCAGCACAGAACATTGCTGCAACGTTGCGATAATGTTGCGGCAACATTACTGCAATGTCGTTGCAGCTTCTGTGCTGCGTAGATCCGCATATTTAATATGCCGAGATATACTCAGCACAGAAAATCGTAGCAACATTGCTGCAACGTTGCGACAATGTTGCGGCAACGTCGCAGCAATGTTGCGGCAACTCTTGCGCTGTATACGCACATACACGTGTATATATATCTGGGTTTATTATATATGTGAATATATAGAGTGTGCATATATATATATTATATACATGTATGTGTATGTATATGGACACACACATTCTTGTATGCATTTTGATTGTGTAATTTTCTATTAGAGTGATTAAAGCGGTAGAGTGATTATATGTTAACACGGTAATTACTACATATACATGCAAGTACGTTCAGCATATGTAGTAATTATCGCTGTACCTCTACGCGAAATAACTATTATTACAACAGATGTAACACGTAGATGTTCTCTCGATGAGAAACTATAACGAGAGAGAGAGAGAGAGAGAGAGAGAGAGAGAGAGAGAGAGAGAGAGAGAGAGAGAGAGAGAGAGAGAGAATCTTTTGTAGAGCAGATATCAACTCAGGTAGGCGCATTGTTTGAACTGAGTGGTAATGTGATCACAGTGCGCGTGCGCGCGCGCGCGTATAGATATAAATATATATATTGTGTAACACTTTGACCGCGGAATGGAATATTGTAAATTCTTTCGCGCCGACATTGTTGAGCAATGCGCTCGCGCGATCAAAGTGTTGAGAATTGTACATTTATTATGTGGCGTATGACACGCGGGCCGCGGTGTTGTGTCGCGGAGTAGAAGAGTCGCGGCTGTCGCATCATTGTTAATTATTATTATTGTCACGATTATCGTCGCCATTTTAATCCGAGAGGATGAAACGAGATCGGTCGCACTTTCCTCCCGCGTGAATTCAAGTACGCCTTAGAAGAAGGGGTGCGACCCCATACAGCACAAAAGTTGCAGCAATGTTGCTGCAACTTTTTGTGCTGTGTGGTGACGTAACGGGCTCGATTAAAATGGACAAAGAAATGTATATAATAAATATATATGATATTGTTGATTATTTTTCTGATATTATACACGTTTAGCTTTTGATAACTTTCGGATCGGAGCTTAGACACTGGCCGCGGAGAGTCGTTGCTTAGATAGGCGCAGGTATCTTTGACGTTTGCAGCTGGAGACGCGTTGAATTTTTTTCGGACATTATACACATATATATTTTTTTATGTGTGTATATATATATATATATATATATATATGTGTGTGTGTGTATGTATATATGTGTGTATATATATATATATATATACATGTCGCAGGAGTAAAGCCATTTTCGTATTTTCGAGCGACATATGACGGAGAAAATCGCGCGTACCTTCTGTGATTTACTAAAAATCGTGAGTGGCCACTTTCTTCGCCCACTCTGACCTGATCCGTTGCCAATTCGATCGATTTGTTGCCAACGTGATGGACATTTGCGAACAAAATTGTACGCGCTGACGAGACAGCGAATTGAACGAATAAATATATATATGTTTTGTTAAGAGCTCTCGATCGCTCGTGCGATCGCGACGTTAGCTGAAAGACAAAATAATTGCCAAGATAAATAATTTTTATACACGCTGTGGCCTTGAGAGGGAGAGAGCAAGAGGGAGAGAGCAAGAGGGAGAGCTATATATCCATACAACACAAAAGTTGCAGAAACATTGCCGCAACGTTGCTGCAATATTGCAGCAATGTTGCGGCAATATTGCTGCAACTTTTGTGCTGTATGGGATAGCCTGTCGCGTGGAGCGGTGAAGTAAAGTGTTTGAGTACTCGAGTCAATTCTTTGGGAGAATATTGCGCGATGAGGGAAACGTTGTCGCGAATGGTCGCTCCCGGAGAAGCGGGGAGTATGCAAATCTCTCTCGCTTTACTTTCTTCACGTATATCTGCATATGGCGTCTCCCTCACCTCTTTCTCGATTACCTGATGGATTCTGGGACCAATTTGGAGCTGACATTTCCCTGGAAAAAGTATTACGGTGGCCTTAATGTTACAAATGCAAATTATTGTTCGTGCGCGTTGCTGTTGTTCGTGTCAAGTCGGGTGACACCATTCGGTCTGATTCGATTCGAATCGTGTTTATTATGTTTATTTGTGTATACGCACACATATACATGTGTACATGGAAATTTTTAATTCTGTTTGATAAAAAATTTACTTAACGATGCACCCCGGGGTACTTAATACCGTCAATCTCACGACTAATGGCGAGAAATTTTTTTCTTTTTTTTTTTTTTTTTTTTTTCAGAAAATTACCTCGAAATTTGTCGTAGAATCTGACCAAGACACACAAAGGTGTGAGATTGCCTATGTAAAGATATATTTATTTTGCAAAAGAGAAAAGAGAGCCGGGAGCAAAAGGAAGGATGAGATATGCGAGAGTGAAAAGAACATAACATATACATGTATATACATGTATATATATATATATGTGTATGTACGTATGTATGTATGTATATATGTATATCGTATATTTGAGCTTGTACGTGTGCGAACCGCCGAGACAAATGATTTCGGAGACATAAATATTAAGTTACGAGAGAAGGGCCGATTTTCGCCAAGACAGGAAAAAGAAATATATATATATACATATATATACATATATATATATATACACACATATATATATATATATACACACATATGTATAACGCGAGAGCATTGCGTAAAACTGTACACGATGTATAGCTCGCCACCTGTCGCGTACGCTACCTGTTTTATAGTGAGCAGTTCCACTCGCGGAGTTATCGCGCGCGCGTTGTCACGTGCTCGGGAAGCTTCCCGCTGAACTCTTCTGTCCGACATCACCACGGCGGGTGTCGCGAAAGTAGCTCACGCATGGAGACGAAAGGGCGTCGAACGTAGCTCATGCATGGAGGCGAAAGGATGTCTTTTGCCGAAAGGTTGCTTTCGCCGAATCAATAAACATGAGATTATTATTCTGTTATACAGCAGGGACCGTACGCGTCACGTGATCGACCAAGAGACAAAAAAAAGTATAAAGCAAAGCAAATAAACGTTCTGTGCAACCGAAAAACAAGGTATCTCAGTTATTATTTATTTTAATTATTTCGTCTTCTTCTCAACACACAGTACCGCATGCACACACATACACACACACACACACGCACGCATACATGCGAACAGACATTTACACCTAAAAATATGTCACATACGCCGTAATCGTGTCGCATCTGTTTTATGTACTAACCTCACGACTCGCTATTTTGTATCCGCGACATCGCCATATCGCTCGCGCGAGTCTCTCTACGAGTCGGGTATGCGCGCAGGGTATGTTTATTAAAACAAGGCGGATTAATTAATTAATTATGTCGCTCGGTGCGTCATCTTGTCCGCTTGGTGAAGGGCACGTCACGACTGTGTTGCCGCTATTGTCGCCACGAGTATCGGTTTATCGTCGCTCTTACTGTTGTAATCGTATTATTGTTGCTGTATTCGCCGACGTGTGCGTGCGTGCGTGCGTATGTGTGTGTGTGTGTGTAGCGCGCGCGCGCACGGGCACGTGGAGTGTGCTTGACGTGATACACTGGCTGGCATGCGTGTGTATGTGTGTCTGTGTGTGTGTGTTGTGTGTGTGTGTGTGTGTGTGTACACGTCCGATATGCGTATGCATGCGCGTAAATCTCGTAGGTGAAAACGTTTCTCCCTCCTGCGCCGGCCTCCTGCTTTTTCGGTCGCGCTTTCGATCACAGCCGGGAGCGAAATCGGAGGAGACAGACGCGGAGATTCGGAGATCGACGCGCAAAATTGTGAAAGAAGGAAGTGACGCGTGCGTGCGCGCGCGGCGACGGAAATTTACTCGTTGATTTTATCGTTCTCTCTCGTGTCTTTTCTGCGATACGCCGCTTGCTCTCTTCAGAGAGAGAGAGAGGCTTCGCGATTAGTTTGTCAATATCCGTCACGAGAGCGTGAAGAGTTGCCGTTGAAATGTCGAGATTACCGCCGGAAGGCGAGTCGGCGACGGCTGATTTGAACGTCCGCCGCCGCCGTTAAACGCCGTCGTCTTCCTTCACTCGCGTTATTTTACATACACGCGCCGCGGCACCGACTTGTAAGAGTCGTCAAGGCTCTCCGACACGATGTTGCTCGTCGCGCATATACAGGGTGTCCCATTTTAAATGTTCCGGGCAAATATGTCGGAAAATATGGAAGATACGGTGAAATGTTTCGGACAAAAGTTGTATGGTTTCGAGGGGGATATAAAATAACTGTATCGGTTTATTTGCAGATGGCGTCACTTTCGAGATATTCATTGATCATCGCTTTTCTTCAATGGGAACCCCCATTTTTTATTACGTCTTTTTCTACCGATTAATTGAACAACTTTTGTCTGAAACATTTTTCCATTTGCCTGATATTTTGTGAGGATTTTATTTCAGAAAAACTTGGTAACTTTCTCGACATTTAGCTTGCGATATCTCGCTAACTATTTTTCGAAAGAAAAAGTGGTATTAGACTTTTTTTATTCTATTTGGTCTCAAGAATATATTGTTACAATAGCGCTCTAATTTTTGTTAATTTGATGATTTTGAAATTTCTGAAGGTCAATGAGTTAACAAAAGTTAAGGCACTATAACAATATATTGTAACAATATATTTTTGAGACCAAATAGAGTAAGAAAGTCTAATATTATTTTTTTTCTTCCGATAAATAGTGAGTGAAATATCGTAAGTTAAATATTGAAAAAGTTACTGAGTTTTTCCTAAATATCTTAAAAAGTATTAGACAAATATGTTATACAATAAAAGTGTTTCAGACAAAAGTTGTTAAAATTAATTAGTAGAAAAAGAAGATGCTCAAATTCCATTTGAGGAAAATAATGATCAATGAATATTTCGAAAGTGGCGCCGTCTGTAAACAATCTGTAAACAAACTGATACAGTTATTTTATGTCCCCCCTTGAAACCATATAACTTTTGTCTGAAATATTTTTCCATATTTTTCGAAATATCTGCCTTTAACATTTATGTGGAGACATTTAAAATGGGACACCCTGTGTTTATAGGGTGTTGCTGAAGTACCGTCGAATATTTGAGGAGTTGATTCTTGAGATCTCATTTTGAGGAGATGAATTTGCGCAAGAGACTTTGATCTGAAACTTGATTTTGTAACCTTATCGTCTTTTTTTTCTTTTTATTGCCAAGAGAAGTTTCTTTCTCAAACTTATTTTCATTTCTGCCAGTTTTGTAAAAAGTTGACGTCTCATTATTTTGTTAAATAGCTGCCACGAAATACTCTAGGTAGATTTCGATTAAGCTCTGTTTGAGAGATTCGATTTCGAGATTTTGCTCACGGAACGATATTGTTGTGGCATACAACGTTGCAGCTATGTTGCTGCAACTTTGTGCTGTATATGAGCGGTCTTTCGCATATTATCTTCATCTCTCCACATAAATGAGATCATCACGAGTTACATGAGAAAATCTTATATAGTTTTCAATCGCGAACGATTTGCATGCAGATTCGAACACCGAGTCGCTCGTTTCGAGGATTTCATCAGGACCGTCGAGTCCTTTTGAAACTCGCGATCCTCGGAATCAACGGCCTCGATTGTCGAAGACCCGCGATGAGAGTGCATGATGCCGCTTTTGATGACAAAACTTTCAATCACATGTGCATTGTTTCACGGACCAGACATCACACGACTCTGCTTGTTTTCAGGACAGACACACGTCCAGCCATCACAAAAGCTCTAACAAGGTGACGCAGTCCCACCAGTCCCACGCGACGTAGTATGCTGTTGGACAGAACGATCAGGACGTTCCACGGCGGTTTCCGAGGTTATTTAACCGCCGTGCCGAGGACAACGTGCTGAGTAGCGCGCGAAGTTCACCGGAGCGACACGACTGCGCCCCGAAAAATAGCTTCGAAGTAGTCGTCGAGCGCGTGCCGCTCCGCTCGCCGACAGCGTCATCCGTCTCCATTTCGCAAGGATCATTCCTCTCTTGCATTTCTTCCCGCTGCTTTCTTCCTCTTTTTCTTCTCTTTTTTCATGTTTTTCTTCTCTCGCCGTGCGCGCGTCTACTCTTCTTTCTTCATATCCTTTCTCCCTGACTTGTGTTAGCTTCCGCCGGCGAGGATACGAGACGCATGAATGAAGGATGACGAGCACCGTCTCCCTCCGCGATCAGTCGGCGGAAGCTCCGAGCGGAAGAGGCAAGCGTGATCTCGCTCAGATTGAATGTACGTTAATTCACTCATCAGACGCGTCCTTGCCTCCTCGCGTTCACGCTTCGCTCCTGTGACGCCAGCAGGTTGCGGTCTTTGCGAAATGCAGCAGGAATGATCCTTGTCTGGCAAAACTCGAGCCACATCCAGCTCTCGCGTCGCTCATCACCTGATCGCGAGTGGCTCACGTGCAACATGTCGACTCGATTGCGATTATTGTTGTACGGTCAAGGTACTCCGCCCGTCGCCCCGTTCGCTCGCTCGCTTGGAAACGTCTGGTGCGTCCTTTGCTGAAAAATTTCTATTGTGACCAGGGAGGAAATTTCTGGAAAAATTCCTATACCTCACATGGGAAATTTGTCGCTAGGGTCGACTCATCTCGTTCGGGCTGTCGCTTCACTCGTCGCGGATTAACATCTGGAAGCTTGCGGACATTCAAGGACCCGCCGCAGAGTCGAGATTATCGCCGCCGGACCGGGCAAAGTAGCGGAAATATGTCCTCGCTGGACAATTCGAAATTGCGCAATGCGTGTGCACGCGACGATGGCGGAGTGCCGAGTTGAAGAAGAATACGGATACGTCGCAGCGTGATGATCGTGATCATCTACGGTTGGTGTTGGTTTCCTCGCGCGTCAAGTAGATCCTACGAAGCTACGCAGAGATAGGATTTTGACAAAAAAGGCACGACGAAAGAGGGGGGAAAATGGGAGGAAAGATGGAAGAGATTGGGGAGCTGGTTCTTGGATTCTCCCTTCGCACCGTTTCTCGTTGCCTTAGTGATATTTCGATGTATATATATATACAGTGTCCCAAAAGTCCCTCGAATCTCGGAAATGAAGGATTTTGGAGTAAAATGTTTCGTACAAAAGTTGTGTAGTTTCAAGTGACGCGTTACATAACGTTTACATAATGATATTGATATGATCCTGAATAGTGTTGTCAAGGTTATATAAGGATCACTTTGAAAATTTTAGATGGAAACTTTCATCTTTTATTATCGTGTCATCTTCCTCTGCTGATTAACTTCAACAACTTGAACAACTTTTGTCTGCGAAACATTTTTGTCCACTTAATATTTTTTGAGATATTTAAGGAGAAGTTGGTAATTTTTTCAATATTTAGTATTTAGCGGTAAATATATATTTAAATATTTATAATTTTGTATTGTTACGATATCTCGGTAACTATTTGTCGGGAAGAAAAATAACGCTAGACTCTTTTACTCCAATTGGTTTCAAGAATACTGCTGCTTGTAACTTGTCCTAACTTTTGTTAATTTGCTAATTTCGACATTTCTAAAGATCGAGTCAACAGAAAAAGTTAAGGCACTATTGTAATATTCTTGAGATCAAACAGAGCAGAAAAGTACCGCTCGTACTGCTTTTTCTTCCGGCAAACAGTTCATCGACATATCGCAAGCTAAATGTTGAGAAAATTACCAAAGATTGTTCCTTAAGTATTCATAAATTAAATTAAATTAAAAAATTAAATTTCCTGGAAAATACATAATATATATAATGTAATATAATATATAATATAAATATAATAATATAATAATATAAATTTCCTTAAAAAGAAGTTTTCTTTAAATATCTCAAAAAATATTGGGCGAATGAAAAAAAGGTTTCAGACAGAGTTGTTCAAGTAAAAGACGGCACAAATAAAAAATGGGGGTTTCCGTTAAAAGGTTTCAAAATGACCCTTACATGATCCTAATATCGCTATTCAAGCCGTCACATCAAAATCACTACGTAACGCTTGAAATTCCACAGTTTTTCTATGAAACATTTCTCTCTAAAATGTTTTGTTCTTGAGATTCCGGAAGTGTTTCGGGACTCTTGGGCCAGCCTGTATAAATAGATCCCACCGTTCTTCCGCGTTTCTGGAGGAACATAGAATATGCAATCGCCGAATTCTTGGCCCATCGATTGACACGCCGCGCGTCGACTGGTTCGTTGCAGAGAGAAGATTCGGCGGTTGATCGCGCGCGCGTTTTTCCGCCGCTCTCGCCGACTGAGCGACGAGAGTCTCGCGCTCTTTTTACATTGTCTTATTGTTGTTTTCCTTTTTAAGCAGAGCGCGACGTGGTGCAAATTTCGCGCGGACTCGGCTTGGTCCGGCGGTCTCGGCTGGCGGAGAGCGCGGCTGGTTACGATTGGATATGCGGCGCTGACGTTGGCGTGTGTTCGACATATCCGTCAAGTAATGTAATTTTAGTAGACCCCAGCCGAGACGAGTAGTCAAAATTGCCGCGATTCTCCGGTCGATCTCGGGGACCGCGGGCGCATTTAACGACGTCCTGACTCCGGCTGTGCCGCTCGCGACGAGTTCTTTCATCCCGCCGCGGGCGCGGCCGTCTCTTCGTGAGCTTTCAATCCCGAGACTCGCCCTCTTACAAACTCGCTCTCCGGGCCCCGGCTTCCTCCGGAGGGACGCCCGTTCCATTCCGCGAAGATTTCCTTACGACCGAATGTCTCTACAACGAATTGTAGATTGCGATTGATCGTGAGAGAAAGAAAGAGAGAGAAAGAGCTAATGAGGGAAGACACGTGAAGACACGATGCATCTCCCCACTGCTCCCCCGCTGTTAATATATCCCCCGATAATATTTATATTTGCCGTTTCACCGTGTAAATACTTCTCTACTTGCATAATATAGCTACACGATTGTATCGTCGTACTTTATAGCGCGTATACATATTATACATATACATGTGCATATATTCGTGTATATATATACACATATATATATATATGTGTGTGTAATGTATATATTATATATGTGTATATACATACGTGTGTGTATGCATAAAAGACTATGTAAGAGTAACTGATATTATTAACAGACTGTAAATAAAATTATTTTGTATGCCAAAAGAAACCAAATGAGAGTAAGCTCCGACGCACGGTGTCGCACGCGTATAGAGGGAACGCAAAAAGCGCGTACACCCACCCACCTAGCCAGCCACCCACCTATACACACACACACACACACACACACACACATGCACATGATTCTTACACACGCACGGACACACACACATACACATATGATTCTTACACACGCACGGACACACAGAAGATACAATGCACACGCGTGAAATGCTCCCCGAAATAATGTATAATAATCGCGCCACCTTGCGAAGTCTTACGTAAGAAAGAAGTACGCGACGTTCTGTGTCGGCGATGTATATAATTGTACGCGCCGATTATAATAATTAAACTTCGTTCAGCGACACCGCGAGACGTGGCCTCAGCGTGTGTCCGCGACTCGGTTGACGATCGTCCAATCGTATTTTTTAATACTAATCGTTGACGAGATCGACTTAAGTTAAAAGCAAGATGCGTGTGTATAGTTTGCGTGCGTATTGTAGCCAACGACGGGAAAAAGAGAGAGAGAGAGAGAGAGAGAGAGTGTGTGTGTGTGTGTGTGTGTGCGTGTGCGTGAAGAGAGAGAGAGAGAGAGAGAAAAGGAAAATAAAAGAAGATACGTTGGACCAGCGCGCGCTAGCGATTTTCATAGCGGCATTTACTGCAAAGATGCGAACGTTCGATTAAGTAGAGACGAATACCTGCGCCTCTCCGTCGCGAAAACAAGGATTCGCGAGCTTAGCCGCCCGTCTTACCGCTTCCTTCCTCTCTTTTTCTTGCTTTTTTCTTGTGATTTTTTTCTTGCTTTTATCCTGTGATTCTTTTTCGTCTCTGCGCCTTGGCACGCGCACGATGTTGTCTATTTGTGATCAGGAATTAATCGACAAAATAAATTGGAAGAGAAGGTGATGTGTTGAACATTCGGTACGATAAAACTTGAATTTCGCGATGTCCTAGGAATATTTTCAATTCTTACTGCAACAGAGAAAGAGAGAGAAAAGAGAGAATGAATGAATGAGCGCGCGAGTGAAAGTCAAAACGACTGTATTTTATCGTACCGGTATGCTCACCTCAATTTTAATTACGATTTGTTTCAAAGCTAAAGAAAAAAGGAGGAAGGGAAAAAAAATATTTATAGAGAGATATAAAAAGGAGGAAAAAAAGAGAGCGGCAAAATTAGACGATTTTTGATAGGAAATTTTTCGTTGAGCATTATTCGTTAATTTCTTGGCTACGTGGCGGCGTTCGTCGCTTATTCCTTCCATAGATACATGTAATTATTACACATTATGTAATTATTACAATCTTGGATGATTGATTGAGAAGCTGTTGGGTGGAACAGTAGCGTAGATCGTGATAGGAAAAGATCAATTTTATGTGTAATGTATTTTTTATCACGTTTTAACAGTGAGATGCGTTCATGATTACTTTGACAAGTTATAAAATTTAAGTATAAAATTTTAAGTTCTCCCTGCGCGTTATGCGGCTGGATTTTCGTAAAGAAGAACAGTCTCTTTACCAGAGCTTTACAACTTGTACTTTACACGGAACATCTCCAGAAATTATTTTTATTTCGTCTTAAAACTATGGAAATGTGACTAATATTTAGTCTGTTGCTATACATAAGTAATAATTATTAGTTAGTTAATACGTGTACATATGTGTATATTGTGTGTGTATGTGTATGTGTGTGTGCGGCCGCGCGTAGATATATGTGTGTATTATAATTGTGTACAGGGTAATCACACGTGAACTTACCGCCTAAAAAAACAAAGAAAAAAAATTTGATACAAAATGATCGATTTTACAGAGAATATTTTAGATAAAAGTTAAATTTATGTGTGTATGTGCGCGCGCGTACGCGCGCATGTGTGATTTTTTAACGAATTGTATTTTTGTCACCTCATTTTGTTCCTATGTAAAAGCGCCAAGGACATAGAGCGCGTGGAGGTCAACTTCATGTTTTTCTAAACTACAATATCTCAGTTTTAATTAATCGCAATTGTATCGACGATGTAAACAAGAAAGAGGCAAGGAGCCTACGATCCGCATCGCTTGACTTCTCCTAGGGATGATCATGAAATAAACAAATCGTGGAGCGATACATGAGAGACGAAGCGGGGACGGTGATGAAAACATGAATAAAGCGATGATATTGCGAACAAAAGATAATACAGCTTTTTATTTAAATAATATGCTCGAACCTCTGGACTCTTTTCTGAGCATACTATTTAAAAGATGCACGAGTCACTTGCAACGCTGACATCGTACGCTTTACTTCCTAATCAATTTCCTCAATAATTATCTATCAAATTAAATGACAAGTTTGGCCGTGTCAATTAATAGCGTGACAGCCCTAACGAGTCTTACCGGATTATCAAGCTGGTCATTTTCTCGTCAGTTTCTAAATTAATAAGTTCAGGAGACACGTTTCTGTGCATACTGGTCGACCTATGCTGTACACTTTTAAGTACAATGCGATACAATTAAGCGCTACAAATATCCTGTACACGATGGTTCCAAAGGATACACTGCATCCGCCTATACAGTACAAAAGTTGCGGAAACATTGCTGCAACTTTTGTACCGTACGGGTGCCTATGCTGCGTTGTACACATTTTAAATAATGTACTCCAAAATGTCGAGAGGTGAATATTGAATAAGGTGAATAACTGTTGGAGCATATTATTTAAACGTTCAATATCCAACAACATTTTTCAAAGAGTTTAAGAGTTTTAAGATTATCTACACATTGAAATGTGTATTTTGTCTGCAATATCGCTGCTTTGTTCAACTTTCATCTCTGTCCCCTCTTCTCGTCTTTGACGTTTCAAGGTCATCTGAGGATCAAATATGATACCGTTGGGCTTGTTCCTTTATTACCATACAGTTACAACAGTTTAATTGCAACTGATTGAATTAAACAAATTAATTGCAACTAATATCGCAGCTGATTAAAACAGGATAATCCATCTAAGAGTGTAAAGTTGACTTTTCTGCGCGACCTGGCGCGTTTCTATACGGGAGGAAAATGAGGCGACAGAAATCCAGTCTTTCAAGATCGTCTGATTTTCGTCAAAGAAATGCTTTTCCGTGAAATGTTAATGTTTATCAACTTGGGCGGTACGCTAATGAGACTCACCCTGTATATATGTATACACACATACTCACATCCACACGCACACACACATGCACATACAATTATATTATTAATATAAACTTGAAGATTCTGTTTTACCCAATGGCTTGTATCTGCAACCACGAAGTAACGTTCGAAGAAACGTCGGGGATCGGCCATGTAGTCGTTAGTGCAAGGCGCGAATGAAGCGAATGCAGGTGTATGTAATCGCGCTTGTAGAGGAGAGGTTACGAGCGCGACAAGTGAAAGTTGATATGGAATCGTGTCCACAATACTGTAAATAATAACTCTAACTGTAAGAATATTGAGAAAACGGAAAAAGAAAAAAAAAAGCAGAACAACTTACTGTGCACGGAACAGAAGGAATGTTACTCATTATTTACCGCTCGTGAGCCGTGCATTCCGTACTTTACGATTCGCCAGCCGATCTCGGTCGCGCTCGACGTGACGTTTCGTTCGTCCTCCTTTAGGCTCCTCATAGGGAAAAGAAAAGTACAGAGGGAATAAAATCGTGTTACTACACGACGAGCACCGGCGCTTTCGTTGTGATTAGTCTGATACTCGCGATGGACTCGCCGCTTCGTGCATTCACGGTTTTGAAATTTCGGACGTCGTGCGCATGGCACGTGCGCAGTGCAACTTAAAGTTCGGCGCGACTGAGATCCCGGCTGAGCCGAATCGAGTTTGCCTAGTTTAAGGCGGCGTTCAAAAATTATCCTCAATAAAAAGAGAAGCAAACGATCATTAAAACGAATTGTCAGTGAAGTTCCTCCATTCCCGTTTTCTCGTGCATCTATTGAACAGCGAACGTCATCCGTTGCGACCATTCGAGCATGCGCAGTACGGCTGAGTGATGCTGAGTAATTCGTAAATGCGAATTCACAGGCGCAATTCAAAGTGAGAGCCACTCTGAAGATGACTCCCAGTTCCGATTAAGCCGATGGACGACTAATTTAGCCGGTAGAGCTATTTGCCGAAAGTTGGAAAATAAAAACAGTTTGTTGTTGGAACGAGTGAGAAATTTTCATGTTCTCTCTAATCTGTAATCTGTATCTCATCTTTTCAGGAATATATACTCCACATGTACATATATACGTGTGTGTGTGTGTGTATGATTGGATGCGTAAACATTTTTTTTATTCAAGAACGTTGTCTTTTATCTTTGATTATCGCTTTCTTTAATTCGGACACGGACGGATTAAAGGAGACAAACTGAAAGGTAAACCTAAAATCCACTCCTTTTAGCTTTTAGTGCTGCACTATAACTTTTCTCTTGAACATAAATTTGTATGCTTGTTTCGCTCTGATGGCGAAAAGTGCAGTCTATAGGTCAACTAAAAAAGGACAGAAATTCAAATGTTCATTCGAGTGCACAGAATGGGAAAGAATGTACAATTGCGCCGACCTGAAATTTGAATACAATAATACTCAATTCTCATATCTATTTGTAATTTCGTAAAATATCAGCAATTGTCTCTGACAGTAATAACAAAAAAATAATATAATATAATATTATAATTTATATAATATTAATATAATATTAATATAATATTATAATTTATATAATATTAATAATAAATATAATATTATTATAATTTGGGTAATAGAAAAGTTGAGACATGTATAATTTCTTTCTTTGCATTTTCGTTTTGACTCGTTTCCGTGCGGATGTTTATTTTTTTTCTTATGTTTAACATGTAAGTTTATTTTATTTATGGACCTGACATAGTCATTAAAATGTACAATAAAACAAAACTGGAAACCGCGATATTCATCATTTCAGGACCAAAACAGATCACTATTTCAATAAATTACTCTCCTATATACATATTCGATTTTCTTCTATTTTAATGTCGTCGTCATATATATATATATAACATTTCGCGATCACAATAACTTTCTCTTTTGTTATAATCCAAGAAACGCAACAGCTTAAAGTTTTTAGGATTTTATTGATTAACCAGAATAATATATCTGAAGATCATATTAAACTGATATTTAATATATTACAATTACTTATCAATATATAAAATTACTTCTTCGACACACCGACCGTGCGCAAGGATCAGTCAGGATGGTCTTTGTGTGTTGACCACGTACATTCAGAGGCAGGTATGGTGTCCCTCGGCGATGTCGTATACGCCTGTAAAACAATCGAAAGCCATGACAGGCATATACGCATATGCATATGGGTACTGTACAGCGTACTGTACAGCGCGAGAGAAGCGAAGAGGGAGAAGTGGTGGGAGACGTTCCGATGTTGCATCCTTATCGCACGTCGCACGAACGAGAGAGAAAGCATTACCAGACGTGGTACGGTTAATGGTGTCCCCAATAGCTGTCTCACTCTCTCTACGCTTGAATGCAGGCAATATGAGTGAGACAGCTATAGAGACACCGCGCTGTCTCTATAGGTGTCTCGCTCGCTCTAATAGCCATATATCGCGCTTTCCTCTTTCCTCCTTAGCAGAAATGCCGATCAAGGAGGCAATCCTGTCTATAGGCCAGAAAAATAAGCTATTTTCGCGAATTTTTTTTTTTCGGAAACTAAGCAGACGATTGATTTCAAACTTGATAAAAATAATAATATATGTTTTATTGATGAGAATGAATTTTTATAGCGTTATATGAATAATAATGTAGCAAATATACAAAAAATAACGTGACGTGTTTAGGCGCGCGCCGTTTCACGGTTCCTATAAAATCTCAAAATACGGTAGACTGGGACAAAAAGGCAAGTAAAATAATTAATCTATGAACTTGCCGCTAACTCGTTTGAATTAAGGAAATAAAAAACGAACTACTTTTTTAATATTTTAAGGCATTTAAAAATTATATTTGAAAAATCGTCATAAATATCGATGATTTTACGTTAAGAATATTTTATTTGCAAGAAAACGATATTTCATGAAATTTTCGAAAAAACTTATTTTATGCCGTAAGATATGTCAAATTGCGCAATTCTTTTTAGACGCAACATATCTTTACTTTTGAAAAGACTACGAGGAGGGAGAATAAATGCAACATCTTCCTTAAAATGCTACTTAAAATATAGGCTCCGCTCTTAAAAATATAAAAAAAAAATTAGGAGACATTTAATAATAATAAAAATTACAATAATAATAACGAGACGCTATATAGCATCTCCTGAAATCAGAGAAAAAACTTTTTTTATATAAAAAAGTCGATCAATCGACTTCAGCATCTAATTACATATTCGAAACATGTCTATCGTGTGAACTAGCGAAAAAAAAAATATTAATTTTTTATATGCACCGCGCTATCTCTATAGGTGTCTCATTCGCTGTAATAGCCAATGGCATTTATGCTCGCAATTTGACATATCTTACGGCATAAAAAATGTATCGCGCTTTTCTATTTTATAACGCCATAAAAATTCATTCTCATCAATAAAATATATATTATTATTTTTATCAAGTTTGAAATCAATCGTCTGCTTAGTTTCCGAAAAAAAAAAATTCGCGAAAATAGCTTATTTTTCTGGCCTATAGACAGGATTGCCTCCTTGATCGGCATTTCTGCTAAGGAGGAAAGAGGAAAGCGCGATATATGGCTATTAGAGCAAGCGAGACACCTATAGAGACAGCGCGGTGTCTCTATAGCTGTCTCACTCATATTGCCTGCATTCAAGCGTAGAGAGAGTGAGACAGCTATTGGGGACACCATTAACCGTATCACGTCTGGTAATGCTTTCTCTCTCGTTCGTGCGACGTGCGATAAGGATGCAACATCGGAACGTCTCCCACCACTTCTCCCTCTTCGCTTTTCTCGCGCTGTACAGTACGCCCATATGCGTATGCGTATATGCCTGTCATCGGTTTCGATTGTTTTACAGGCGTATACAACATCGCCGAGGGACACCATACCTGCCTCTAAGTGTACACGGAGACACCAGTAGTGAGCTTACTGCAGCTCACTTCAGGACGAAAAGAAGCCATTCTCTACTTCCACTTCAATAAATTACTACAATATATACTCACAATGATCTCGCTCGCAATGAACGTTCTCGATTTTCTTCTATTTCAATGTCATCGTAATGTATATACATGCATATAACGTTATTTCGCGATCACGATAATTACATACAGCAATTGACCGCCAGATGGACCGAATTAATTCACACATCTAATATAGATATGTATAAATTAATGTATAATGTTACTTATACAATATACAAAATTATTTTTTCTTCGACACACCGACCGTGCGTCCGCGACGACCAGTGGTCTTTGTGTGTTGCCCACGTACGCGGAGACCCCAGTAGTGACGCAAGCCTCTGTGAGCACGGATCTTCTTCATCCTCTCCAGATCTTCACGCAGTTTGGAGTCCAGATTGGCACTCGTGAGCTGCGAACAAATCACACAAGTCAAAGAGATATTTTGTGATGTCTTACGAACTATATTATTTGTATAATACGATGCACACCCTTGTTGCACGCGTACCTGCCATTTAGCGTAATAAAAACGTTACACAAAGCAATTTCAATGTACAGCGATGCTATTGCTATTGCACAAGCTACCAGCTGAGCATACAATGGGTATTTGCACGATCAGTCATGAATTGTACGATAAGACTCGCAAGGTACGGCGAAACGAAGTTTATCATTTAAAAGATATATATAGCAAATACTACATAGTATTTTCATGCCAGTCTGAATTTCAATATACAAGTAATGAATATTGTTATACAGCTCTTATCACAAGTGTTGAAAACATTTTATTAGATGTATATGTTATATTTTTCAATGATAAAGTATATACAATTCTTAAGAGTTGATTCTTCTTGTTCACAAAATAAATAGCTTATACTCATACCTGCGAATATTTTCCATCGACAATGTCTTTCTGTCTGTTCAAGAACCAGTCGGGAATTTTATACTGCCTGGGATTAGCCATTATTGTCACAATCTTCTCAACCTGAAATATTTCCAATATGTTAAACATGATTCAAACGATGCAAACATACGAGTTATATATAAAGTATGCTAAATTAAAATTACCTCTTCTTCCGAGCATTCTCCAGCTCGTTTATCCAGATCAATATCTGCTTTCTTCAAGACAATGTTGGCGTAACGTCGACCAACACCCTTAATTGCGGTCATAGCAAACATGACTTTTCTATTACCGTCAATGTTCGTGCCCATGACACGAAGAATGTGCTGGAACTTCTCAGGAATGACGAGAGACTGAAAAATACAAGTGTATTATTAATCGTTTATACAGTATATATTGTAAGTAAACTTAATCCTGATGCAATTCGGGTCGTTCTGTTATACCATAAATTCTTTAATTTAATGCAAATATTGCCTGCTCCTAGCAACATAACTCGAACCTTAATTTGTGTTTATCTATTTGAGTAGTTAAACACAGATTAAGGTTTAATTGATGGAGTAATTATATTATTTAAGGGCCTCATCTCCAATATTATTAAATTTATATTCAATCGATGTGTTTTTGCATGAGATGAAAGAATCTGGCAGGAAAAAAGTCGCTCTGCCCCGCGAATCGAGATATTAATTATTAAAGTTGACGATTATTTAAGTTAGGACGAAACCCTTCCTTCGCTTATACTATTTAACATTCTTTCTAATGTACATTGTGTTAGGAAAATGAGGTCTATCTATAAATCTTTCTTTGATAGTCATTTTTTAATAAACAATGAGCAACGACTAAAACCTCTTGAATGTTACTCAGAAAATATACTAAAATAAATCCTGAAAAGTTTGGCATAGATCCTATGCAATGTAAAGATTATAGATTTGGCTAGGTTTAGTTAATAAATGTATATATTACACTCAGTTGAATTCTAATAGTCTCAGGGCTCATGGTTGTTTACCTCTTGGTAAGGTAACTGATAATTAAATTATGTCTGTTTTTATCTAAACTGAAGAAAAAACAAAAATAAACATATGATTTAACTATCAGTTAATTTACCAGAAGTTGGAACTACCGGTCCTCAGACTTATACAAGATGAATATTTTATAGATCTTCGCATGCGTTTCAATTTCGCGCTCTTTTCGCACGCACGTGTGGCCAGAGAAGATTCACGCCGCTGCGCACCGTCGATAATGCTTCTTAACCTAAATAATTGTCAATTTTAATAATCAATATTTCGCTTTGCAGGACAAGATGATTTTTCCTGCCAAGTTCTTCTTTTGTTTCATGCAAAAAACGCATCGACTGAATGCAAATTTATCAATATTACAAGTGAAGCTCTTAAACTGTGTAATTACTGACGTTGGTATAAATAAGTATATGCCGGATAAATTCATAACGTTTGTAGCAAGAAATATAGAAAATCAACAAATACGTTAGGAATGATCAAGTGAATCGACGTTGTTAATGAAAAAATTCGTTGATATCAAGCCAAAAATCCATAAATGTGTACGATTGAAAGCATAACTACAAACCATTGTTATAGTTTCCTCTAAGAGAAACGTTAAAATATTTCTCTAATAAATGCTACACCGATAGAATTGTTACTTCACTAAAGCATGTAAATTACAAATATATCGTGCACGATTGCGCTAAGGAAACGTAGATTTTAATGGATTTTATATGAAACTTACCATTGTTCTACATTAACTAACGGCTACTCAAGCAAAAAGAAAAAAACACTACCTATCACCTACGTTGCAATCAGAAAATCACCGCGCCGCTGCGTTGATCAAACGCTGCCGCTATCTTGCGGTCGTCGTGGCAAAACATGAGCGAGCCCCGCGACGTGTCTAATGGTCTGTTCTTTTTAGCTGCACTACTGAACTGGTGCAATAAGTTAAAGTGAAAAAAAATATAGTTGTCTCATTCTAAAGCCAGCGGCACACGGTCCTTGTTTTCGTGCTGGATTGCTTGCTGGGTGAAAATACTACATCCTGATTGATGCATTTCCATTCATTTTCGGAAATATACCAATCAGAATGCAGTATTTTCATCTAACAAGCAATCCAGTACGAAAACAAGCACCGTGTGCCGCTAGCTTAACTTATTGCACTAGTTCAGCAGTGCAGCTAAAAATAACAGACCAAATAGGTCTGTTTTTTATCACTGAACTAGTGTACACTCAGGGAACATAGAAAGAAATAGATATACAATACATCTAGAAGTTGAGTGAAAGGGAGAGAAGAGAATAAGTGCAAGTTAGTGCAGCCAGTTCAGCAATAAAAAACAAACCTATTAGCACAGCTCAGCCAATCGCAAGGTTAGCTTACGCGGATGGTTTACGCAGGAAACGTTCTGCTGCAACGGCTGCCATATTGTTGGATACACTTTGAATTGGAACGGTCGCTTTCAAAACATGGATCGTAAAGAATTCAATGAGATTCTCAGCGAGTTTGTTGAACGACGAGCGGAATGTAATCGATGTCATGATTCTTTATTACTGTTTTTTTCAATTTCCTTGTGGAATAAAATAATCGAATGAAATGATTTACACAGCAGCAGTACCCAGCACGAGCGGTATGATGGACTTTGGGAGCATCGATCTCGCCAACGAACTTAATCAGATAGAGCGAAACATTAACTGTTACAAGTCAAAATTGAAAAACTGTCGCGACAAATACGAAAATGTGAAGATGGAGATTTGCGACGTGCAGCAGCATCGGTACAAAGCGTTGTTCGAGTTGAATAACACGCGAATGGAAGAGCAGATTCTGCGGGGGCGTTTGGAGAAAATACATTTGAGTCATGAGACGTGCGTGGAGAAGACAGGCGGTTACGAAAATCTCGACGAGAGGATCCAGGCGATAATCAACGACGTGACGACGCAGAGAAACACGTTGATGCAGGAATTGATACAATTGAGAAAAAACGCTGACGATAACGACAGAAAACTCGCCCAGGTGAAAGCTATGATCACAGAACAAGAAGTAATTCCAACGTTTACATCACTATATTCGTAACGAGTCAATGACGAGATACCATTTGCGTATAAACCAATGTCTTTCTTATTTAGGAAAAGAACGCAACTTTGCTACAAGAACTGACGAAAAAGTTTGAGAACACCGCGTTCATCTCGGAAGATACACGAAAACGAATAAATGCTCTTCTGGAACACTCGAAGATAGACGAAAGGAGCAACACAATCACGAATGATACAACATAGTAAGAATTTGTATTTAATTTGTATTTAAAAAAGAATTTATATTTAAATTAAAGAATTTATATTTTAATTTGTATTTGTAATTAAACTTTATTTAGAACCCAACGTAACTTAACTTCATGTAATTCTACATAGCGATACATAACGAAATATACAAACAAGCAGACATCTTTTCCGTGTAATTCTACTCGACAAAAGTTTTCGATTTCAATAAAAATATGCGTTTTACCACATGTATACATTATGTCGTCGAACCTGTGCCCGAAGTCATTCACTATCAATTGCTCTCAAGCAAGTCGCCAATTGTTCATTCGTTTTCTTCAACCGTTGTCAAGCAACGGGCACATGACCCAAAATTTTCGCCACATTGTTCGCCGCGCGTATCTTCGATCTATTTTTCCGCGATGGTCTTCATCAGAGTTTCATTTTCCCTCTCTATCTCGTTCTTCCTCTTCTTCAGTTCTTCAGTCGCTTTTTTGATTATGTGTACGTCCAACGATCTCAAATGTAAGGCCACGTCTCCTGGTGAACGCTTGCAACGAAACGACTTCGACTTGAATCAAGGAGACCAAGGAAATTCGTCCAGCGAATGACGATTCTCCACTAACGATTTAATGAACTAACCACGCGTCCTCATCAGCAGCCATCGTGCTGTCCTCCGACAGTTTAGCGATTTTGGCCAAAGCGTCTCGCAAATTCCTTTATAGAGGTTTATATTTTAAAATATCATTTCCTCTACCCCATCAGATTTAACCTTGAAAAGTATGTTTTTTGGAACTGGTATCAATTTCCATATTAATGTCATCCAGCTTTCATTCATTAGATGTTAAGAAACCATCAAACATGACGACCTTTTGACCAAATTTGTACAAAGAGTGAACAAATTCGATTCTATTCCTATAAAGTTGTTGAGCAGTGATTCGAGTTGTTCCGAGGGAAAGTGTTCGAGCCGTTTTGGCAGCCAGCGTATGCTCGAAAAAACTTTTCATTTCTCTTGTATTCGTCAGCTCGCTGCCTATAAAGGCCCGTTTGAAGCTTTGAAATCACCGTTCGAGACTGCGTTCTCGTCGCTTTCTCTATAAAGATGCAGGGCCCGAATTTCTCTCGTCCACCTGTTGAAAGAGAATTACAATACACTGTCATTTGTTGAAGTTCTCGACATACGTTAGACGTATCCTTTAAAAACTTATCTTGAACCGTTCTCGTATCTGTAAGTCTTCGAGGATACCTTCCCCCACCCCTTCTCTAATCACACCTTTTGCTCTCTTGATACTAACGATATTGTACTGGTGCATATACCTACAAGCAGCTAATATATTATTAACTCTCGAGATACTATACGTATTCTAGACGAAAATATATATTTATTTCGAGGAAGAAATTGCATTCGCCTTGTTACACCCCTCTCCCCGCGAGTCATAGATCGTGAGGGGGCGGAATACACACCGAGAGAAATATTGTGCAGATTGTGATAGTCGTGCAATGCAATTAGTTATATTATACGAAGAGATAAGACGGACTAATCGCTTTCAATCAGGAGCGAAGAAATATTTTCTGAAGAGACACGCTGTAATAGAAAGAGAGACAGTAATAACAATAACAGCAATATTAGTAAGGTTCACGGATATTACATGCGATCTTTCGAAGGAACGCATTCCTTTGTCACGAGAAAAAATGTGTCCGATGAAATTTGCTCGGGAAATAAGATTAATCCCACTGAAGAAAGATCGATTGATTTCCGCGAAATTAGCGATTATATTCGTCCCGTTTATCTACACCATGTATTATTGTGCATGATAGAGATAGTGTCGATTATCAAGTTGTACATCGAAGGAATTTATTTGCAACAACCTTCTTTCGACGTCATAGTCGTTGATACGTCGTATCTTGGTATTGCGTACACTTCTAGATTTATCGATTTGTAAAGTGACACGAAGAAAGAAAAGGCGATGTCTCTCCCTTTAGATTTTATGCGAAACATGTACACACTCGCGAAGGGTCGAGTCACAGGCATACTTGTGCACGAGGCGAATTACTGTATATGTATATTCGAGTTGTGCATGTATTATCAATAAACATCTGCCGTTTTACTTTGTTAAATTGCATTCTTATTTATTCACACCGTTCCGTTGCGCAGCCACTGTGTGTACTATGCCGTTTCTTTTTCTCTATCTGTACGTTTGACTTCATATGTGTATCTTGATCGGTATCGAGTGTATTATTATATGTGCCTTGGATGTATGTGTGACATTAATACAAAGTATATTATGATTAGAACGTGCAACGTGCTGCGAACGTAAGCTGAACATATCTCACGCGCGATGTCTTTTTTTAGATAATCGGTATTTACGAAATTCCCGATGACGAAGATTACTTCATGAGCGTTAGAGGCAACCAACGAGGAAAGGTGCCCAAGGCGTATTTGGAGACGCTTATTATACGTCGTTGAAACGTTTAGAAGAATTGTTGTTATCTACTGTCAATTGCATTTTTAGAGCGAACTTAGCGCTACTTCTGCTCTCTCTCTCTCTCTCTCTCTCTCTCTCTCTCTCTCTCTCTCTCTCTCTCCCTCTCCCTCTCCCTCTCCCTCTCCCTCTCCCTCTCCCTCTCCCTCTCCCTCTCCCTCTCCCTCTCCCTCTCTCTCCCTCTCCCTCTCCCTCTCCCTCTCCCTCTCCCTCTCCCTCTCCCTCTCCCTCTCCCTCTCCCTCTCCCTCTCCCTCTCCCTCTCCCTCTCCCTCTCCCTCTCCCTCTCTCTCTCTCTCTCTCTCTCTCTCTCTCTCTCTCTCTCTCTCTCTCTCTCTCTCTCTCCTCGATCAGTCGAAGCAACGGCGGTCTTGCATTTACGCTTGAGAAATGCTTACTTCAGCTCACTTCAGGACCAAAAGCCATTTTCTAACAGTTGGGCTGAAAAGTTCGTAGGCTAACATATAGATGGCGCTACTAGAATAAATCCATAAGATGTTTAGTTAGTACCAACCTTCTAAAGAAACGTGTATAAATTTCACAGGTGTCGGACAATTGGTTCGTGAGATATAACATTGTGAGTGAAGCAACTTTTGTTATTGTGAAAAAATGGATAAAAAAGAATTTCGTGTGTTGATGAAGCATTGCTTTTTGGCGAAAAAAAATACTGTTGAAGCCAAGGCTTGGCTTGATAAACATTATTCGGACTCTGCACCAGGAAAATCAACCGTTGAGAAGTGGTTTGCTAAATTTAAACGAGGTGAAATGAACATCGAAGACGATGCACGCAGTGGACGACCGAAAGAGGCTGTTACCGACGAAAACATCAAAAAAAGTCCACAAAATAATTTTGAATGATCGTAGAGTGAAGTTGATCGACATAGCTGAGACTCTAAATATATCAAAGGAACGTGTTGGACATATTGTGCGTGAATATTTGAACATGCGAAAGCTGTGTGCAAAGTGGGTGCCGCGCGTGCTCACAATCGATCAAAAGCAACAACGTTTTGATGATTCGGAGCAATGTTTAGCGATATTCAACCGTAATAAAGACGAATTTTTCCGTCGATATATTAGAATGGATGAAACATGGCTCCATCATTACACTCCAGAGTCTAATCGACAGTCAGCCGACTGAACGCGATGAACCGAAGCCAAAGCGTGGAAAGAAGCAACAGTCGGCTGGCAAGGTTATGGCATCAGTATTCTGGGATGTGCGTGGTATTATATTCATTGATTACCTCGAAAAGGGCCAGACCATCAACAGCGAATATTACATAACTTTGTTGGAGCGTTTAAAGGATGAAATCACGAAAAAACGGCCCCATTTGAAGAAAAAAAAAGTGCTGTTTCATCAAGACAATGCACCGTGTCACAAATCAATGAAAACGATGGCAAAATTGCATGAATTAGGCTACGAATTGCTTCCCCATCCACCGTATTCTCCAGATCTGGCCCCCAGTGACTTTTTTCTGTTTGCAGACCTCAAAAGAATGCTTGCTGGAAAGAAATTTAGCACTGATGAAGAGGTTATCGCCGAAACTGAGGCCTATTTCGAGGCTAAAGAGAAATCGTACTATAAAAATGGTATCGAAAAATTGTATGACCGTTATAATCGTTGTATCGCCCTCGAAGGCAACTATATTGAATAATAAAATCGAATTTTACCAAAAAAATTTGTCTTACTATGTTAGCCTACGAACTTTTCAGCCAAACTGTTACTTCCACTTCAATAAATTACTTTCCTATATATACTCACAATGATCTCGCTCGCAATGAACGTTCTCGATTTTCTTCTATTTCAATGTCGTCGTAATGTATATACATGCATATAACTTTGTTTCACGATCACGATAATTTTCTCCTTTGATATAATCGAGAAAACATAACGAAGCTTAAAGTTTTTGAGATTTTATTAATTAATCAGTATAATACAGCTAAAGGTAATATTATACTGATGTTTATAACATATAAATTAATATATAATGTTATTTATATACAATATACAAAATTATTTTTTCTTCGACACACCGACCGTGCGTCCGCGACGACCAGTGGTCTTTGTGTGTTGCCCCCGTACGCGGAGACCCCAGTAGTGACGCAAGCCTCTGTGAGCACGGATCTTTTTCATCCTCTCCAGATCTTCACGCAGTTTGGAGTCCAGATTGGCACTCGTGAGCTGCGAACAAATCACATAGGTCAAAGAGATATCTTGTGATGTCTTACAAACTATATTATTTGTATAATACGGTGCACACCCTTGTTGCACGCGTACCTGCCACTTAGCGTAATAAAAACGTTACACAAAGCAATTTCAATGTACAGCGATGCTATTGCTATTGCACAAGCTACCAGCTGAGCATACAATGGGTATTTGCACGATCAGTCGTGAATTGTGCGATAAGACTTACAAGGCACAGCGAAACAAGGTTTATTATTTAAGAGATATGTATAGCATAAATACTACAGAGTATTTTCATGCCAGTCTGAATTCCAATATATAAGTAATGAATATTGTTATACAGCTCTTATCACAAGTGTTGAAAACATTTCATTAGATGTATATGTTATATTTTTCAATGATAAAGTATATACAATTTTTAAGAGTTGATTCTTCTTGTTCACAAAATAAATAGCTCATACTCATACCTGCGAATATTTTCCATCGACAATGTCCTTCTGTCTGTTCAAGAACCAGTCAGGAATTTTATACTGTCTGGGATTAGCCATTATTGTGACAATCTTCTCAACCTGAAATATTTCCAATACGTTAAATACGATTCAAACGATGCAAACATACAAGTTATATATAAAATATGCTAAATTAAAATTACCTCTTCTTCTGAGCATTCTCCAGCTCTTTTATCTAAATCAATATCAGCTTTCTTCAAAACAATGTTGGCATAACGCCGACCAACACCTTTAATTGCAGTCATAGCGAACATTACTTTTCTATTACCGTCAATATTTGTGCCCATGACACGAAGAATGTGTTGGAATTTCTCTGGAATGACGAGAGACTGAAAAATACAAGTATATTATTAATTGTTTATATAGTACATATTTGAAGTAGACTTAATACTGATGCAATTCGAAACGTTCTGTGAATTATATGATAAACTTTTTAATTTAATGCAAATATTGTCTATTTCTAGTCTATTTCAATATGAATTAAACTTTAACTTGTGTTTATCTGTCTAAAATCTGTCTTATACACAGGTTAAGATTTAATTGACGTTGATATAAACAGATATATGCCAGACAAATTTGTAAGATTTGTAGCAAAAGTTATAAAAAAGCAACAAATATGTTAGGAATATTTAAATGGATCGTCGTTTAATAAAAAGTCGTTGATTAAAACATCCAAATACATGTACGATTGAAAATCTAACCCCAAATCATGTATACAGTTTCTTCTAAAAGAAACGTTAAAATACCTCTCCAATAATAAATTTTACACCGATAGAATTGTTACTTCACTGCGTCATACAGCGCATCTTTTACTAGTAGATACCATATTCTTATTATAATATCTAATTTAATTTAATTTAATTCAGGATGTGGACAAAGCGTCAAGTTCATCATTCTGATATATATTACGCGTCACATATACAGGCTATTTTCGGGAAAGTTTAGTGAACGGGGTAAAATTATAACATAATTAAATATATGGATATGTAACGGGATGATGAAAATCCCATGTGAAACACAATCATGAAGGCCCACTTTTCTCTGTAATGAGAAGTCCAATGGGCAAATCATTTCAGGATATTATGAGACACATATAAAAGAATAATTTTACATAATATAAACGTGATCGGTCAGGGGGCCAAAAATCGGTCTTATTGCAACCCTTACTTTTAATAAATTTTATATAAAATTTACCATTTTGCTCCGTTAATCGAGGACTACTCAACTCCGCACCAGTGATGATAATCATAAAAGAAAGTCGAAGCGCGCATGCGCACTGAGCAAACGCTGTGGTAGCTTCACGGACATATATAGTCTGTGTGTTCAAAAATTCACTGCCAGTACTGAAATATATAGTTTGTATATAGTTTGTATATAACATTGTATATGTTATATAGTTTGTGTCACGCAAACTATAACTTTTCAGCGCTGGCAGTGAATTTTGGAAAACGGCTATATTTGAAGGTATCGTTAGGTCCCCATGAAAGAAATGTGAAGGAAATTATAGGGAAGGAAAAAAGCTTCTATTCAATAAATATAATATAGTTTGGTAATTATCCAGTTTAGGGGCTCCGCCTTAGAATTCGATAAAAATAGACTCAATCAACGCGTTTTTTAATAAGGAGCAACTTTTTCCTCTGCGAAAATTGTCGCTCTTCACTGCGAAACGAAATAAAAATAGTTAAAGTTAATTGGTATAATAGGTTAGGAAACCTGTCAAGATTCCGGATGGGTTCGCAACTTTCCACGCGCAACGAGGACGGGGTGGGTGCGGGAGGGGGGGCCGAAGGCCCCCTCTCGCACGCCCGCGTGTGTGTGTGTGTATGTGTGTGTGTGTGTGTGTGTGTGTGTGTGTGTGTGTGTGTGTGTGTGTGTGTGTGTGGTACATATGTTGAGGCATTTTTATTTATTAAACCAACGAATATTGTACACTCATTAATTTAGTAAAGCAGAAAATTTTAGTACAATTTTAATAAGGTGAATATCTTTCATCAAATGTCATTAACTTATCAGTTTCGTCATAAAAAAAATTATTAACAATTAAAGATCATAACTATCGATTCCACATTTATTTTTAATTTTTTAAATTTATCTTATTAAAATTGTACTAAAATTTTCTGCTTTACTAAATTAATGAGTGTACAATATTCGTTGGTTTAATAAATAAAAATGCCTCAACATATGTACCACACACACACACACACACACACACACACACACACACACACACACACACACATACACACACACACACACGGGCGTGCGAGAGGGGGCCTTCGGCCCCCCCTCCCGCACCCACCCCGTCCTCGTTGCGCGTGGAAAGTTGCGAACCCATCCGGAATCTTGACAGGTTTCCTAACCTATTATACCAATTAACTTTAACTATTTTTATTTCGTTTCGCAGTGAAGAGCGACAATTTTCGCAGAGGAAAAAGTTGCTCCTTATTAAAAAACGCGTTGATTGAGTCTATTTTTATCGAATTCTAAGGCGGAGCCCCTAAACTGGATAATTACCTATAGTTTATATATGAATAATGAAAGATAATAATAAAACTTATTAATTTGTAATTTTTTTACATCTGCAGCCAATATATTATATTTATTATTCCTATTGTACTTATTATCACAGCTTTCTTATCTTATCACTACACTTATCATTACATTTATCGCTACACTTATTTATTATAACATTTTACATTATGAATATATAACCTAAGTACTCGCGGGAAAAACGCGAAACAACTGTAACGGACAGATGCACGGAACCTTTCGCGCGCATTATTTGCGCCTACTATCTGCGCTTAAGGTGCCAATACATGGGAACATCGAGCGTCGAACGTCAAAGCGTCCAACCAATCAGTTTTTCATTTCTTATTTCAGGAATAAAACAAGGAACTTTGATTGGTTGGACGCTTTGACACTCAACGCTCGACGCTCCCATGTATTGGCACCTTTATATCCATCACTGGAAACGCTTGCGTCGAGCTCTGATGTCATGCTCACGCATGCGCACAACGGCTCCCATATGGGAAAAATTCCCACGATTTGTCATCACTGTTATGAGGCTCTCTAGAGTCTCTAGTCGTTAGGACAGATACTTAAGTCTTATTTACAATGTGCTCTTTGCTTTCTGTTTTTTTCTCGTTATCTCGTTTTGATTTAAGTTTTGTCTCAAGATAAAAAAGATAAAGAATATAGGAAACAGGAAGCGGGAGCATATTGTAGATCACGCTTTAGGGTACGACCACGTGGTGTTCGAAATAGCGGAATAAGGAAGGAACGGAAAAGGCAAATGGTGGGGGTTAACCAATCAGAATAATTCTGTTTCATAAGTGAGTTTCGCATGAGAAAAATTTTCTATAAAACGGAACAGAATACATAAACGTGTCATTATCATAAACATGTCACATTAATCTTTCAGCATGGTAAAATATTCGTTGCAATATATCTGCAAAATATTAGATACTTTAATAATTCGGACACCGAATTAAAGAAGAGCTAAAAGGAACAAACCTGAAGTCCACTTCTTTTAGCTGAACTTTAGTGCTGCACTGAAACTTTGTTCCTTTTCTCTTTAACACGAATTTATATGCTTGTTTCGCTCTAATGGCAAAAAGTGCAGCTTAAAGTCGGTTAAAAAAGGACAAAAATTCTGATGTTCATTCGAGTGCAGAGAGTGGAAAAGACTGTATAATTGCGCCGAGCTGAAATTTGAATACAATAACACTCAATTCGCATATTTATTCGTAATTTCGAAAATACCAGCAATTATCTCTGACAGTAATAACAAAAAAGAAATAATATAATATAATATTTATTTGATATTATTATAATTTGGGTAATTGGGGAAAAGTTAAGACATATATAATTTCTTTGCGTTTTCGGGCTGTTTAATTGTAAAAAGGCACCTTACTAAAGGAGCTCCAATTTATTTAACATAATTAATTTGTCCCTGTGCGGACGTTGTTTTTCTCTTATGTTTACAAAAGAGATTCTTGGTCTATTATAGAATATGCCGGATGTTAGATTTCCGACGTGTGTGCGACGCAACACAGCTGGACAAGGTCAAGTTCCTGTCAGTTCGCACAAGTTTCGAAACCGGTGTGCGATATCGCGAGATAAAATGTGACAAATTCGACGGGTGAGAACAAGAGAGAAGGATTAACCCTAGAGTGAAGATTTTCAAGTGCAACTTACATGTGAGGTGCGGATTTTTAATAATCTCTGATAGCATATCAATGCATAACTGGCGATAATTTTTATCATATATTCTTGGTATTTATTGGTATTGTTAAGTTCCAACAATTATTCGAATGATTGCTGCGGCTACATTGTGAATATTGCAATTATATTTGTAAATTGCTTTAATTAATTTTACTGATTTTGCAAGCTTATTTCCGCAGATACATATTCATTCGCTGCCACACTCAGTTTTTATCATGTCCTATCTACTGTTATCTCGTAATCTTCCGTTGCTTTCAAGAAACCTACTGAGCAAAAATGAATACAGACAAATTCACCATTCGTAAGTACAGTATATTATATAGAAAAAGCTGTATTATTTGGGCAAGATGTATGTTTAAGCTTTGTTATTGCTTTAGCTGCAAGATTCTTGTGGTTGGAGGGGGTACAGCTGGTTGCACAATGGCTGCTAAACTATCCAGGATGCTAAATGATCCAAATCAAGTTATCGTCGTAGAACCCAGTGATGTAAGTTAATAAATATATCTGCAATGTACATGTATTTTTGTTTTTTGTTTAATAAACCACTTTGTAGGTGCACTATTACCAACCTTTGTTTACTTTAATTGGTGGTGGTATTAGTTCCTTTAAGACATCCAGAAGATACATGAAGGATGTTCTGCCAAAAAATGCCAAATGGCTGAAGGACTCTGTTGTTGGTTTTCAACCAAATGTCAACAAAGTTTTAACACATAATGGAGATATCATACAGTACGACAGGATGATTGTTGCACTAGGTTTACAACTATACTGGGATAAAGTAAGATATAGGAGATAGTATTTATCTAGTTTATATAACTGTATTTATGCAAGAATAGTGGTATTTTTACTAAGATACTTTTGACAGATTCCAGGTTTGACAGAGAGCTTACGCGATCCCAACACACAAGTATGTTCTATTTATGGACCTAACACGGTCACTGAAGTATATAACAAGATCAAGAAAACAAAATCAGGCACTGCAATATTCACATTTCCAAATTCACCGGTCAAATGTCCAGGTGCGCCTCAGAAGATCACATATATCACTGAGGATTATTTTCGTAAAGTATGCACTCACCAGCTATTTAGCAATTTACAAGAGAGAAAAAAAATACTCATTTGAGTAATGATGTTTCAGCACAAATTACGAGGTGATATCAATGTTATATACAATACTGCATTGCCAGTTATTTTCGGTGTTAAGAAATATGCCGATTCCCTTTGGCTTGTTTGTAAGGAAAGAGACATCACTGTCAATCTCCAAACAAACTTGGTGAAAATAGATCCGAATAAGCGGCAGGCCACGTTTGAGAAACTGAACTCGGGAGAAACATTGGTACAGGAGGTACGTTTCATCCTTCCAAACCAGAGGTGATAAAAAATTTATCTGCAAATATTAACGATCGTTTTGAAGAATACTTCAAATTGACATTATTTTCATCACGTTAGTATTCATTGCTTCATGTAACACCACCAATGGGACCTCCTACAGTTTTAAAGGAGCATCCAATGTTAACCAATGAAGCTGGATTTCTTTCCGTCGATCCTAAAACACTGCGACATACCAAATATTCAAATATATTTGGATTAGGTGACTGTACAAACACTCCGAATTCAAAGACTATGGCTGCGATAGGTAAGAGCGTCGTCTTCTAATCTTCTATGCTATCTTTTTCTGAAGTTTCTGAAGGTACAGATTTTGTGCTATTAAATAAACAACGAAATTTATGTAATGTATCGTTGATTGTGTAGCCGCTCAAGGAAAGGTGTTGTATCAGAATATCCTGGATGATTTGGCTGGCAAACCAACAAGCATGATTTATGACGGTTACGCGTCATGCCCGCTAGTTACCGGCTACAACAAGTGCATCTTAGCCGAGTTTGATTACAATATGCAGCCGTTGGAAACCTTCCCTGTGAATCAAGGCAAAGAATATTACTTCACGTTTCTATTGAAAAAACATTTCTTCCCATTCATATACTGGCATCTGATGTTGAAGTGAGTTAATAGAAGCGAGTGATAACAATATAAGCAAATACATGCACATGCGACATTTTACTTCGAACTATTGCCAATAATTCGATGCTTTGCAGAGGTTACTGGAACGGACCGGAATTCTTTCGCAAATTTACAAGTATACTCAAAAGGAATTAATATACCAAGTAAAAAGAAAAAAGGAAGGAAAGAGAAGGAATGAAGAGAGATATTCGATGCCTTTTTATCTAGCTTTTTTATCTAACAAAGTGATATCGCAATAGCTTTAATCAGAAGACAATTATTGTTTGTGTATATATATATAGATAATTATCGTTCTAATTTATATATAATTAAATATATAATGGAAATACATATATAGTAGTTCATATTTGTAATATGATGAAATGATGAAAGTTTAAAAATTATTGTAGATATATGATTATAGTTCGGCAGAAATTTCTAAAAATTTATCTGGACAAGTCGGACCAAAATTTGGCATCATTGGCAAACCCTCAGAAACTTCATCATAAGGTCTGTTCTTTGAGCTAGATTGCTCTTTTTACTTTTTGTCAAAGTGAAATGAGCATAAATTTGCATTGAAAAGAAAAGAAACGAATTTCAATACGCAGTTCTAATTTAGCTAAAAAAAGAACTATAATATAACCATAAGTTCAGTTTAAGACACTATATTACACAAAGCTATTTTATTGGCTACATGTTATCGCCATTGTATCGCCTAAGATGATATGAAGCCAATAGAATGGCAGTATATATTTTTCGGGAAACGGCTATATATTGTGAATGTGGCTTCATGTGAAGAGAAATTTATTAGTCTGGTAGCACTGCTGGACACGTCAAAATCAGTTGAGGTTGACGTAAACATGGATGGGCAATTATTGGTAATTCTTTGAAAATAAATATTAATCTTTTGCAATTTCTATGGAAAACTTGCTTCGAATTACTCATATTGAAATCGGTGTATTTTTATTTGCGTTCTTCGCACACATCGTGGATATTCAGACGTGTTTTGCGACATAACCCATTTCTAGCGTGACAGCTATTCATAATATATCTCTCTGCGAGTTTATACAATATTATTGATTTCATATTTCGTTTGCTTGAATTATTTCGTTTTTCAATTATTTTCAATTATTTAGATAACGTTAATAAAAGAATCATAATTACTTGTTGACGTTATAAACTTATATCTTGCATAATTTTATGTGTATTCATTATGGCCCATATTCACGCTTAGAACACGCTTGTATCTATGTTAGCGCGCTGTTAACCAATGAAAAGCCATGCAATATGCCTTCTGATTAGTTAACAGCGCACTAACATAGTTATAAGCATATTCTGAATATGGGTCTATGTGTTTGAGTATATATACATATATGCAATGATGGTTTTAATTTGTGATATACTGTGTTAACATTAAAAATTAATGTAGGAACCTACGTTATATACGGTAAAAGGAATGGCAATTCTTGATAATGATGGCAATCGAATCCTGGCGAAATATTATGACCGAAATGTCTTTCCCACATCAAAAGAACAGAAAACATTTGAGAAAAACTTGTTCAACAAGACGCACAGAGCTAATGCTGAGATCATCATGCTGGATGGTCTGACGTGTGTTTACAGAAGTAATGTAGATTTGTTTTTTTATGTCATGGGTAGCTCACATGAAAACGAGGTTTGTATCACTAAATATAATAAATGTTAAATATTTCAAAACTGTTACAGATGCAATATATCTTATAATCATGTATTTTTTATAGTTGATATTAATGAGCGTGCTGAACTGCTTATATGACTCTGTCAGTCAAATTCTTAGGAAGAACGTAGAAAAGAGAGCAGTCTTGGACAGTTTAGACATAGTAATGTTGGCAATGGATGAAATTTGTGATGGAGGGTAATTGTAATATTGTTTATTAAATTTCTGTGGTTTATCAAAGATTTAACAGGATATATTTCTAGCATAATTCTGGATGCGGATGCAACAAGTGTGGTGCAAAGAGTAGCATTAAGGACAGATGACATTCCACTTGGGGAACAAACAGTAGCACAGGTAATACTTTATTTTGTCTCTTCCATTTCCAAGTTGCTAATTGTAACTTTGATTTGTGTGTATCATTTGAATATTTCCTTCCATATTTCTTCTCCAGGTACTGCAATCGGCCAAGGAACAACTTAAATGGTCACTATTAAAATAAACAACATATTTGTTTGCACATAATTTTCTATGTTCATTCGCAGCATACATACATACCATGGGAAGCTATTATTAATTATCGTTGTACAGAATATAAAGTTTTATTAGGGATATTATAAATGTATGTAAATTTTCCTATAATCAGCCTTGATAAAAAATGCAATTAATTGATGATCCTTGTGCTAATTGTCATATATTGACTTCCGTTAATACTTTTCCTTTTTGGTTAAAAGGATGTTGGAGTGCCGCCGAATAACAAAAGATTCATAACAAATTACGTCGCTTTAGCTAGACAGATTTATAAATTCTTTTGCATATTTGAGGTACACATTGTAATTCGCGAAGGAAGAATTTTATATCGCGGAAACAAAAAAACGTTAATAAATGTGACATCTGGAACTGTCTCTCTGTCTAAAACAATATGTGCTGCGTATAGAAGTATACGATTGCTATGAACAAAATAAGTCATACCATGTAACAAAATATTCATAGAAGCAGAAGAACTGAAAATTATTAGTCAGTTCAAATTAATTGATTATTATCGATAATTTCGAAATTTTACCGATTATGAAAAATAGACGTATTTTTTAAATTAGTTTTTTAGAGAAGTCAATTATTTTCTTCGACATTGACTATCTCTAGTTTAGCGATGTTACCTTAGCGATATTTTCTCCCATGAGATGGCGCCACGTGGGCAAGCCGTTAACGAGAAGTACATAGATTAAGGATAACATCGGAGTTTCTTTGATTTTACCGGTCAGCTTATCGACGCTGTAGAAATTTAAAGACTACGATACAATTATGAATTTAGTTTCTAATATATACAATCATATCAACTTAGACTGCGGATTGCTCGAAAGCAAGGCTACTGCGTGCAGGCAAGTCTTTATGACGCTTTTCTAACGATAATATAATACAATAAATAAAAATATATATGATATAATAATATATATTATAAAGAAATATAATAATATGTATATATCTTTTCAAGGTTACCTAAATATTGAAATTTTTTAATTTTAAATTCTTACATGACTTTGACAACGTTATTTAAAGTCATATTAATTTTACTATGGCGCGCCACTTAAAATCCTATAACCTTATTACATAGAACGTTTTTTCGAAAATGCATATTTTTCGAAATATTTCAACGCTTTCTATATATTCATATAAAACTATATTTATAAAACCATAACAAATAAAAAAAAGTTTATATACATCCTCAAGTATTGGTGAGTGCAAAAGTTCGTGCGGAGTTTCAATAGATGGAGTTATAAGCGTCGTAAAGTGTTGTCATTAATACTTCCATCTACATATTATATAACGTTGGAAAGGTGACGTCTTCAGCTGTTATTAAAAAAAAAATCATTTGTTTTCATACAAACTGCTTCGAGAAATATCACTTTAAAAATGAGTATCGATAAGGTGCATTTACGGCATGTTATGCTTTACGAGTTTCGGAAGAGAATAAACGTTGCCGCAGCCGTAAAAAACATTCAGGATGTTTATCAGGATGAAGCACCAGCTAAACGAACTGTGGAAAAATGGTTTGCTAAATTTCGGCGCGGAGAATTTAACCTTGAAGACGAGCCACGCTCTGGTCGACCTTCTGACATTGATGACGATGTTTTGCGTACTTTAGTGCTCAATAATCTGCGAATTTCAACAGAAGAAGTTGCTACAGCACTAAACGTTGACCGACCAACCGCTTTTCGGCGTTTAAAAAAGATGGGATTCGATTTGAAGCTCGATATATGGGTGCCTTATTTGCTGACCGAGAAGAACAAAATCAAGCGAATTTCTGCAGCCGTTTCTTTACTCGGGCGGCTCAATAACGAGTCGTTTTTGGATCGACTAGTGACGGGCGATGAGAAATGGGTCCTCTACAACAATGTTCAGTGCAAACGGACATGAAAACAATCAGGTGAGCATGGTGACGCAATGCCAAAGGCCAGTTTGCACCCGATGAAGGTGATGCTCTCTGTTTGGTGGGATTGCAAGGGCATAATCTATTTCGAGCTTCTCCCCGCTGGCGAAACGATTGATTCGGACAAGTACTGTCGCCAATTAACCAATCTGAATCGAGAAATAAAAGAGAAACGTCCGATTTTGTCAAATGGCAAGGGAGTCGTCTTTCATCACGACAACGCCAGACCACACGTTTCGAAAAAGACGCTGCGCAAACTGAAGAGCCTGAAATGGGATGTCTTAACGCATCCACCGTATTCTCCTGATATCGCACCATCTGACTATCACTTGTTCCGGTTATTGCAAAATTATTTAAATGGAAAAAATTTTGACTCTTTGGAGGCCTTAAAAAACGGCGTCTCTTCGTTCTTCGAATCTAAACCGCGCAGTTTTTATAATCGAGGCATCCGTATGCTGCCAGAACGTTGGGAAAAGATTATAGAAAACGATGGAGAATATATCATTGATTGAATAAAGATTTTTGTTTGCCTAATCACTGTGTGACTTTTACTCACAAACTCCGCACGAACTTTTGCACTCACCCAATAGAACATAAGATTATGATGACATCAAAATAGTGAGAAAATGATCGAATCATGACGAAAAAGAAGAGTTTTCCCCATAATCTTGACGTCATTTTGATGTTATCATGATTTTCTGTTCCGCCTAGACCGTGTATTCTATTCAAAGCTTCTCTTCCATCTCCTAATTAGTTCATCTTTTGACACACCCTGTATAATAATTAAATCCGTTGCTTATTGGGATGTAACTTGGCGTGTTATTTCTCTTATAAGTTTTATTAAGTTATATATTTCGGTTGAGTTTTTTTTTTCAAAATGTCAGATTTTTTAAAATTATTAAACGGAATAAACAAGGTTTTCTCTTTCGTTTCCCACGGGATAATCGGGATTTTTCTTCATTTCACATTTTTCTGTAATTTCTGAATAATTCTGAATAATTTGCCTTCTGTGTAGGGTCTTGACGAAGTTCTCATAATGGTTGGTTGGTTCGTTTTATATTTGATTCCGGACTATAAGGGCTGCGTTCCGATATTCACTGCTAATACGGGAAAATATATACTTTTATGTCACATATTATAGATTTTCAGTACTGGCAGTGAATATCGGAACGCAGGCTATATTATAGTTCCCACATGCCATTTTCCCGTAAGTTCCCATGATGAATTCTTAATCCTTAGCTCGCGGCCCGCTCGGAAGCAGGACGATCGTTATGTGGCTGTGCAGCTAACGTTAGTCGTTACGACGCCTTACACTTCCGTGCTTCACACTGTTAACGAATGAGGACATCTAGAGATAAATGCGTTTCGCATATAGTGGGCGTTAAGTGTCAGATGTGTTTAGGTGGCGTCCGCTCACGGTGACGGCTTTCGTTTCACGCATATTTGCGGCCCCCGCAATCTAATAGCGTCTTGAATTGAGCGATCCGTGATCGATTAATGACGTTATAAACTCTGTGATATAGGCGAGACAGGCTTCATTAATCACTCTTGGATCGATGAAAATCCGCTCAGTCGAAAAAGCTAGTTAAAAGGGTTTACGAGATCCTGATTATCGCGCTGCGTTATGGGACTTGGAACCTGATGACATTATTTTATATAGACTATAGCAAATTGAGATCAATCTGATTGGCTATAAATTTCTAGTTGGCGCATCTTTGAAAATCTTGAGGATGTTTTGTTGATATTATCGACTGTAATTGATTAATTTGCTCACAGCTTAAGGCTTGCTGTTCCTGTCCTTTGTGTGCCACGGTAATACAGTAAGCAGTGAGCAGTAATGTTGGAGTTTGAGAAAATGAATGGGATTCTCAGCAGCCCGGCTTTGCTCTTGTCTGTAGAAAAAAAAACGCAAGCGTCTTGCAGGGCAACTTGTCAGGGCAAAAAATACCTGAAAAAACCTGAGCAAAAAATGGCTTCAAAGTTCCCGAGGGTCTCTTAAAAATGTACACGAAATGAAAGGACACGAGCCGAAGAGAGAGTGACGGAATGTGACATTTTCATGATTCCGTGTTTCAGAATGACTACAGGTACTAAATACATGAGACATGCCTATTATCAATCGTCGTGTCTAATATTATGAAGGCTACATCTGGAGAATCCAGTAAACTACTATGCCGAAACGTTAACACCTTTATTTTCGAACGACCAGGCTGTGTGAGCGAGACAATCTTGTCCAGGGGTTCTCTTGTCCTTGAATAGCAATTATAAGGTTCGATGTATTTTGTTCATCCTGAGAACATTTGCTTTCCCAACATTCTTGAACAGTCGAAACTTAATTTCTTCAGAGGCTCTTAATTTTTTTTACCAAGCGGCCAAACTGGCCGCCATTACGTATAAGTTGACGGAGAGGTTGCTCTGTTACGCAGACAGTTAACAATTAGTAGAAAGTTCCTATAATATTCTTTTTTCATTATACGAATCATACGAGTTCTTTTTAGACATTAACATATAAAGCTACACACATACATACACTATGAAATATTTATTTATGAATATGAATATGAAATATTATATTTATCTAATATATTATAAATTATATATTAGATATGTATTTGAATTCTAGTATATATAATCGAAGAGATTGTAGAATAAAATATCGTCCGCTAAAGAAAGGATCGTCCGCTATTTTTGTGTGTTTTTCGGAATGCATCAATCCTTTATGTGGCACATTTTTATCTGACGAGTTTCTGAAATTTTGCCTTTCTATATTTTTTGAGTCACCGTTTACAAATCTGAAGTCAGATTTCAAGAACTCAAGATGGCAGACCCAATATAAGGGCTGCTATATAAGGGTAAATTAGTGTAACTCTGAATAAATATAAATCAGATATGTACGATATAAAAAGGGTTCTCAGAACATTAATTACGAATTTTATGTCAAATTTATAAAATTCACTAAATAATTGGTTTGTAAACAAATCTAGTGTGCGAAAAATTCTGGAAAAAATATGTATTATATTTTGACATGTGAAGAATATTCAGTAAAATTTTCAGTCTCCAATCCGTACAGTACAGAAGTTGCAGCAACGTTGCTGCAACTTTTACGCTGTATGAATAATCTTAAATACTTTCCAAGAAATTAAATTTCAACTGCTCTTTTTACAACTTCATTTACTTAATTAAATAAATAAAAGTAAACACAATCGTATATAAAAATCATGGGAAGCAATAAGTGAAGTAAGTATTA